GCTGCACAAATTCCAAATGTTGCCCGGAAGATAGCGAGAAGGGATAATTCCGAACTACAGAAATTAATGAGTTCAGTGTAGACCTTATCATGAGTAATTTTCTTATAATCCAACAATTATAGCCAGCCACGCGTGAATTGTCTAAAGAGGCCAAGTCTTTCCTGTCCCCAGTACCTATCATATGATGCGATGATCATTCATTCGACCTATCCGAAGTTCTTTTTGTTGGAGGAGATTGAGTGAGGTGGTAGACTTGTTCGGAAAGAGGCATAGTTATAAATATCGTAAATGGGTGACTAGACACGAAGAGGATGGTTGTGGACACAGCTGCGTGAAAAGCCTCGTATTTTCCGGAGATCAAAATGCTAAAGCTGGAGAAGATAAGATTTTACTTGTGGCGAGACGGCGTGGTGGCACGGGCATGGGTCCTAGCGCATTGTCATACGACTAATACGCGCATGCCAGACATCGAGATTTTGGACAGGAAACATCCTATTGTGTGAGGTTGTTTTTGATAAGGAAGAATAATGCTAGGGCAGTGAATAAAGGGGTAGAAGTAAGGCGAGGAGAATTATTGAGTGTACTGAGCTGCTTGATTTTAGTATGATTGATTATCGAGAGGAGGGTTACAGCGCCTTAAAGATTGATGAGGGAGAGGATGGCGCGAGCACGTTCAGTCTTATTAAGAGGATAGAAAAGGGAGGTAGAATATGGTGAATAGTTTTGGGACAAAGAGTTTTGATAAAATTGGGAAGGAAACTTGATATGTGTACTTGTTTAGGACCTCGGGTGGTGGGTGGGCGAGAGAAGAAAGAAACTCGGGAGAAACGGGAAGCAAATGAGAAGTATACACGGGCAGAAATGTCCAAGGGCGATGGGGTCATGCTTAAAGATTGACAACTAGCCTTGCAACGCTTTAGCAGTGGTCAATTTCAAATCGCGCTTTTACAAGTACTTTTTATTTTTCTGTATTAAACAGCCGACATGTTCTCCTATGTGTCGTATCCTAATATACCTGGATAGACTCTTTCTATAAAGAAAGTTTCTTCGTGGTATTGCCCCAGATATATTTATGGATCTTAATGAAACTTTAAAATATCAGCAACGACTCGAGTACTTTGTCTAAAGAGCTCAGATATACCGCTAGATGTAATAATGTGAGCGCATGAATTTCGAATCCCAAACCTCTCTCCGATGTTTCATCATCTCAAGTAAAGGATGACTAGCCGTTTTAATATCAGCTCAAAAAATCGGACTACAGAAAGGGCAGAAAGATGTTGGTAGTGAAAAGCTATGGCTGGCGCGCTTCCAGCATCCGAACAATGATGCTAACGATGATTCGCTTCTTCATAGTATTATCTCTTTTCATCTTTGATTTCATTTCCGCGCGTTGCACCTCGCCCTTCTTTAAATTCTGTACTTTCTCCGTATGTAAGTTCTTTCATCTCTCAGCCGATGGTTTAGATTCTTTCCCCACCGACTAAATGAGCTAGAAATTTTTAGACTTTTCTCGCTTGTGCTATCCTTAGATTCCAGTAGCACGTCCTTCTCTGACTCTTCATCGGACTCTATATCTTCCCGTTGTTCTTCAAAACCTTCTTTGCCCTTTTTTAAAAAGTTTTTTCTCTGCTTCTTTCTGACTCGGAGGCTCCCTTTTTGATTCCATTCTCCCGGAAGACCTCGTCTTCCCCTCTTCTTCATCAGAACTATTGCTCACCCAATCACTTTCCTTTTCTGGCTCTTCTAGGTTTTCCTCTTCTAATTCTTCTCCCTCAGATTCCTCATTTATATCGGACTCACCTCCCCATTTCCCCACATTTTTCATAAACCCATCGTCTTCACCAGGCCCGATCTTCAAGCAAAATATTCTTCCCGATTCCAATCCTATGCATATTAGTCCATCATAGCTCCTTGAATTCCAGTCTGCGATTCGATATTCCGTAGGGAGCCAGAGAACGTAACGCTGACTCCCATTATCCATCCCTTCGATTATCCAGTCTTTGTTTATGTAATATCGTTGAAAGATTGGTGTCTTGAATCTAGTATCATCTTGTAAAACCACTGACTTCCTGGTTGCTGGGTTCCAAAGGTAGTTCCTGCTGTCGAAGCTATATTTCATACTCCAAAGCTCCCAGTCCAACGAAAAGTTAAGCGAGGGAAACACCAGACTATCGTCATCTGCAGATTCTGACTCATTATCCATTGTCCTAAGCTCACCCGTTGCTAGGTTCCAAATTTCGGTACCTTTAGTGAGCTCGGCTTCAGTCATCAGAGCTAAAGGCATATATGCCATATCTCCTACACGGACCTTAAGTCTTCGCAAATTTGACCCGTTTGCGTATTCCAGAGTTGGCATTCATCACTCATGCATAAGATTATGATCGTGCTATCTGGCGAAAATGGCATGGCTCGTATTTCACCTCTATTAACTCCTAGCATATGCAAATGTTTGCCCGATGCCGTATCTGAGAGTGTGACGGTTCTGGAATACATTAAAGCAATTATTTCACTATTGGGCGAAAAGAAAAGTGGCTTTGTCAATGGTTCTGTACGTCTCTTGAGCGTGTGGTTCAATTTACCAGTTTTCGAATTCCAAATTTTTATTTCCCAGAATAAAGCTTGGTAAGCTTTAGCGAGTGTAGCTATCAAGCTGCCGTTCGGCGAATAAAGCGTTTGTAAAATACTCGGCCGAGAGGACAGGGTTCGATTCTTTCTAATCCTTGGTGATGATCTATTTATTGGAATGTTGACATTCCAAAGCCGAGTCGTTCCATCCGTTGAGCCTGAAGCTAATTTCGTGCCATCTGGAGAGAAACAAATGGACCTCACCTCATCTGTATGACCGTCGAGTGTTTCTAACAAACTCCCTGATGCCTCCCAAAGTCGGATAATCCCGCTGGAAGCAAAAGCTGAAGCTACAATCTCGCCATTCGGCGAGAAGGTAATACGATTTGAAGAACCAAGCCCATCTATATCAAATTCCTGTAACAAGTTGCCGTTGGTTACGTTCCAAAGTCTCATGAAGTGTCCTGTTGACGCTAATACCTTTCCATTTGGCGAGAACTTAATCTCAACCACGGAATTTCGGTGTTGGGCAGATGCCCAGAGCAATTGGTAGTCTGTTGTTGAATTCCAAAGGCAAATTTCTCGATATTTAACAGCTGTGGCTAAGATAATGCTGTCCGGCGAGAAAGCTATTGAAGTACAGTTCAAGGCTGAGAATGTATGCAAAAATCTGCCTGTTTTTATCTCCCAAAGTCGGATTGCTTCATCGTAAGAACTTGAGGCGAGTAGTTTATTGTTTGGCGAAAATATAACCCGACTTATGGACTTGGAATGTCCCCTGAGCTCAAAAGATGGTTCAAAAGTATGATCGCCTTTTGATATCCAGAGCCGGATCGTATTATCATCCGAATAGACTTTAGCAATCACTTTGCTATCAAATGAGAAGGTAGTTAAATCTACAGTTTCCAGATAGCGGAAATTGCCACCCACCGCTTCTATGAATCGAATTGTGCTTTCCAATTTGGAGCTTGAAGCTAGGTCCGGCGGAAAGGTAATTTTAGCTATTCGAGGCCCTTTACGGAACCAAATGCTCTTTTGTAACACACCCGTCGCTACATCCCAGAGTCGAACGCTAGCAGCAGAGTCTCCAGTCCAGGAGAGAGAGAGAACTACTGTCCTATCTAGTGAAAAACAAACATATCCTTTAGGTTCATGCCTATCATCCTCGAGTATTTGAACTTCATGATTCCAACACGGTCTTTCTTTTGATATTTCATAAAGCCATTTAGGAATGCAGGCTCGAAACGTCTGCCAGATGATGTTTGTTTTTGGAGCAAAAAAAAGTGCAGAGGAATATATCTGAAGGGGAGCCTGCTTTATTCCTGCTTGTTTGCGAAGGACAAATTGTTTAGCATCGTAAACGAAAGCAGATAACTTAGGATTTTCAATGTTCTTTCATGGTCGTTAGTAGATTCTTCCGAAGAAGGATAAAATGATAAATGGCTTACTGAAATGTAAGATTGCAGAGCGCTTATTACAATGATGCTCTTTGGTAGCTCTTCGACCAAGCTCATAACCTCGAGCCAATGAAGAAAATGCTTGGACAGAAAGTTATGAAGATTGCCGTTATCTTTCTGCCTAACTTTAGTTTTCAGGAGGTGGTCCATCCAGTAACGGCACGGATACTCGACATGTAGCAGATAATTTGCCTTTTTTTCTTTCTTGACTTCCGTAACAGAAGTCCCGGGCTCCAATTCGCATCCATTCATTCTCAACTTCTCCATTGATACTAAGCATCTCTCGAACAGTTCTTCGTGAGCTTCCTGTTCTTTAAATCCAAATGCTCGTATTTTCAGGTGTTGATGTAAGGACCTCACGAGGAAAAGTGGCTTCTCGAAATTACGACTGCAGAAGCGATAGTAGAATACTGTTATTGAAATAGTAAGGCTAGCATAGAATGGTAGTCCCTTGGTCAAGCAAAGAATAATGACTGTGGGAATACCGAAAAGCGCCAAGTCAAGGGCAGACTCTAGATAAGGTCTCCTCAAGACCATCTCTGTCGTCAATAAAAGTTTGTTGAAAAGATGGCTAGATAGTATTGAAGATGTAAGAGGCGGCACACTTCGTAGATAATCACTTAGTGATAAGTGAATGAACTGAAATTGACCATCCAAATTTCTTATGATGTTCTCAAGATTCCGAATGTGTATCCCAACCTCAAAATCACTGACATTGACCATCATAGCAATCTCTGTCCTTGTCAGAGGACGCATGGCAATGCAAATGCATCGAATTATATTGAAAGAAATCTCGCGTCTGCACTCTGGTATGTTCATTAAAATCCGATCGTACATGTGATCTAGCCCTTTTGGTAGCCATGCATTAACAGAGTCAGGATGGCTAATGACCTCTTCAAGCATTCCAGTATTTTTGTTGAATTCACTGACTGCCAAAGAAACCCATAGAAATGTTCCGCCAGTGCAGCTTAGTAGAAGCTGCTTTAGATTGTCTCTGCACTCGTCGGGAATTCTGCTAATGCGATCGACATTCTCAGAGACAAATGTCTTGAGATCTTTCATCCCCTTTTCACTGTATTCTTGATCCAAATCATCCAAGTCAATTATCAACTGCGCTCGAACCTTGTTTTGCAATGAGCGGCTAACGATAATTGTCTTAAATTTCATTTGAGCTTTCGCGTCGACGGCTCCATAAAACCCTTCCAGTTTCGACTGGAGAAATTTAATCGAGTCATCATCACATTCATCAAGTCCGTCCAAAATGAAAAATATGTTTTTTGGAAGCTTTTCGACCATAGACTTGAATATTCGCCATAAAGTCTCAATGTAAGCATTACTGGCAAGATCATGATTCCGCCGACGGCAGAGATCGAGCTCCTCCAAAATCTCCTGGTATAGGTCATTACTTACATTTAGAAGCTGACACAAAAGACTCCGAAGCACACATAATGCCGTATTACGGTGAGGGTTGCCCTTGTCGCAATAGTACTCCAAAACCAAACGATTGGGCTGCTGAGGGTCAATACTCGAAATCCAGCGATTCGCCAAGTAGATTGAAAGATAAGTTTTGCCTTTTCCGGGGCCGCCATGCATCCAAAGGAAGCTTTTAGAATCGGATATCAGTTTTCCTCAAAATCCCTGATTTCCTTGACCTCCCGAATCCATTGGCATGAACTCTTCACCGGATTACCATTGCGACTACATATTCCTTCTTTATCGGTCCCGGGGTGCGTCAGGAAGAGTGCAGTGTAACATTCATCTTGTCTTTTCTTTTGTTCTCCTGCTACTGCCAAATTCTGAAAATCAGCCTCTTGAAAAAGGTTGAAATTTGATCTCTGCAAGATATTTTAGAATACTTGCAGTGGGTGGATGGGAAATTCACATTCCCCATTATTGGGCCATTGATCTGGATATTCCCGTTTCCTGCTAAATTGTTTCCACTTGCAACATAGGATGAAATGGTTGAAGCCATCTAATATTCCAAATTAGAAATAAGAGTTATATGATTAACCGAGTTTTTGAACTGTCTGTAAGAATTTCCAGAGGCCGAAACAAGCAAAGGACCCAAGCAGGTTGTACTTTGTATCACTTTTTGGAAAACATAAAAATGTTGAATGAACTGGTGGTTTGTGCAAGAACTAAACTAATCGAAGAAAAGTGGAGGTTTCCACCCAACACGTCGCAGGCGCTTATGAAAAGCGGCTGAAGTCATCTAGGCCAATCGTGGATACTCGCCATTGCTTATCTGTAACTGCAGGTATAAGCTGATGATGTCCAATGAATACGGACCCACTTGAACGCAACCGTCATGAGCAGTTTAGCTATGAATTAAATAGTGTAGACTGCTGTTACTTCCTCGCAGTAGAAGTTGACCCTTATCATCGAATTCATCTTTTGGACTGAGCTTCTGGCAAACAAATTCATATTTAAGACAAAATGGTAATCTTTTTCCGGCATCAAGCCACGAATAATATATTAACATTGAGCTTCAGTCAGGACTCGACGTTCTCGGAGCCATCTCTGCTGCATCGGGCTTACTGGAATCGGCTATAAGCATTATCGAACGACTTCATAAGGCTTATGGCGACATGAAAGCTTTCGAGGAAGTCTTTGAATCGCGTGTTATCGAGATCCAAGGCATCCTTACCATCATAGAGCTCGTCAAGAACGAATCTAATTTACGAACTGCGGCTGTTCTCTCGGAAATCGAAAACATTCGCAAAATAACCGAAAAACTCGTTGAGCATCTTGAATCGACAATGCCAGGGGAGAAAAGTCAAGCGCGTCGTTTTGCTCACCAACTCGCAAAGGGATCGAAAGATCAACAGAGGCTGGCCAAGCTCATGGAGCGGCTGGATCGGGCAAAGTCAAATTTAGGTCTCAGCCTACATGTTGCCAACGTAGGCGTCACGCAGGGCGTTGGTGATAATCTTGCTATCAATACGGATATTCTCAATCGAGTTGATGAGCTGGTTCGCAATGTATTTGGAGATGAAGGAGGCCTCAGGATTACTGAATTGGTCAAGGACCAACACCTTCAGAGTACGCTAGTCTCTCATTTCTCAAAACCTACTAACAGACAAAAGATGATGGGTTCGTGCACATGAAAGGTGAAGATCTTTCGCGAATAACGACAGATGGTGATGATGTACAGGAAAATTCAAAACATGCAGGGTGGATGTCTGGTCGGATTACCCTAAATAATGTGACAAGGGAACAAGCCCTTCAGATCAATGGGCCAATTGGCGAAAAGGGATGGAGGGAGGCGGTTTCTTATCTGGAGATTCGTAATAACGAAGCTTCTGGGAATTCTATCCAGATCAATCATGCTGTTTCTGAAGAGGCGTTTTATGCGATGCTGGCAAACAGAAATCGAAATAAACCAAACGGTCATAACGATCATAACGACCATAGAGGGAGTCGTATGCAGATTAGCGCGGGGCTGGGCGAAGGGTGGGGTATACCCGACGTCATCCGGGGCATTATTCTTTGGGTAAATATCTTATTCGATTTTCAGATAATAAGATAAATGTTTTATAAACTACTACTAGGTATAGATTGATCTGTTTTGTTAAGTAAATATATATATATATACAAATTTAAGAATATATAAAGATAAATTCTTTAATAATCAAAAATATTATATAATTATATAATCTTTGAATATCATTGTGACGGAAACCCCTGCTTTCCTCCCACCCTTATTATATAAGAAACCTCAGGCACATTAACCATGTCCACACATGATACGATTACTCGGGATTAGTATACGATTTAGGTGGCCTGAGGATCAGATCCGGACAAGTACTAGGTATCAATGGTTATCGGTAAAGTAAGATCATTGGAGGGATAAATATGACTTCTTTTTGCCTAGCCATTGCGGTGTTACGTCCAAAACGATTAGTATGTCACATGACCATAAAACATGTGATGGAACGGTGAGGAACGAACGTTCCTAGGAACAACCAGGAACGCTCGTTCCCAGGAACGACGATTCCTAGTTAACCATAGGCACGAAGGACTATATAATCAAGATGGATTTCTTTTGTATAGAGCTTCGTGCTCAAGATCAATCATTTAGTATACTCTACTATTAGTTACGAATTGCATATCATTATTGTCATTACTTCAAGTCCCTGCTTGACGCCTAGTTATAAACCTACTTCGAGAGCCTAGAGCACTTCCACGTGATCTAGACGGCAAACCTCGTAACATGCGGCTAGGCCATTCATTTGTGTATATATAGAGTAGCTATCCCCATCTACAGGTGCTCTTCACCTGTAGATTCTAAGTTAAATATAATTGCTGGTCTATAAACACCCTTTTGGTCACAATCATTATTGAATATTAAAAAAAATTTCTCTTGTTTTTATAAAAAAGAAATTAAAGAATTATAATCGATTTTATAATAAAATATATATCATTAAAAGTTTTAATTTATAATAAATATTTTATTTGTTAAATTGTTAAAGTGAATGGTTCCTGCGTAGCACGTGCACAGGGCACTAGTCCTATTAGGACTAGATTGAGAAGCTCTCTGTAAGAGAGCTTCGCACTTCCGTAGAACTGTCACGATTCACCATTAGGATTGATGGTGTTACGATGGTAGCAAACTGATTAATTAGGAGAGCTTAGGCCGTGTGCAAACACGATCAGATTTCATCGAATTAGTATGTGATCTTGGTCACCTGAAGATCGTATGCGCACGCACCATCAGAAATCGCGTGATAAGGAGTCTTGAGGAGCCAGAAAGCTTTTAGGGGCCCCCTTTATTGTTCAGTATATAGTCAGAGTAGTTTCATAGTTTAGGAGCTTCGTGTTACGAGGTTTGCCGTCTAGATCACGTGGAAGTGCTCTAGGCTCTCGAAGTAGGTTTATAACTAGGCGTCAAGCAGGGACTTGAAGTAATGACAATAATGATATGCAATTCGTAACTAATAGTAGAGTATACTAAATGATTGATCTTGAGCACGAAGCTCTATACAAAAGAAATCCATCTTGATTATATAGTCCTTCGTGCCTATGGTTAACTAGGAATCGTCGTTCCTGGGAACGAGCGTTCCTGGTTGTTCCTAGGAACGTTCGTTCCTCACCGTTCCATCACATGTTTTATGGTCATGTGACATACTAATCGTTTTGGACGTAACACTTCGTGCTCAACTTAGTTATCAATTAGTTTACCTACATTCTACTTGATCTAGTAACGACTTCACTTCCAAGTGAAGACTAGTGATAAAGCCTTAACCCACAACTACCAATCAGACGAAACCTCAGGCAGCCGCTGCCTCCGGTACAGTATCGTTACAAGAACTTAGAAGAGTAATTAATCTACTAGACCAATATTACCTCAGTTCTGCCCTATCAGCTTCCCACTATTCCCTGTGTAAGGTCATTCCTTTTAACATAATAAATAATAAATTACTTTATTTATTTTATTTACTTTATTGTTACGAGGTTTGCCGTCCAGATCACGTGGAAGTGCTCTAGGCTCTCGAGGTGGTTTATAACTAGGCGTCAAGCAGGGACTTAAGTAATGACAATAATGATATGCAATTCGTAACTAATAGTAGAGTATACTAAATGATTGATCTTGAGCACGAGGCTCTACAGGAAGGAATTCATACTGAATATATAGATCCTCGTAATTCTTGGATCACTCAGGATCACTGATGATCCAAGGTGATCCAGCATACCTGTTCATATGCTCTGATGGTGCGTGTATATGAGTTTTTAGGGTGACCGAAATCTCATATTAAATTGAGCGAATCGTAACAGATTTACATATGGCCCAAGCTTACGAAAACAAGTCAGCTGTTACCATCGTAACATTTATTCACTTTAATATTAAAAAATTAAAATTAAAATTAAATGTTATATTATATATATATATTTATTTAATCACTCTTTTATATTATATCAATCATCACAGCAATTATAATATGATAAATAAATAAGATTATTAATACAAATATATAAATATATATACAGCGATGTTCCTCCCTCTCTTACCTATCCCGCCTCTCTCATTTCGCATCCTGTATCTCATATCTTCCCCCCATCCATCCAATGAATGATCGTCTTTTCCCTTCTTCCCTTCTTCCCTTCTTCCCTTCTTCCCTTCTTCCACAAAGAGAAGCAAAGCCAAAAAAAAGCAAACGAAAACCCAACCATCTCAAGCTATCTCAAGCTATTCCAATCAATTCATTCCCCCTCCCATTTTCTTTCCTCCCTTCCTTCCTTTTCATCTCTCTCCCTCCACTCTTCATCAGTGCTTTATTGTAAAACACACTGTTTTCCGCACCGAGCCATAGAATTCCTCTTATTTCCATTATCTCTTGCTTCTCTGTCCTCCCCCCTCCTTCCTCCTCCCTTCTTCCCAAAACCAAAATCCAAGCAAGCAACAACAACAACAGCGAACGGGGTATAGACTCAAACAATCAAAGACAGCCAAACCAACCAACCAGCCAACCAACGAACCGACAAAACTTTCAAACCAAAGGCGAAAAAAAATTCGAATTACAAAACTAAAAAAAAAACGCACTCTCGCGTTCCTAATTCGAAGAGCAAAAAAGCCCAAACCAAAAGTCCAGACGAGCTAAATTGGCGAAATAGTAATAAGAAGCCCGTCACTCATCGTGTCGGAATATTAAAGCGTTCTAAGTTCTCCTCCTTAAGCAAAAAATGTAAAACGCCATTTCTTTCCTTTGCCATTTCCCTTCCCATTTCAAATCATTCCATTTTTCATTCCGTTAAGAAAAACACAATACGAGGTTTTCTTTTTAACGCAGAGTCATCCGTGTCGTATATACATAATCGTCATAATGTATCTTCATCTTTCTTCGTACAAATGATGTTGTAAGTTTCATTTGGTGATTGTGGTGTTGCCCTCTGCTTCTTCATCTTCATCTTTTCTCTCAGCGACAGCCTGATGCGCTGCTCTTTCAGCATATATCCTTTGTCTGACTACCTCAGCTGTATGCAGACTATCAATATATGTTGTGAACTTCACAATTTCGCGAAGCAAGTACGAGGATTTCTTTTCCCAATTTGCCATTGCCTTTTGAGCGTTAGGGTGACGTGGTGTGTACTTTTTTAAATTAGTCAGGGTTAAAGAACGGAAACATGCAAAAACTTACAGCCAAAAGCATAGGATTCCTCAACATATTATGTCTCTGCAATTCTTCCTCAACACTCTGCACATAAGCAGTCAATGTTCTTAGCTGATCCGGCTCCATTAAGTTACTAGCCCTCATACTCTGAATTGGAGGACTCCAATCATTTATGGCGATTCTATCACCTGGTAACCTTGACCTAATACCACCCACATAACCGTGATCCAAGCTTGATCGTAAAGAACTTTGCATGCTAGGTCTAGCACCAGAGGTTGATGGCCTAGTGTTTTGTTCATTGATGGCAGTGACTAGAGGGTTATTCACGATGTCATCAGACCAGCCGTACTCGATATTGCTGATACCACCAACGAGGGGATGATTTGATAAGCGAGCACTCCAGTAATTGGCTGTTGTGACGAATTCTTTGACAATATCTGCTGTGCCTACTTGAAAGAGATGTACCGCTCCAGTAGGTAAAGAGAGCGCCCAGACATGAGGACGAGCCTTGGAATAGCCTGGTAAAGGTAGCGCACTAGCAATAGTTTGTCGAAGCAGAAATGAGCCAAGATTTTCGGCGTTCTCCTGCCAATTCCCACCACCAACAACTCCACCAGTTGGTTTAACTTTAGGCTTTCGCACGCTTTTCGTAGAGAATGAGAACAAGCTCATGTAGCCCTTTTCGATGACAGCAAATACTTCACTCCAGTTACGATCCTTTGCTTTCTTGTCAAGAGCTTCCAGATGATGCTTGTGCGTTACCATACCTTCTTTTGCCCATGGTGCACCAGCAAGTTCTAAAGATTCATCATCGAGTAAAGGAGCAACACGAAGTTCTTCATGGTCACTACCTCTGCTGCCTGGATTATGGACTGTTTCTTCGCGAATAATTGCTTGACTAAGAGCATTGGCAAATCCAATTGATTGTTGGTAATCACCTTGGAAGACAGAACCAAGAGAGTCTACAGACATCGAGGTATGTTTGCCAAGAGAATACTTGCTCCAAGTACTAGATGATACGGAAGGACTCCACATAGATGATTGATCATCCAAGCTAGTTCGACTAGATCCCATGGCTGAATTGGGATACAGACGAGGTCTCGATCGAGTTTTGTTGCTCCACTTTCCATTTGTACGAACAGTTTCTGCAGTTCTCCCCCGAAGATAACTGGGCGACTCTGAAGGGGCTTTGCTTAAAACACTAGGACTACGGCGTAACACACCATTGGCGAACACTGAAAGAGTATTAGAAGAAGCCGGCATTTGTGACCTATCGCCAGCACCGAATAGCGGAAGACGATCATTGCGGATAGAATTATAAAAGTCCTTAAGAACAATCTCAACCTGCACTTCCCAGGTACGTAAAGTCCCGCGAAAAGGTGCCTTAACTAAGGGTCCACAATCATCCATAGGGGTATCATAATCTAAAGGTGTGGGAGCGTTTGGGTTATCAGGATCTTGACGCGGCGCAGGCTTGAATGAAGACCTCCAAGAAGGTTTTTCAAAAACCTCAATTGACACAGCGTCGGCATTATCGTCGTTAACATTGGGATCATCGAAAGCGGAGCTTTTTCCAGGGAGTACCGTGGGTCTGATGGGCTCAAATTCATGCACAGAATCTGCGACGCTTCGTCGTATCGTGGGCATTGTATTCTTAATGAACTGACTACGAGTCATCTTTTGCTCAATATCGGCGATATGCAGATCTGTGTTGAGCAAAAGAACCGAGTAACAAATTGTATGCACGACATCTAAACGCATTAGGTTGATATAAAATGAGCATTGCGCATCAACTTACCTGTAGTTTTAAATCCATGATTGGGATTACTTCGACACCATCTCTTTGAAAAAGCATCTAATATTCTGTCAACCTGTTGGCTTTCACCTTTAAGCACCAGTCTACCACAAACTACACGCATCGAAGCGAGTATGTTAAGGTTCGTGAAGTCGTAAAGACTCATATACGCCTTCAGAGTCCTTGCTCGAACAACTCCCTCGTCTCCCATCCATGCCGTCGCCTTTTCCTTTGGAATGAAATCTTCAATGCCGTCGTATAACTTCTGTGCCCTAATTAAGTCTTCTTCTGTGGGTTCTGTATCATCAACTCCTTCCAATTCCAGGAAGTCAAATGGCGCAATATTTTCCTTGTAAGACATTGGAGGAGGGCTAGCAGGCGGGCCTTCTTCTTGTCCCTCGACTTGTAAAAGTGGTAGACTAACAGCCGATTTATATATGGTATCGGTAGATCCGGAAGCCGCAATCGAGTTCGCGAGTTTAGGTTTCAAAGTATTTGTCGCTGGAAGATCTTCTTCCGATGATCCAGGTTCCAACCAAACACGATCTTTCTCTGGCAAGTCCGACTTAGAAGGAGCAAGCACTACCCAATCTTCTTCTTTGGCAGGACCAATTGATAGTGCCTGACTGTCCTTGGAATTCACGGTACTTAAAGGTGACTCCAAAAGAGGTTCTACTGGATTGGTCTCTGATTCTGGTGGGTTTTTGGAGGTCGTCGGTGAAAGTTTTGAGTGTGTTCTTTCATATTCCGCAACAATAGCCATATCCCTCACCACCGAGGAAGATGGACCAGAAGAGGTCGGACTGGGTAACAATGTACTACCGGGTACATCTTTCGTGGTCGTCAAATTAAACTTCGCGTCACGATCACTCTCATTAGTACCCTGGAAGGATGTGTCACGAATTTCCTTGGCTTGCCCGTCAAATCCACCAGGCATAGCCAAATTGGTACTCGCGGATCTTCGCGGTTGTTTAATGGATGAATAAGATGATTGGCGACTGTCCCCAGCATGCGATGACGCCGGTTTCGAAGGAGGAATTTGTCGGATTGTAGCATTTGGGTCTGGATCGTAATTCGGAGAAAAGCCCCTTACATGGCTGTTGCGTTCAACATCATCGGAAATTTCATTAATTTGCCGATCAAGGCTAGCGGTAGGAAGGTGAGCCTCAAATGGAGGTCTCCCTGGGCTGTGTAGGTATGGGTTCATAACCTGGCGAAGACTGCTTACGGGGCTAGCCTCAGGCTGTGAATCTGGAATGACTGGTCGTAATTTATGTGGCTCGAGCATCATAGATGGCAACGGCATTGCTGGCAGGGGAACAGGTTCGGGGTCAGACACGGACTTCTTGCGCCGGCGGAAGAACGATGATGGTTTTTTAGTAAGTACATGCGGCTGTTCTTTCGGGGCCTGTGGGTTTTCTCGAGATGGTAATACGTTGTTAGATTTCATTGTGTTAGCAGCATGAGTTTTGCTACCTGGGCGTTCGGCCGTTTCAGTGGACGTAGTGGAACCGTGCGAAGGCGGTGGGTCGGGTACCACAACACTGTTGTTCCCACTGTTGTTCCAGGAAGAACCGAAAACCCTTCTGAAGAAACCGGGTTTTTCCTTGGGCGCTTGAGCGGCAGGTTGCGCGTGCTGGGGAACATCTTTCGCTTTTGAATAGGCCCCATCAGGTGAAGGAGATTGTTCTTTTATGAAAGCCGGCATGGGTGGCAATTCTTTACTGCGATCATCAAGGCCATATTCATGCCTGGCAGGATTGTTGAAACCCCTCGGTTTGTGTGCGCTCTTTGAAGATTTTGCACTTCTTTTCCTCTCCAAATTTTCCATTGGAGGATCGATCATGGCAAGATCCGGTCGTGAAACCAGAATTGGGGATGTGGGTCGAGGACGTCGTGGACCGCCAGGCACTGTAGGTGTTGGAGCCGCGTCGTAGTCGTATGGAGATGGAGAGGGCACATGTATATTATTCATATGTCTTCCTAGGATGGATTGAGAAGTTGCTTGGAGATCACAGCCGTAATCAAAGCTTGAAGACCTCCCCGCCAAACCATGGGCCCACCTCTGATTGCTTGTAACTTGTGCGTAACCAAGGTCGAAACTATTCGCACTGCTCCCTTTACTTCCCACACTACTGCCGGTATTCTTTCTCCCTCCGCGCTGTGGTATCGGAGGTCCTCTGCCTGATCCACCAATGTCGTTGCGTATACTATTAATTCTCGTCAAGCCAGTTTGGAAGTTGGAACTGCTATTACTTCTTCGACTGCGAGAGATTCTGTCTGAGTATCGACTCGAGTCATCCGCCGGATCGTAGTCAGAACTAAAGGAATAAGCGTGTCCTCTGCCACCCCTAGCTGCGAAATTTTGAGGTGATTGGTGTGGTTCGTCATCACCGAAGGAATATAACCGATCTTCAGCAAGCGTAGGATTGCGCAAACTAAAATCTTCTTGTCCAAAGGAGAATTGATCTAGGGAAAGTAGCATATGATCTACCAAGGAATCGCGGGTAACTTGTCGGGGAGAAAGTGAGAGGTCGTGGGAATCCCGGTTACTTTGTACATTCTCAGGATCATTTTCTCTGTTCGAAGGATCCGCCGGTGTAATGTCATCTAAAAATGTATGCCCTGTTCCATTCCGTCCATTAAGCGCCCGATTTGATGAAGTAATAATATCTTTAGTGGTGGTCTGCGCCTCCGGTGTCTGGGGCGGAGATATACTCTCTCTTCTTTTTCCTTTATAGCCAGTATCAACATTCAGGTCCACGCCGAGTCGCTTCGTCGGTGCGTTCGGCATCTTCTCGATGGTATGCATGGCAGCCACAATTGCAGCTGAGTCGTCATGAAGTATTGTAGAATGGTGTTCCGAAAGGATAATATGATGGTACTGAACTGTTTCCTATTTTGAAATCTACCCTCAATGCGACTCTAGCCTCGATCAATACCTACGTAAGGTTCGATGTCAATTGCGCGCCAATCCTTTGCCGATGCGAATCATTCAATCGATTGCCCCGTATTCTAATTTTTTCTTGAGTATTTCTCTATTTCTCCCCGTCGACCAGCCGCTCGCGATAATTTGTCTGCGTGTAATATATTTTTGACCAGGTACTAGGATGGTTTTCTGATGCAATAAATGTCAGAAGAGGTTGATGCAACAGAATCTGGTTTCGAAACAAGCCAAAATATCGGGGGGAAGTTTGCTTGCGTGCTACAGAGTAATTTATTTTCCCGGGAGTGAATTGGGAGAGACTGACTTTGAAGATTGGCATATGCTGGTGGTTGAAGATGGTAGGTGAGGCGAGATAAGGTAAGGGTACCAATGGCCTTTCGTTCCCGTCTGTCTGCTTGTTCGTCGTCGGATAAGTGAATTGAATTAGAATTAATGGTTGTCTGTGAATCTGTGATGTAGAATAGTGGGATCCGTTCGTAACAAACAGCGGAGAAGCAGAAGCAGAGACGATCAATTGTTGATAGTTCGGGTATGGATGGATTGTATTGAGTAATATGGTCGTGCAGTAGTGATTTTCGATATGGGGCATATACTTTATTGGGTTTGTCTTGTCACTTGTTCGGTCTTTGGTCTTCAAATCTACTTAGTTCCTCGTACCCTTCACTCCTATGGAGAATATATTCCAATATTTCTAGGGTTCCCGACACCGATAGAATGGCGACCACTGGGATTGGAGTTTCTAAACGCCCAAAAGGGCTTCTGGAAATCGTTTCTTCAAGGGTCGCGACGGATAAAGGGAAGATTGGTATACCCAAAAGAGCTTTCCCCGGAATGGATGAAGGGGGTACAATATGGCAGAGCACGATATAATTTATGTGTGCTTCCGTCTAGTAAGATGTTTGTCCTCGATTTCGCATCAAGATGGTAGATTGATTGGTTGAGATTGAATGAATGAATAGTAATTGATTGAAAGATCGATTGATCAATTGAATGATTGATTAATTAATTTGTCGTCAGGAACCAAATGTACTCACTCGGATTCAAGATCAAGAAGAGAGATTTGATTGTCATGAAGGATATTTCGTAGATAGGTAAAATTTACAATTCATTTCCGCTTTGATTCATCATATCATTCAGTCATTCATTCGTTCATGACCGGCCCCATAGACGAAAGGAACAGACCAAAAGAACGAAGCAGTATAAAAAATATTTCGTATCCAGCCCGTGCTGTCCTATCTCCTACTCCATCTATCTACCTAGTATCTATCTATGAAATCTATGATATCCATTTCCACAGCCAAAAAAAAAAAGTAAAAATATTTTCACCAGAATTCCCAGTCTCCCAGTCTCCCCGTCTCGATGACAAAAACCAGAAACATATCTGAAGAGCTATATCCGTGGAATGATCCAGGTTACTATGGTTCGTTACCTACCTAGGCACTTTCGATAGATCTTATTCCAAATGCATGTCGCCATATCTAATAAAAGGCCATGCATGCTTGTAAATTACCAACTCATCACCCAAAAAAACATGGCAGCTGCATCTCCTGGGGAACCCATGAAAAAAAAAAAACATGAAAACCCATGAACCATCCCCATTATTTTTTAATTAAATTGTATGATTCTATTCCGAACCTTGAAAAAGATGATGTTTAAAAAAGGAGTCACAGTTCGTACCACCAAACTGCATGATGGGGGATTGGGGGTCGGCATAGGAAAGGATCTAGCCAGGGATTGATTGACATTGGATAGAGAAGGAAGGGTAGAATCATGAATGCCACCATGATTCGTGATTCGTGATACTGTGACAGCCAGTCATTGAAGTTTCAGGGGGAAGGGAAGGGAAAGATGTACAAAAGTACGTGCAACCATATACCTTTTCACTCTGCTTAAGAATATCTCTGCGGTTAACCGTCAAACATAATCTTACATGTATACAGAAACACAGTGTAACTTTGTCCTCTGTACGATGAATACGATGGATATTTCATGCAGAAAAGAGCGGTGTACCATGAACATGAAGTATGACATTAATTACACACTTCCACACGGTTTACATGCTGATAATTGCGTTTGATAAGCTACTTTTACAGAAACGAAAGTGGATGGAGATCCGTTGGACGAAGCTTCCCAATTCCAATAGAGTTACAGAATGAGAGTACGGACATAGGTAGGTAGGTACTTAATGTTTCTTCCTCTCATACCGGTATCAAGCCGGCCCGTTCAACCCTGGAAAGAAAAGTCCAACATTCAAAGTGCAAAGATTCAACATCTGATTATTCTCATAGAGATCCAAGCTTCGAACCATTTTACCTTTTTGATATCCAGATCTCCCGCGTTTGCCTTTTGCTCTTTGCAGATAGATACCCATGCGTGCGCCATTTATTATACGCACCCCTATTTCCCTGCATAAAGATATACATCGCTAAGAACGCTGGAAGAATGAGTGGTCTGCACGGCAATGGCAAAGTCATCCAATTGGATACCGATATCCAAGTTGATACCAACGAAGAAGCGTCATATTGTAAATCATTCGATCTGACTTCTTTTGCCGCAAATTGACCAATGGTTGAGTGCATAAAGGAATGCTATCCAGTTGGTTGTATTCATATCTACGAATCACTATTTTGGTCTGTATTGCCATTGGGGTTCTGGACCTCAAGGATGAAGTACTTACCTCAGTTAACAAACTTTCTCATTGGCAAGGACTAACCATTTACTTCAGAGCCAACTACTAACCACACAAACAACAATAAAGCATACCACCAAAATATCTGCTTCTTCACTGGCGTCATTGTGCACCGGGCTTAGCCTCATTTTAAGACTGACTACCTAGTAAGATCTTACCTTTACAACAAAACAACATCAAAGATATCTTTACCGACCAGTAAAACCAGTAAACCCCTGTAAGAGATTAAGTTACTCTAGCGCGAAACCCTACGATCTCCAAGCACAAGATAGGTTAAACAATATCTTCACTTTCAGTTCGGTTTATGCTTGCCAGACCGGGAAATGTGATAGTGCTTTGGTATTGTATGTATGTATGTGTGCTTATACTTTACATGAGGCTTTACCTGCTTACTAGAGAATTTGATATACACAACCGCACAGGTTTCTTTTTATTGTATTTCAAGTCAACATCTACTTGTTTCCTTTATGCCGCTGCGGATTAAAAGAATCGACCGACTTCGGTAGTGTGGTCGGAAGTCCGAATTTCCTCGTATATTTCAGATCTGCTGTATTTGCAAAGTAAGATTACCTGAGGTCCTCTACGTTTTCTTACTTGAATCTTAGATATAAATAAGGTCTGCCCATTGAGTCTTTGTTGCTGCATGTGGTATATATTCAATATCATACACCCGAATTCGAAAAAGAAGGGCAAAATATAAGTACAATGGCTATAAACTATCCTGATATAGATAAATACATAAATAAATAAATAAATCAAAATACTATTCATTATCTCCTCATCCATCCTCTCTTCCCCACTAGTTACTAACCTTACTTATGTATATTTCCATTAATGACAACTTAGTCTATTATATCCATTATATTCATCCTGTAATAACCACCAATATTACGATCATCAAATCACTGAGAAATACTAATCTTACATGTGGTTATTCTTCAGGATTATAGAATATTTTAAGATTTAAATAAATCAAATTAAATACTATTTCTGTGGCTCGTTGTAGCTCTGTCGAGCTTAAACTCAAACTCAATGTTACGAGGTTTGCCGTCTAGATCACGTGGAAGTGCTCTAGGCTCTCGAGGTGGTTTATAACTAGGCGTCAAGCAGGGACTTAAGTAATGACAATGATGCAATTCGTAACTAATAGTAGAGTATACTAAATGATTGATCTTGATTTTGAGCACGAAGCTCTATACAAAGGGAATCCATCTTGATTATATAGACCTTCGTATTCCAATCATTGGAGCGATGGAGCTGGGGAGCGAGATTCGAATCTCGCTCCCCAGCTCCCTCGCTCCCTCACAAGACTATCCATGTGATCCTATAACACATGATAATAGTTTATAATGTTACAACGTAACAATAAAAATCTTTTATATTTATATTTATATAAATTTTATAATTTATTATATAGAGTAAACTTTTTATTAATATGATTTATTTGTTTATTCTGATTTATTATATAAAGTTTAAAATAAAGTATTTTATTTTATACATTCCTTATTCGACATTAAATGGATTATTATATAAAATACCAACCGCTCATTCACATACGCGATGTCGACAACTACTTAATGCTCTCTTAGCAGTAATAGTCTCCTTATATCCTATTTCCCACCCAGATCTAAGATTACTGTAATTAAAACTTCAGTATCATCTACCAAATGTAAAATATATTATTTCATCCTTATGAAAAGGTAATAAGAAAGTTAAGAGCTTTATAAAATGTTCCTACTGACATGAACTCTCTACATTTCCAAATTTAGTACTCATAATCTCGATCAGATCGCTCAGTCATGCCTTTACTGCTTGCAAGTCATATGGATGGGTAAACCTCCCAATACATTGTCCTGGCCAAGTTTAGAAGGGGAGCAAGTAAGTTTACTGATAGTTTCTCCTACTCCACAGAAGTTTAGCCATTCGCCCGTGGTGTTTCCTTTGATGGCTATTCAAGGAATCTGTGAGATCGATTTCTTTAGAAGAACTATCAACATCCTTAGAAGAAGTATCAATTCCTTGAGAAGAGATATCAAAAAACACAATATTTGTTTCATCCGGTCTCTCACCGGACGCATACTTCTTAGTATATAGTCGGGCATTAGAACAATATTCATCAAAATTTTTGTGATAAGTGTGTGCAATCTCCGGCACCAACGGGTCATCCACATCGGGAGATGATAAAAGATCACATAGTGCGGTAAGCAGCGCTCCAATTGACCAATCGAGTTTCCTATTGCTTCCGGAAGGCCACTTATCCAAACTTTTCAAGCGCCTTGGGTGATTCTGAAGTTGACTATCTATGCAGCAAACGTATCCTTGTGGTGATATGTTTGGGTGGTAAATCTTTGTGTTGAATCTCATGAGAGGTAACTGATCGGGATAATGGTCCGTTATTTTAAATGTAATCCAGAATATGCCGCCTTCATATGGAGTTTCCGGCGGTCCCTCAATGCTTGCCAATATAGTATCGAGAGAATTGTTAATGGGCGTAGCACTGATAAATGGTATATTAGCTTGTCGAATACCACGAAGGTCAAGGAAAATGCGCTTCCAGACCGCAGGACCAGTTTGCGCAGCTGTAACCAGTTTTCCAGAGCTTTGAACCCAAAATTCTGCATCTTCGCTTTTGATAGCAGTGAGGCGATCGCCATAGTTTGTATCGCCAGTAGAAAAACTCAGAGCTTGTTGAGGTCCAGCCATCTCAATAAGCCCTTGCATAAGGCGCCGATTCTGAGATAATTGTTGTGGTGATGATGGGTCGGTATTAGCATCATACATAGCATCAACAACTTCAGAGGTTGACGTAAAAGAAGTAGCTAGGTCTTTGCGTGGACTTTTCGAAAAACTGCATTCTCTTCCGGTCTGTATGCATCTTAAACAGGAACCCGTCTTATTAATTGTCTCACATTTATAATGCTCTTGGAGACATTCTTGACAAGTGTTACTCCGCTTTTGTTGAGTTTCCTTGCCCATTTCCTTTTTGTGTGATGGCAACGACGGTGGCCAGGCTCCCGGTGGTTTTGGCATTGAGTTGGGGTGGCTGAAGAGTCCCGTAGACTGTCTTGTACATGCCGTCTTGAAGGAAAAACCTGTTTCGTTATTAGAGAAGTCTATTATATAATCTTTATTGTACTACCCTCTGAATTTAAAGACTCAACAATCATAACCATACGTTTGCTCGCAGTCTCTGAAATATCCCCCGTACTGGAATTCCCATGGATTGAAGAGGCATCCCGAAGCAATCTCAAGCTTTCTACGTCGGATATGCTATCAATTTCTTCTAATAATCGAGAATGCTGATTTTCCAATAATCCTAAAGATTTAGTGATACTCTCAAGGCCATCAACATATCTCCTTAGCCGTTCAATTAAATCTTCGAACTTCTTCGCATCGTGTACCACCCATGAGGTTACCTTCCAAGCAGGTGTGTCTTTCTGATGTTCTCTTATTCGAAGTTTGAATCTTTCGAATGAAGTCTTGAAGACTTGCATACCTAACGACGTTGATTGCTGAGTCACTAGCATCTCGCCATACTTCTTATTGATTCGAGCACCCTCTTCGAGCAGAATTTGGATGTTATTGAGGATCCTTTCCACTCCCGGTCGAATGTCTTGTCTATCGATGTTCTTGTCGTACTGTAGGCGGCGCCCGTTATTTGGGTCTGGGATCAACCCAACGGACTCACCCCAGAGGCCAAATCGAGCACGTTCTAGGGAGAACTACAAAGCTTAGTAAGGACATTTGATGACTGCGCACGAATTATGTACCAGGGCACAAAGTTGCTCGAAATCCTCACTGAAATTCTTCCCAGCAATAACAATATCAAAGCACTCGATACATGTCGTGAACAAGGCTGCAACACTGATTGCACTCAAAGTAAGGCCGGCCAATCCTTCCGCTGCTCCGGACATTATTTTTGTCTGTGATCAGTTGGATGGCTTTATCCAATATGGGTGTATCATAAGGAATTGGAGATGAGAATATTAATGTTGCGAACATTTATGCCATGCTAAACAATCATAGGAGACTGCTAGGCGGGAAAGTGGTGCGTTGCAGCCTCATTTGTAAGATTACTATACTTCGTGCACACCTTCAATCAATGAGCCACATTGCCAATAATGGCTGACCAAACGCATCTTCCAGCCAAGAGTTGAAGATCAAACTTCTCAATTTCACAACATATGATGTATGTCGATTTGAGATGTATTTGCATGTAACAGATGTCTTCATTTCTCGACGAGCTCGTGATGATTTGACGCGAAGATTACAACTACCAGATTTGTACTTGGGAGTTGAGGATTGAGAGAGAAGGCCAGAGCAGCAGAAACCGCATGCATCTTCTGCAAAACTCTATGGACGCGATGTAAGACAGGATCTGAGGTCGCGACTAAGAACTGTTGACTGTAAGTTGTTTTTCACACGATTTAAACCAATGTGCATTAGTTCAATTGACGAAAACTGTACGAAGGTAGGTTTTAATTAGGACACTCCAACCGTTAATTTCCATCCCATAAATCGTAACAAAACCACGTTTGGCAATCCAGGAGAAAGTGTTCATATAAAATTGAAAAAGAAGATGTAGATGCACATAGAAATATCGCCTAATACTAGCGTGCCGATGAAAAGAAGATAACAAAAGGGAAGGCACAACGATCTTACAAACTCAAAACATGCCTTGCGGTCAACCCCGCAGATTCATTATCCGCTCAGAGCTAATCCTCCAATTAGTATCCTAGTGTGTTTTACTTTCAGATCATTCTTTTTTTTAAATTATTTTTTTTCATCAAAAATCATAATTTTTATTTGTTAATAACTTTGTAATAAATCAATAAAATTTAAATTATACATTTATTTTATAAGTAATAATAAATTATAAAATTTCAAGTTGTTTATAATTGATTTTATTAAAATCTTTAATTTTAATTTATTAGTTCTTAATTTAAAAATAACTTTGGAAATTTATTAAACAACAAACGAAAATAATGATTTTTGATGTAAAAGAATGGCCCAAGAGAGGGTTGATCCGAAAGTAGGGCACTAGACTTAATGATTCATTATCTTTCTTAAACCTGGTCCAAAACATCCCTTCTTTATATAGCATTTCCGGCAATCCCTGGATACTTGCCAATACAGCAGTATCAAGAGAACCGTTAATGGAAGTAGCACTGATAAATGGGATATGAGCTTAATGAATACCAGGGAAACTCGCTTCCAAACCGCAGGACCAGTCTTCCGGAACTTTGTACCCAATATCCTGCATCATTGTCAACAGGGAAACTCAACACTTGATGAGGGTTATCGTGGCAAGTCTCTGCATCAGGTCAAATTTCCTCGAAAATGTGATCTTGTCGTCCTCCATTTTCTAGGAAAGGATGTAAATAATCAAAAATGCAAAAAACAAAAGGAACATACAACAGTAGGGATTCGCTGGTGGTCACCCACCCAACTACTAATCTACCGATCTGAGGCTTGTGTATGGCAGAGCGGACGGGATGCCCAATTCTCCTCAGTCTATGGTCGTATGTGGGAGATTTAGTTCTAAAATGATATAGGTTACATACTTTGCACACTCTTCCTCCCCTAGATCAAATCTAACAAATATCCCATTCACCCCTCCAAACCTCTCCCCTCACCTACCTACTCTTCCACCTAACCCTCCCAACCCACTCCACAAAACGCGCCACATCCTCCCTCTCCCCAAGCAACTCCACCGTATAATACTCCCGCGCCAATTCCTCATGACCAGCCACGCGATGTACAAAACTATGACACGCACGACATAACCACGCTACATTATTTAATTCTTCCTCGGCATGCCAACCCCGCTTTAATACCTTTGCATGTACGAATTTAGGGATGAGATGATGATATGTCAGGGGAATCCAATCGCGATCGCATAATTCGCATGCGCTGATCAAGACTTTGAGTTCGTGGGGTGGAGGGGGTGTGGCGAGAAGTTGAGTGGTGTAGGTGCTGAGGACTGGGTGGAGAAATTCGGAGAGTGTGGTGGATGGGGGGAGGAGGGAGTAGGTGTGTAGTGAATCGGGAATGCTGGGGGGAAGAGCTTGAGTGATTTTATTTGAGGTTTCGGGATCGAGGGGGTTGAGGTTGGGGTAGATTTTTTGGAGGGTTGCATTGGTTTTGTAGTTTGTGTATGATAATGTTTGGAGTTCGGGTGGGAGATGAGTAAATATTTCGTGGGCGATGTACTACTTTCGTGTAAGTTTTCGTATTATTATCTTCGAGAAATATATTTAGAAAAAGAACGAGGAAGATTTATACTTCAATAAAGTCGGCAAGTTCGGCTGCATCATTAATGCCCGCTTCGTCTACATCTATATCTTTCGATATAGGTTTGATAGCTCCTTTTCTTCCAACCTTTGCTTTCCCTCTCGTTTTCCGTTTGGAGGCATTAGGGTTTGAGGCAGATGTACATCGGTCGATAAGAGGGGTCGATAAACAATCGAGGAAGATGCGAAAATTGGATTCTTCTTCGTTGGTGAGCATGAGGTGTGAAATGAGCGGTTGGGTAAAGAGGAATGGAGATGGAGACGGGAATGAAGGGGTAATTATTCGCTAATTTCGGTTATTTGAGATTTGGATTATACGGATTTTTATATCGTAATCTCAGATTGTAGAGACAGAATATTGAATAAGAAGTTACGGATGCCACTATCGTCGAAGAGTCATGACGGTGAGATGCAGAGGTGGAGTCGCCAAGTAAGATCTTACCTACCTGCCTAGTATTCCTAGCTGCAGGTTCAGAGCACTGCATCTCAATAAAAATAAATCTTATTAAGCTTCCGGTAGGTACCTGATAACCTTAAACCACTACTGGAAACTTTACCCCGCACTTGTTTTCAATTCAGTAATTCAGTAAGCCTGAGTATCAAACGTCATGCATACTAGGTAATTATCACTGCTCTTACAACAATATATCAATTCAATATTCAATTCCACCAAGAAATTATTATTATTCACCATCTTCCCCCAAGAAGTCAACACAATAATCTTACAATAATCAAAAATATACCAAAATGTCTAATAAGAAAACAATCATAGCATTTGATCTCTACGGTACACTCCTTTCCACCTCGAGTATCGCCCACGAATTAGCTCTACATTTTGGCGACGAGAAAGCTCAATCTATTGCTGCGTTATGGAGAAGATATGTATGTACCCAATAATACCTTCTCACATATAAATACTCTATCTCATATTCTAAGAAATTCTTCTCTCTTCTCTAGCAATTGGAATACACGTTCCGAATGAACAGCATGTGTAAGTTTCACTCTTAATCCTCACTGGATAAAGTACCCCGCTGCACCAAAACCCTTAAAAGTTCTGAATTGTATCTCACAGGAACGCAGCATTATATAAACCCTTCTTAGAAATAACACATACATCACTCTATCACGCATTATCCGAACACAAACTCTCTCTTTCAGAAGCAGATGTCGGCCGTATTATGAACGCTTACAATTCACTCACCATCTTCCCGGACGTATCATCTGGCCTGGAAAATTTGGCGAAAGATACTGAGATTATTGCACATGTGTTTTCAAATGGTACTAATGAAATGGTATCTGAATCTGTGAATAAATCACCTCAGCTTTCGGGATTTAGGCAGCTTTTTAAAGAGCTTATTACGGTGGAGGAAGTAGAATGCTATAAACCCCATCCGAAAGTGTATGAGCATCTTGTTAGGAAGGCGAGAGGTGATGTACGTAGAGAAGATCGGGAGGGGGTGTGGCTTGTAAGTGGGAATCCGTTTGATATTGTAGGAGCGAGAGCAGTGGGTTTGCAAACTTGTTGGGTGGATAGGATGGGGGATGGCTGGATGGATAGATTGGGTGAATTGGCGAGTGGAGGCCCGCATGTTGTGGTGAAGGGGGTTGATGAAGCGGTGCGGGAGATTCAAAGGATGTCTAGGTCTTAGTATTTTGAATGATGAAGCTCTGATGTTTGTTATGAGCGAAAACGAAGGTTCTTAGCGGAAATTTGTTGATTGTGCTACTGCACTTTGTTGAATAATTCCTCAGTTGATGGTTGAAGCAACCACCTATCTTAAGTACTTCTCAGGTATCGATTATGAGAATTGCAGTCTGCGGGTCAATCGTGTCGATATGCCTCTCTTGCTATTAATCAGTAGTAATGATGGTAATGGAAAGAACATGAAGTACTGTACCTAGTAAGATACCTATAAATCAAGGCCAGGATTGATGTAAAGAGGAGGAAAGACAGGAAGACAAAAACAAGCAAAACTAATTAGGATAAAACCTTTGCGTTATTGAGATACAACATACCAACATGAATCTCCTCAAAATATATCTCATTTATCTTCGAGGAATGTAAGACTAATTAAGACTTTCAGGATGATCTATTTTTATTCTAAAATCCATTTTTCCATCCTACTAGGTAAAATATCCTAGCACAGCCACATTAACCTTATGTCATGTGGCGGTGTGAGATTAGCCTTGCTTCTAGGAATCTAGGATGTGTTTCTCTCCACCATCAGATCTGCCCCACACTCAAATACATACAGCGCTATTGAACAGCCCTACGTGTAAGGCTGGCTCTCGAAGTCTTGGGATGCAGATGCCTAGATATTGATGATTGTGATGTGTTGTCTTTTGTCTTTTCCCTCGCCAGATCAGATACTATTTCTCTCAATATAACTATGGATACATATTACCGGACTCTCCATAAACTCGAGGAAAGAAACAATGACAGAAGTAGAAACAGAAAATCTAGAAATCCCTAGAATATTTCCTCTAGGAGACGAGAATCCTGAGGGCGATTAATGCTTGTATGGTTTCTTCATGCATACTACTTTACTCATATTTCTGAGTCTAGATCCTGGAGTAAGCACTCACTTCGGCCTGCTTTTTAATCTCCCTTCTCAAGTTTGCAGTGTGCACAACTAACTAGGTACTAAACTAATACGTACTCGTATGCTAGTTGTGACAAACCTTCACATAACGAAATTTGGTACATATCATCGTCGCTCTTGATTCGGGTATCTTACATATTTTTAATCATGAAAATTGTGGGGATATCGAAGAGGAAATCGTAGTGGAGGTGTGTGAGAAGGAGATTTTGTGCGTATATTCTTGGGAGGGAGAGTGGAAAGAAGAGTGGATTGATGTGGGTGGATCGGGGAATGAGGGTGTGTATGTGGGATGGGAATGGAAGGCTGTGAGTATATTCCTTTCCTCTCCTTTGTTATGCGGAGTATGGAGGCTGAAGTCACGTTGACGGGGCGGCTTTTTCGAGGGTTTTTTTAGTAGTTTTCTCAACGTGAGAAGGATGCGACGTGAGTTTGAACATTGGGGAGGGTGATAATATGTTTGATCTCTGGTTTTTGGAAGCCCCTAGATTTTTGTCACAGAATACTACGGTAACTCACCTGTAAACAAGTGTTTGCATCACAATTATGAGTCTTCGAGGCCGCACGCACAGTGTTCTCTGACTTTATGACATCAATTTTGATGAAAATTTCTTCTAGTTGATGGCCGTTGTTGTATCGATCGTGGATGTTTGATGTTGGTCTGTAGGTACAGATTCCGCAACATTTCATGGTATGGCTTGTTTCAAGAATCTTTTGTTCGGATGAAGGGCTAGTGACTTCAGAAAGGGTGGCAAGCCTTCTCCAGAGTCAAAAACACGTTCTAACAAAAGACGTTCCTTAACACGATGGTTTCAAAATCAGTTCTAGATCATTCAGATCAAACGGAATCCAACAAAATATTGACGGAAATGCAAAACTTAGAAATACTTCCTCCTGGTGCTTTATGCCATCACAATTTTGACTATGATCAGTAAGGCATTTCTGTTGGTCGAGTAGCGAGTTTTAAAGGACTCCAGGCTTAAGGGATCAGGATGTGGCTGCAGTGCGGATTAAGATAGGATGAACATACACAGAAGCCATCTTAAGTTCTGCGTCCCCTCGGTATTTTTTAATCTTCAATTAAGGATTTAAGGCAACCTTCACTCTTTCCCTTGAAAGAACAACTGGCTGTGGGTCTCGGCTATTCAATTTTTCACAAAATTCTCTTTATATTCCCTTGTTCGGAAATTGTCTTACCTTGAAGGATTCTAGTGGATCCATTGGACATCAACACCTCACAATTGCTATGGTACAAGTCTCATTTCCAAGTCCATAGCAAAAAAAGAATATGAAATATCAGTGCGGAGCGTGCTAGAGTAAAGAAACTCTGTATCAAACTCGTAATTATGCTTATATCTTCCGGGCTTTTTCACTGTTTCGTGTAACATGGTACACGGGGGATTATTTAGCTTAGTAGACTGCTGCGAGGAAGGATTTTAAATGGTGAGGCTCGTTGCTACTTCTCAATCTCATAAAATTAGATGTTCTCGAAGGATGAATCGAGGCTGAAAATCGCTGTTTCTTACTATCGCATAGAGTTGAAAAATCAAACTTCAAGGTCATAAATCAACAGTGAGAGTTGTCAAAGCTTTATCAGCTACTACGGTCATATCCACATCCCGCGATGCAACGATTAGGATTTGAAATATCCGAAATGGAATATTTGAGGCTGTCCTGAAAGGTCATACCGAAACAATCAGATGCCTGGATGTGCATGAGAAAATTGATGTATCAGGCAGTCATGATAATGAAGCCAGGGTATGGGATTTGGAAAAGAGGGTGTGCTTGCATGTGAGGAAAGTAAGATCTACGTGATTGCGACTGATGGAGTGGAAGTTATCACCGGAAGTATGGATAAATCGGTGACAGTGTGGGATATGATTACTGGGTATGTCGTCTAACTTCGCGTGCATTACCTCGTTAGGTAGCTCTAACCATTGTTCTGTCAGAGAATTTCAACCTATCCTTGAAGGCCTTACATCCCTTGTAGGATTGTTGGAATTACTTCCGTCAAGTTGACGGCAGATGCAAGCGGGGCCATTCGTCTATTCACCAATCAGGACTACAAAGAGATATGGAAGGTCGAAGCACATCAAACTGCAGTCATATCTATGCATTGTCATGGTTCCAAGTTTGATAGTGGAGAGGCTCGGATGGTAAAGTTAGAGTATGGAATCTAAGCAATGGAAAGCTATTGCAGGAGTTAATAACTAGTAATGTGGTATGGTACGTAAAATGGATTGAAAATAGTCTTGTGGCACTATTTTCGAAGGATATCGACAATAAAATAGAGGCCACCATGAAGGTCAATGTGATAGAGACGAGGGAAATGTAGAAGAAGGCATCGACTGACTTTAACTTGCACGGATTTGGTATGTGCCTCCGTAATCCGGTCGAGCAAGGTTTTGTTCGTTGCATATCGGTAGCATACAAAGCTGCAGATATCCCAGAATAGGCGTTAAAACGAGGCATACCGAATATCTTTGAGAATTTGAATGTATACAGAAAAACTCCTGAACCAGGGGAATTTTTTGATTGTTGGTTCCCCACAATAGGCAACCGTAAAGCCGTACTGTTGTGGATATGGATGTCCGGATATTCCCCCGAGAAGAGTTGACTAATACTGTTAATATCCTAGATATATTTATCCTACTGATTCGAATCGTAAATTTTCATCCGCAATATATTCCGTCACTTAATCTTGACACTTTCTGAGTCACGTTGTGGTTTGACGAGATTCTAGAAGGGGATGAAGGAGTTTTGACCAACACTTACTTCAGTGGGTCTTTAGTCAGGTCTTATTATAACATGTCAAAAAACAACTCCACAGATCCATCTACATTGAAGACTTTTCTTAGTATTGCCTCATTATACGGAGGAAAGCGTACTTGCATATAGACCCGATTGACCAGAGCGACGCGTCCAATCGTCCGAGCTTGAATTCGTGGCGAATGATCTACGTTATAACTTGACATTTCGAATCCACTCCTTCCAAGGGGATTTCTGGAAGATGGGGGGATCATCATTTACTAAATTTTGCCTTTTTAGTTTAACCTTACGACAACTTCAAGACTCGTAGTTTTTCCAATTTTGCACGGGATTCACGATCAAAGTCTCTACGACCTCAAACAAATTTTGTATTCAAATGAATGAATGATTGATTGACTAAATGATTACGGTTAATCCATCATGTCATGGATCTTATTGTAAGACAGTCAAATGGAACAATTCCTAAGCTAGCATTCTCACACATATCCGAAATCGTCATCAAAAAATAAGACGGAGTAAATTTCCACCCTTGAACTAACCGAAAACAAAGATTCCATGGATCAATTCTAAGCACCTTATCTATCTATGTCTATGTTGGTAATCTCCACTTCATGCATGATAATTCAATCCATTTATTTGGAAAGAAGTTGGGTATGACAATGATTTATTTGTTTTTATTCCAACATCCGGCATCATGCATACTAAGCCTCCATACCCCTGAAGCTTGCATCCTTCGTTACATACCTACTAAGCCTACGATGGCACAGTGGACTTGAAGCCCTTGAAGCCTCCTGTCCAACTCGGGCGGTGTAAGACCGGTTTGTCGGAGAGGATAAAATTACTCATTTACTTTGGTTTCACGTCATAATGGATGGTTACCCCTCAGATTAGGTTGCAACACAAACGGTTTTTGTTAAGGTCATATACATCTTCTTTTTCCATTCGATTTCTCTTCCCCACAAGTGGCTCTAACGATCCAACTAAAAAGTTATTATTCGACTGAGTTTTGATAAGTTATCGAAAAGTAATATTTGGAGAGGGTAAAAATGTCAACTTCTAAGGGAACTCCATATCCACCACATCCACACCAAAAATCATCGTGTTGGCCCTCCGCACCAGGTGTTTACGTCAACGTTGAATTTAAGGTTTCGATGTCTGAAAATGATAAGGGACACGGTGCATCACTGAGATATACAGCCAGAAATATGAAGGAGAGGGAGAGAGCGAGAGCAAATACTCATTTGGGTGGCAGACCCATACCATCGATATTAACTCCGGGTTACCCTCAACCTAATCATCCATGTCGTCATCAACAAAGACCACAGCAGCAACAAGAAAGAGACCGAGGCTTGAGTATCGGGTTAGAAACACCAGAGAGGGGTAGATCTGCACCGCCGACTATGAATGATAGAAGACAACCGGTTAGTCCAGTTAGTCCCGTCAGCCCTATGAGTGCTATCGACAGTCCAATTCAACAACGGATGGTGAATCTCCCCCGACAAAACATTATGGATCGACTAGACCAACCTTTACCCTCAACACCAGGAAGATTTCGTCTGGGTGAAGATGACTTACCATGGTCAACACCACCATCATACTGGAACGCCAAACCCAACACATCAGAAAGCGTGGGTCCAACACGAATAAGTATTGAAACCCCTCACTCATCCCAAACACCAACAAACGCAACCCCTACCAAACGAACCGAAGATCCCCAAAGAGTTCGAGAATTATCTGAACTTCAACAGGCGATGATGACGGTAGATAGTATCAGTAATGACGTATGGGATCCGTGGATGTGGGAAAGTGTAGGAGAAATGCCGCGAGGACCACGAAGTATTGGATGGGCTGTAAGTTCAAATGATGCGATTGATTCGCCGGGTTCGGCGTCTCCGAAAATTCCTCCGCCGCCCCCGTATGTGGTTAGTCAGTGGGAACATGCTTGTGGGAGGAGAATAGCAAATGGGAGACCGAGGAGTACAGGTTGAGGAGTGGGAATGGAATTGGAATTTTTGTGGGAAATTTTCGGAATATAGTGTTCAGAAGGATCACGGAGATATTCAGCGAGCTTCGAACTCATCGTTTCTTCACGATTTGGATATACGGGGAAGAGTATTTACGCCCTTCTATCTCTCTTGATAGGTGTACAGCAATCAATCATCAGTGGATTGATCATTAATAAATGAGACACGAATGCGCTCTTCACAGTAACTGCGCATTGGAAACATACATCGATATGTATGGAATAAGAAGCAGGATCATGGATCTCGCATTCTTTCTACACAATTCTGACTTTTTCGAGAAATATCATCAGCAGTTCGGGACCTCGTACATTGTTGCAGAAGTAGCCTATGGTTATAATGATAGGATATCTAATCTGGCATTTCATTACGCTGCTCTCACTCATCTGCACCCTTTTATCTAAGAAGTAACTTTACCTCATATTGAAATCAAGAACTTTGTCAGGGGGTGGGTGTGAGTTGTCCTATATATAACAACCATCTCTCTACTACCATCTCCCAACTCCTAACTCTTTCTAAAGAACCACACACAAAACTACATACGAATAAAATCCAATCCAAACCGGCAAATCCAAATAAAACCTAATCCTCCAAAACCAAAATCAAAATCAAAATCCTATATCCATCCAATATAAAAACAAAGCAAGACCTTACTAAAGCATTTTGGATTTTTGGATTCGGATAGGAGTGTCTTAGTATCTATAGGAGTACATTTATACGATTACACCTGTGATACTTCATAGTGAGGTGGGGTATGGATTTGATGTTGGGTATTGTGCTTGAGATTGAGCTTGGGGTTGAGATTAAGTTTGAGTTTGAGCTTGGGGTTGAGGTTGGAAGTTGGAAGTTTAGAGTTGGAGCTTGAAGGTTGGAAATTGGATGTTTGAATTTGATATTGAATTTACAAGTAAATAATTTACAAAGAAATTCAAATAAAAAACAAAGATCAAAGATTAAAATTTACAGTTTGAAAACTTCAAATCAAAAAGATTCTTACAAGGGGTAGATATTGTTCTAGAAAATAAAATAAAATAAAATAAAATAAAATAAAATAAAATAAAATAAAATAAAATAAAATAAAATAAAATAAAATAAAATAAAATAAAATAAAATAAAATAAAATAAAATAAAATAAAATAAAATAAAATAAAATAAAATAAAATAAAATAAAATAAAATAAAATAAAATAAAATAAAATAAAATAAAATAAAATAGTTAGAAAAGGAATTATTATATAAATAATCTTGATTAATTAGTGTGACGGAAATCCCTGCTTTCCTCCCACCCTTATTATATAAGAAACCTCAGGTACATTAACCATGTCCACACATGATACGATTACTCGATATTAGTATACGATTTAGGTGACCTGAGGATCAGATCCGGACAAGTACTAGGTATCAATGATTATCGGTAAAGTAAGATCATTGGAGGGATAAATATGACTTCTTTTTGCCTAGCCATTGCGGCTAGGCCATTCATTTGTGTATATATAGAGTAGCTATCCCCATCTACAGGTGCTCTTCACCTGTAGATTCTAAGTTAAATACAATTGCTGGTCTATAAACACCCTTTTGGTCACAATTAGAATGTGTTAAAGTGAATGGTTCCTGCGTAGCACGTGCACAGGGCACTAGTCCTATTAGGACTAGATTGAGAAGCTCTCTGTAGGAGAGCTTCGCACTTCCGTAGAACTTAGAAGAGTGATTAAACTACTAGACCAATATTACCTCAGTTCTGCCCTATCAGCTTCCCACTATTCCCTGTGTAAGGTCATTCCTTTTAACAGAATTGAAGAATTAATCTTAAAAAGTTGAATATTTTAAAATTGAAATAATTATTTATTTTATATTTTATTTTATATATTTTATTAGAATGAGATGAGTTAAAATGAGTTGAGTTAAGTGTTACGAGGTTTGCCGTCTAGATCACGTGGAAGTGCTCTAGGCTCTCGAGGTGGTTTATAACTAGGCGTCAAGCAGGGACTTAAGTAATGACAATGATGCAATTCGTGACTAATAGTAGAGTATACTAAATGATTGATCTTGATCTTGAGCACGAAGCTCTATACAAAGGGAATCCATCTTGATTATATAGACCTTCGTATTCCAACATTGGAGCGATGGAGCGAAGGAGCGAGATTCGAATCTCGCTCCCCAGCTCCCTCGCTCCCTCACAAGACTATTCATGTGATCCTATAACACGTGATAATAGTTATAATGTTGCAATGTAACATTAAGATAAAATGAGTTAAGATGAGATGAGTTAAATTATAAAAGAAAAAATAATGAAATATATATATATATAAATTTTTCTTTTAAAAATATAAATATAAATTGAATTAGTAACCCAAGCTAGAGGTGATTGATATCAATAAATAGTATTTTCATTTTTTAATTTATTAATTTATTGATTTATTACATTATCAAGTCAATCTATTAAACTATTAAACTATTATGCTAAAAGGAATGACATCACACAGGGAATAGTGGGAAGCTGATAGGGCAGAACTGAGGTAATATTGGTCTAGTAGGTTAATCTCTCTTCTAAGTTCTACGGAAGTGCGAAGCTCTCTGTAAGAGAGCTTCTCAATCTAGTCCTAACAGGACTAGTGCCCTGTGCACGTGCTACGCAGGAACCATTCACTTTAACATAATATTTTATTTTATTTATATAGAAAGAAAAAGAGAAAGATTAGTACCAATACAAATACCAAAACTACAACTACAACTTCAAGAACTTCCAAAAAAAAAAAAAAAAATAATAATAAAAAAATAGAAAAAGATAGAAAAAGATAGAACTCTATAGAACTCCATAGAAACTTCATTTTTTTTAAAAATCTAATTTTTTTAATTTTCTTTTTTGATATTCAAGTATATAATTTTCTTCCTTATATTACGAAATTGATTGAGTTTCTTGAATAGCTGAGTTAAGTCAATTCAAAACATAAAAAAGAAACATCATCATATTATAACATTAAATTCCCCCCCCCTCCCCTCCCCTCTGTTACGTAGTAACAGTCAACCTGTCCATATGAGCTTAGACCCCGTGGAAAAGCAAACCGATTCGCATACAATTTTGTATGGTAATCGGTTCGTAGAGTCTCCCCACCTTCAGCAAGCACAGACATATAGTCTGATCCAAGTCACGTGATGGACCCTGCATATTCAGGGATACGAATCGTAGGTCCATACGAATCGAAGGTCCACAAACTCTCAGGACCCAAGAGATCCAATGGAGGACGAAGGTCTATATAATCAGGATGGTTTCCTTTGTGTAGAGCTTCGTGCTCAAGATCAATCATTTAGTATACTCTACTATTAGTTACGAATTGCATATCATTATTGTCATTACTTAAGTCCCTGCTTGACGCCTAGTTATAAACCACCTCGAGAGCCTGGAGCACTTCCACGTGATCTAGACGGCAAACCTCGTAACACCCTCCCCTCCAAAAATCAAAAAACCCCCCAAAAAACCTACCCCACAACCCCCGCAAGCAAAATCATACAACCCAAATAAACACCCACACAAAGTAAACCCTCTCTTTTTTGAAAATCCCTCTCACCCATCTCAACCCTCTCACCCCCTCCACAACCCACAAAATCACCTCCACCTCCACCTCCACCCACCACCCCCCTCTGAACCAACAAACCCACAAACCCCCACCCCATCAAACAAACAAGCACCATCAATCTACCCCAAAACGACCGGATCGTTGCGAATATTACCATAGGAACTAGAATACCCAGTGCGATTGCTACTGGCAAGGTAGGGAAATCTTCTGGATGTGGATTTCCATTTCCATTTCCATTTCCATTCATATCCAAATTCAAATTCATACCGAGATGATTATCCGCTAAGCAAGATGCTGAATGAAGAGGTGAATCAATATGCGGGGGTGTACTCGCAGGAGTTTTTTCAACGGGATGATCTGCTTTACTACTATTATCTGATATTGAAGATGAAGGTATTGAATATCTTTGACGGATAGTGAGTTGATCATCTATTTGATGACGATGTTGACTTCTTGGACCTGAAGAATCTGATACCACGGAAATTAAATCATCTTCGACTTTTGGATCTAGGAATCTTGTTTCTATTTCGGTTATCGGACGAGCGGTTTGGAGATATTCTCGATAATGTGTAATATCTGATTGGGAGGCAGGAGGAAGTGATTGAAGAGAGTGAAAAGAGGTAAGAGTTTGATCTGGAAGAGGTTAGTATGGGGAAATATGCGGGGTATGTATGGGGAAAGGTAGGGATATAAAAAATAGCATGCTGACTGTATTGAGCTAATTTATAACCAATCCTTCCTAAAATATCCATTTTATGCCATTGCAAATCACCACCCATTTGTTCACTAGCTCTTCTCGATGCAGGAGTGACATCAATTCCTAAATTACCATTACCAGTATGTCGTAATCTTCTGGATTCTGTATCGGCTTTATCTAATCTTTGTAATTGTTCTTCCAATTCGCTTATTTCATCTTGAAGATGAAGGAGAAGACGATGGTTTAAAGCTTCGAATTTTCGATACATGGGTTTAATGCGATTTTCAACTACTGTATCAGAGCCGGAATGAGAAGATGTTGATAGACGAGATGCGAGAAGTTCATAACCTGTAATAGTAGGATCAATTTGAGAAGGAACATGTCTGGGTGGATGTGAACTTCGGGGTGTTTCGAGTTCAGAAGGAGAAAATGGATTACTTTCTGTGCGATGATGAGTATTTGGTGGTCCAAATGATGGAGCTGCTCCGTAATAATTTTGTCGTTGATTGGCGGCTGCCATTCGAGATGCTAATTTAATTGATGCATCTTTGGAATTTGTTGTAACTCGTAGATTTTCTCGACCATTAACACTTCTTTCTGGTGATGTACTCCTATCTGTGTCGACATCTGCTTCTGGGGCAGAGAAATCACCACTGTGAAGACTACTCGATACTGATGAAGGACCACTTGGATGATCTTCGGGAGTCTGTGGACGTGATACCGGAGTCGAGTCTTTATTTCCATGATTGAATAACCATTTAGATGAATGATCCTTTTCCTTTTCCTTTTCCTTTTCCTTTTCCTTTTCCTTTTCCTTTTCCTTTTCCTTTTCCTTTCCCTTCTCCTTCTCCTTTTCCTCATCCCTTCCTTTCTCTTCCCCCTCTTCATCAGAGTCTTGTTGCAAATATGCAAATACATCTGGAGGAGATGGTACAGCTGGTAATAAAGACTCTACCTTAGCTTCGGCCTCCTTTCCTGTAGATGATCGTTTCGTAATAGAAGCTTGAGTTACCGTCGAATTACTTCCACTTGAGCTACTAGAATTATTTGTAGCTGTGGTTAAAGAAGTTAAATTCGATATCATGGATGGTGATGTTAATTTTGCCCTTGAAGCAGCAAGAATCGATTTGTGATTAGGAATATTTTCTTCTTCATCCGAAGAACTTGATGATGACGATGATGAGCTTGTATCTCGGTTCAGTTGTACAGGCCTTTGACGAAGGCGTTGCCCCTCCATTTCATTTCCTTTTGAAGATGATCCACTTGCGCGCTTCACATTTGTATTCTTAGGTTTCGCTTTTGTTGCAGAATGTTTGCCACCACTTGGAGTAGATTTATGCATCTTTCTCGATCTGTCTCTTTCCCTACTAGTATTTGCTTTTGGAGGGGAAGAAGACATGGTAGAATTATGGATGGAGCGGTGTTGACGTTGAGTTATGCTAGACTTGCATTCCTGTTCGGTACCCCTTACATCGTTCCTTGATTCATTTTCGGAATCTTCGATTATTGATTCAACTGTTGGTACTTTGTATCTTGTAGACATATTTCTAAGTAAGAATCTATAAATTCCTCATATCAGTTTTGTATTATTATTCCGAGGTAAAAGAGAAAAAAAGCAAAAATCAATAATTTCATCATGAGGGGAAAGTTACAAATTTGACAGGGCTTACCTTGATTATTTAGGTAGCTATGGTGGTGTATGAATGTCCGATAATAAGTGATCAATGCCCGATGAAGATGAATGAATTGAATGAATTGATACAAATGGATTAAAATATTTAATAATAGTAAACATGATAATGAAGAAGAGATAAGGGGAAGAAAAGTAGAGAAGAGAGATGAGAAGAGAATAGATAAGAGGAGGAAAGAGAAGAGAAGAGAAGAGAAGAGAGGAATGAAGTATAAAATCCCAGAGGAATAATATAATGATGATAATGTGATTGTATGTAAATCAATTCCCAACTTTAGCTTATAAGACCAGAATGGTAGTAAACTGGCGCGCGCTCCGAATAAATTGGGTTATGAATGATCAATAAGTGAGGGAAGCTTGGATAAGGTAGTGCGCGTGTATGTCTTGAATGAGGAGTATTCAGGCGTATGATGTGAATGAGGGAAGAAAGTGTTTCAAATTATTCCAAAGGATGAAACCAACATTTGAGAAAGGAATGAATGATAGATAGATAGATATACTTAAGGTTACTAGTAACAAGTAGGTATCACATACAGGAGAGGGGCAATGAAGGATAAAAGGTCTGAGAATGTAAGATGTAAGATCTTATCAAGGACATGGAGATATTGAACAAGGGAATTAATACTTTATGATGATTTAAGAGGTTCCCGTGAGTGGTTGAATTGGGTAAATATGATGATCTTGTTTGAGAATCCCATAAGAAGTCGGATTATATATTGTTGGATGACTTTATTTGTGTAAGGGTATCGGTTGATTGTATTCATATTCAGTGTGGATGGGAGGGATGAATGATGGAATTGATAATGATTGGCTTGATCACACTCCTTGATGAGCTCACCAGCTGGCTGATAATGTTTCTGTAATTATTTGGAATTAGGGAAGAGTGAGGTTGATTGTACAAGAGTTTATGAGTTTTATTATAAGATCTAATCTATCTAGTTAAAGCTCAAGAAGTATATACTTAATACACGATGATGTATGCTTGTAAGGTAAGCAGGTAGTAAGTAGTTTATAGCTAGGAAGGTAGCTACTAGCTATACAAGACTAGCATCCAGTCTGCCTCCACGGCAGTGGCCCCCGGAGGGCCAGCGGAGCGTCATCTACTTATTATTATTATTCCTATTCTTATAAATAATATGAATTTATTTAATTATAACATGATTATACTTCAAAACAAAAGATAAAAAAAAAACTAAAACATTAAGTCATCCCGTCGATTGGTCGAATTAATGAGTGCGGGATCACCCTTTAGTCCAAAATATGTGTGTGATGCAATGAAGCTGAATGGAATTGGGTACCAACATCAAACGTAACAGTAAATAAAGTAAGCATGATGAATGAGGCTATTGATATTGAGGATTTTACTTCATGTAGGTACCATTTTTCAATTCACAAATAATAAGAGGGGAATTGATGAAGAGGATGAGGCTATCAGAGAATTACTTTCTTTCCATTACACAAGATGGAATATTCTATGAGACGTGCTTTATTTTTACTTGATACCAAAATAATTAATTTTTATTTTCAATTATCAATTTCGTCTCTTCTATCTCTGTATAACCAACACTTCAACACATACGACCATGAGTTATCAATATCTTACATCTTACCCTACGCCTTACGGGAAATCATAACATCTAGAGTCATAGCCACCAAGTGATCCAATCTTTCCCCCTCAAATCGGATGTTCGATTAAATCCAAAATATCTTATTACATGCATGAGACGAAATTCTGCCCGACCGACCCCTCATCAAAATTTCACAAGATCTTACAATACCTCTCTCTCTATTCACACGATTCTTTACTTCAAAGACCAATTGGAATTATCTCACCTCATTTAGAGGTTTCATTAGTCCGATGACTCGATTTTCTCCTCTCGTTCTTCGAAGATATTTGCTTGGGGGTCAAATTAATTCAACAGGTTGTCTTCGTCATAAAGTTATTGGTGCTAATAAATTATCATCCATCTACGCCGCAAGATCTCGGGCAATACAAGAATTACATACAAACACCGAATCGGCATCTTCTTCTTCCTCCTCCTCCTCCTCCTCCTCCTCCTCCTCCTCCTCCACGAATCACAGCATTCAAAATTCATTCAAAGCAGCGCGCAAACAATTGAAAGATGAGGGAACAGGACGAAATACAGAAAAGTTACAAAGTCTTGACGAATGGAGTTAACAGTGGGAATTGAAATACATGCACAATTAAATACCGAACGAAAACTTTTCTCCTACGCTACCTCCACGATTAACGATATGCCCAATACACATGTCGCATATTTCGATGTAGCTCTACCGGGCTCTATGCCCATATTTCAAAAGGAAACTCTTATCCCTGCTATTCGAGGAGCTTTGGCTTTGAATTGTCATATTCAACGAAAGAGTCGATTTGATCGCAAACATTACTTTCATTGGGATCAACCTGCGGGGTATCAAATTACTCAATACTATGAACCTTTTGCGAAAGATGGTTATATTACATTATATGAGCATGATGGAATTGCAAAGGAAGATGGGAAAGAAATACACATAGGTATTAAGCAAGTACAAATGGAACAGGATACCGCCAAAACAATTTCTCAACCGGGGGATATACATTTGTTGGATTTCAATCGGGTAGGGTTGCCTTTGATTGAAATTATTTCTTTACCGCAGATACATCATCCAAGTACTGCAGCTGCTTTTGTTCGAAAGGTACAATTGTTGTTAAACTCGGTTGATGCTTGTGTGTTGGGTATGCAATCTGGTGGATTAAGAGCAGATGTGAATGTATCTGTGAGAAGAAGAACAGAAGAAGGAAGTAATGAATATGCAGGAGTTCAAGGACTTGGACAAAGAACCGAGATAAAAAATTTGAGTAGTTTCAAATCTATTGAAGATGCTATTATAGCCGAAAGAGATAGACAAATTTTAGTTCTTGAAGCAGGAGGAGTTATCGAAGGGGAAACTAGAGGATACGCCATTGGAAGTACAGAGACACGAAGACTTCGAGGAAAAGAAGGTGAAGTGGATTATAGATACATGCCAGATCCAGATCTCGCCCCTATTATTATCGACGAAAAACTTACACAACATCTTGGTGCTACACTCGGCATCTTACCCGATGAAGAATTGGGAATCCTAGAATTCGGATTCCGGTTATCGCGATAAACGATGGCTCTTGATTTAGTGTCTTTGAATAATAGAAGGACGCGTCCGTCATATCTTCGTAACGTAGCCGATGTTTCAAAATTATCGAATCCCGCTGAACCCGCAAACGAAATTGGGAAAATGCGCAACTAACTGGGTTTTACATGAGATGGGGGCTTTGATCTCAGATTACACGGAGGAGGAAAATCCTTTGAATTTCTCAAATCTGGGAGCTTGCTTAATTCCACATGAGGAAATGGGGATATCTGATACATTATCTTAATCAAGATAAAATTACAGGAAAAACGGCGAAGAAAGTCTTGAGGATTTTGTTTATGAATGCGCAAGCGGGTACAGAGAATGGAAATGAAAATGGGAATGAAAGTGGAAAAAGATAATAGAAAATGAAACGTGGTGGCTGAGGAAAATGGAAGTAAAAGAATATGAGGAGTTGGCAAAGAGGATTTGTAAAGAGGAGATGGATACTGTGAGGGAGATTTTGGGGGGAAGTTTGGGGAAGATTATTTTTTTGTTGCGGAGGATGATGAGGGGGGATAGAGAGGGGAGGGTTCAGCCGGTTAGGGCGAGGGAGGTGCTTGGGGGGGTGGTGGAGGGGTTTAGAGGGGGGGTTTGAGCGGGTTGCTGATGAGGAAGGGGGTGAAGGATGGGATGGATTGAGGAAGGATGGGATGGGAATGATGAGTGTAGAATTAAAGAATAAAAGAATAATAAATATAAATATAGATATAAAATGATTACAAAATATAAAAATAATATCATATCATCTCCTTATTCCTAACCTGTTACGTAGTAACAGTCAACCTGTCCATATGAGCTCAGACCCCGTGGAAAAGCAAACCGATTCACATACAAAATTGTATGGTAATCGGTTCGTAGAGTCTCCCCACCTTCAGCAAGCACAGACATATAGTCTGATCCAAGTCACGTGATGTACCCTGCATATTCAGGGATACGAATCGTAGGTCCACAAACTCTCAGGATCCAAGAGATCCAATGGAGGACGAAGGTCTATGTAAGCAGGATGGTTTCCTTTGTGTAGAGCTTCGTGCTCAAGATCAATCATTTAGTATACTCTACTATTAGTTACGAATTGCATATCATCATTGTCATTACTTAAGTCCCTGCTTGACGCCTAGTTATAAACCACTTCGAGAGCCTAGAGCACTTCCACGTGATCTAGACGGCAAACCTCGTAACATTACATTAATATCTCAAATTCTTAATATCTCAATATCTTAAATTTCTCAAAATTATCATTTTACTCCCCCCCTACCCCCTACCCCCTACTATATTCCTTATCTTTTAATTATCAGTACTACCACTGCAACCACCAAAGTTATCACAGGTATCACAATCATCACCATCAAAAACCTCATTTCCCATTCTTTAGGATATAACTCAATTTCTTCCTCCTTCCTCATATATTTTCATCTCTTCTCTGCCCTCATAGATCCATCTCCCACAAGATGGAAGATGGATTAAAAAAAGAAAAAAAAAAGATATAAGCTCGTAAAAGCGCAATCAATGTATAAAAGCATCTAAAACCACTCCACACCACACCAATCCATTCCACCCATCCATCCTAGCAGATCCCAAAGTCAAAGTTCAAAATATATCCCATGACACCACGCCACTGCGCCACCAGATCCTCAACTCCCATGACCTATCAACCTAATATACGCCTGCACCAACAATGCCAGAGATCCCAGTCAAATCAAGTCAAGTCAAATCAAATCACCTGACTTCATCCAGCCAACTTAAAAACGCGCTAGCAAAATTTTGCTATGCAGAAAATAAAACTAATGATTATCCATCCTAAAAAGAAAGATCATCACCATATCGTTCAATTTGTTCATTCATTATTTCCCTTTCTCCTCTCTCGACAGAGTTTTCCTCATTTCGAAGAGCTCCTTTGACCATGGAATTTGTTGAACTCGTCGAACTCCTCCCTGATCCTTCCCTACCCTCTTCAATATTTGTAATTCCAGTAACACCCCCCTCGTTAAATCCCAAACTTCTGGCATGAACTGGTTGACTCTCCATTGTTGTTCTTCCACCTAAAGATGCCGGAACGGCTGTACCACTTCCCATTACTCCTCCATTACTAATTCCTCCCACACCTATATTTCCATATCCAATACTTCCTTTTCCACCACCACCCCCACCACCCGCACTTCCCTGACTTGCCGTACCTATACTCCCTACACTTTCTGCACTATCACCCGAATGCGATTTTTTCAATACTTTCCGAGGCCTTGAATCATTAATCTCGTCCTTCATATTTCCAGGATTGATATTCAAATTCGGATTTGAAGATTGTGTTTTTTGCGATAATTCATTCTGTAAAGGACTTGAATGAATCGGTGAATTGGAGGTTTTGCTCGACGCATCATCTCTACTACGTTTAGAAGTGCGCGAAGATATGCGACCTTGCTGAACATTTAGAAGATATGAAATTAGTGTCGTGTGCCGTATAATTAACGCGATGGGATTGATAAGAACACAAACTAAAGAACAATTGTAGGGTGAACAAGGGCGAAAAGCAGCCATGTGCTTAAATGTATTTCTCGCATGGCGAAGAGCGGATAAGCGAAAAGGCACCTTGACCCGCCATTGATTTTGAAATTATCCACTGAGAACTTTCGAATATCTTTTTCCCGATGAGAATTATAGAACAATCGTGAATTGAAGCGGGGATTTTCAACAAACTCAATTTCAAGGTGTAGAGGATGATGAATGATCAATAACTTGACCAGCCGTAAGTGCGGTTTCAGAACCATCGCGACTTACCGATTTCGCATATCTTAATCCACAGCTATTACACAAATCTCGATTTCCGCTCGGTCCTCTTCTCCATTCCGGTGTGCTTTTGGTATGACAATTGGCACAATCTCGTTGGACGTTACCAGGTAACTTTCTTCGCTTTCGTTTCTTCTTCGCATTTATTAACATCGCCAATTCTTCCCCAAGTGTTCGATTATTCTTTTCCATCTGTCGAAGTTCATACTGCCAACTTGTACAACGTGTTGTCTTTAATTCCTCAAAGATGTTATCCTCAGATGCCAATGCTTCATCTTGAGATCCAATTGGAAGTCCACATCCGCCTGGTTGCGTAACAGGTGCAATTGTATTAATAGGACCTGGTGTCATTGCTTCGTTAAACGGACTAGGTTGTGGCCGAGTCAAACTATTGCTTGGTGTTCCTTCAGGAGTTTGAATATCTGATTTATTCACAGGGCTCATGACCATTGTGTTCGCACCAGTGAGAGTACTGCCATTGGTTCCAGGAGTTGTAGCAGCATTTCGAGGCGTACTTTTAACCAATCGAGTCTGGGCGACGAGGAATGTAGGTTTCTGCCCTTCTGATGCATCTCCAGGGTATAATGTCGTTTCAGCTTGCAAAACAACACCACGTTTATTGAAAATCTCATGTCGATATTTGACAATCTTTCCAGTTCTTGCTTTCTCTAGTGCTCGACCGAATGCAATCTTAGAATCAGTACGCATCAAGGCTTGAATGCTTGTACCGACAAGATCATCTGGAGTTCGATCTAACAGAGATCTGACATTTGACGCAACGTATAGAAACATGCCTGATGTCGACAACTTGGAATATAATTGATTCTCACCAAGACCTTCGTTTCGATTCAAGTCGCTTCTAGCCAATGCATATACCGGCCTTTCTCTACCAACCATGATGATGCATTTTCGACCTTTGCCTTGCTCGACACATAGAGAACCATGACTTTCAAACCATGTATAGCCACTATTCTTTCGACGAACGCGGAACACCACATTGACTGGACTTCCTTGTGATGTTTCTTTCAATTCTCGAGTGACAGGAACTATATCACTAGGATGACAAATTGAGGAGAGTGCAGTCCCTATCAACTCGGACGAATCATATTCCAGGACTTGACGACATGATGGTGAAAGGTACATGAATAGGCCTTTCAAAGAAAGGACATGAATAACATCATCACTATTCTCCAAAAGTACCTTCTCCCACATCCTCTTGGTAAGTTCTGGATCGCTACCATTATCATATGATGCTAATACTGAACTAACATCATCACGACTAATCGTTTGACCGGCATCTGGTAGACGAGTATGTGGCTGAGGTGGATGCCATTGATATCTTGGTAATGTGCCTTGTTTGTAATTCATTGTGTAGTTCCCAGCGGTAGTTTTTTCATTGACACTGTTTGGGTTTGCGACCACATCAACCTGAAATCCGACCACCAAAGAAAGAGTAGGGTCGTCATCACTTGCAGGAATTGGAATCATCGTTAAGAGATTCATAAATGGTTGCCCTCCTTTTCGATAGTTAATAATGGCCTGTTGAGTTTCCGTTCTCGTATCTATGGCTTTCTTAAGTTCATAGACCTTATCATTCTCCGTGTCTAACCTACGTTCACCAGCTTGAATTTTTCCTTCTGGTGATTGAAGGAATCGACAATTTCTTCCAAGTACTTCATGTCTTGAATATCCGGTAAGATTCTCAAAAACATCAGAAACATATATTATGGGACAATCCGGTTCTCTTAAATCGCAGACAACAAATGCACATGATAAATCGACGGCACCTATATTAATGACTTTATTTGGTCTGGACACCACTCTCATTAATGCTCCAAGCATATCAAACCCAGTGCTGGAATATATTCCCGTAGCATCTTGCCTGGGCGGGGAAGCAGGGACGATGGCTGTGGAGGTTGGTAAAGATGATAAGGTCGCAGGAATCAGAGCTGTACTTGACGTTCGAGACAAGATATTTTGAGGTGCATTTGAAGTAGATGGAGAGTTGTAATCAACATTTTGAGGCATACCAATATTGTTTGGTGATTGGACCATGATACCAGATGACGACGCCATCGCTTCGTTGTTATCATCATCCAAGTTCCTTATTCTCATATTATCAGGACCCCTCATAAACATCTCCGATGTTACAGAATCCATAGGATCATTTCCGTATACCGTAGGGGAATAGTTGTGATTCGAGTACATGCCCATGGGTGAGTCTTGAGACATACCGTCCATCCCTATGGAAGCATAACTCATCATCCCAGGCATCATATCTCCTGTGAAAGGTGGATAACCCATACTTGTATCCATAGCCATCATATTTGGTTGCACAGAGTTCGTATACTGCGATTGTGGCATTGTCATATTCATTCCAGCTCCCATACCCTGGTAAACCATACTCAAATCCAATTCCCCCGTCGATTGTCGTCGTAACATTGGATTTTCGGGACCTGATGTCGGGGTACCGAACTGAAAACCATCCATACTTGAATCAATATTACCATATTCTAACATGGAAGATCTGCGATCATGATCTGGCGCAAAGGTCTGTGAGTAACTCTGCCGCCGTTGTAACTCGTTGTTATTCTGCATAATGATATCGTCCAAGCTATCGCCACCGCTCATCATGTCATTCATGCCCATAGAATTGGCATTATTATGGGCGGAAGATTGCTGTTGCTGCTGTTGATGATGTTGCTGCTGCTGATGCTGATGCTGCTGAAGAGGTTGTGTCATGCTCAAAGACCTAGAATGCGCCCTCCTCCGAGCAACCTGCCGTTGCAGGTCCTCCTGGGTCATCTGCGGATTAAAAAAATTGCTCATAATGGCGACATCTGCACTTTTATTATCGTGGTTGTGTTGAGTGAAGCGAATAAGACTCGAATGTCGAAGGCAAATCGGACTCGCTGTGAATATTGAATGCTCCGTCGACTTCCCGTAAAATCTCCTCCTCAGTCAATCAAGTTCACAAACCCTCTACTCCTCAAAGAGTTGTTAAAAAGCAAACTCAAAGCTCGTATATATTTGTCGTATGCCCTATTCCCTTGTCAATCAAGTATGCGCCTTGTCGCTTGCCATAATCTTTTCTAGATCGCAGTGGATAGTCGCAGTGGATAGTCGCAGAGGATAGTCGCAGAGTATATATCAAGTCGCAACGTCAAGTCGCAAAATCCACCAGGCCTTCTCCGAAGACAGTCTCTCCGTCGGAAGATTCTTGATCGTATTTCGTGAAGCTTGTGTACTTTGTGCAATTGAAATTGTCTTTCGTTCCGAAAATCTGCGGGGGACCTTACGGCAAGGCAAAGAATGGGTTGATGAGTGGATCGGGATTGAAAGTACCGGTACTTTGGGAATTTATGGATATTGTACTCGACAATTGTGGGTTGATGATTGAATTTTACAAGTGGGAACTATCTTCAATATATGTACTGAGAGTATATAATATTGGAGAATATCTTTATCGAGGTTGTGTATCAGAAAAGGAAAGGTTGTTTGGCGGTGGAAAGTCAAGGCGATCAATAATGTGAAATCAATAATGAATTGATATGAAATTGTGATAACGTGGTTTATCATCGAGTGGCCCATATCATCGAGTGGCCCACTTTCACCTCAATTTACACTTTCAAACCCATATTATTCAACAACAATTGAATCAATTGATTGAAACTATTAAGAATCTAATAATCTAGGATCTATTACATTATTTTGACAGGTTCTTGCATTATGTCCTGTCTTTCCGCATTTACTACAACATCGATTAGAAGATGCTTCCCCATTAGAATTCCCCCCTTTTTGACGCTCATCGCGTTGAATCTGAATATCAACCTCTTGCTGAGATAATATATCAAGAGCCTCTTGTCCAGTGAGCACTCCTCCTTGACGTAATTGGGTTTTTTTCGCGCGTCGACGCTTGCTTAATGCTTCATTTGCTGTCCGAAGTGTACGAATCTCTGTATTTAAAAGTGTGTTTTCATGAGCTAATCTCTCTGTACCCTTAGCTAGAGCTAGTACAGTCTCGAATATAGGTGTAGGAGAGCTTGCTTGATGACGAGTTATTCGAGATTTAACTAATGTTGATTGAGAAAGAGCTTCAGTTGGGTTGCGAGGGGTTTGAGAGATCCATTGATCTAGGTCGAAAGAGGGGGGGGTAGGTGTGCGAATTCGAATATCTAATTTCGAGAGTACAGCTTCAGGATTAAATGGGATTAAACCTGTTCCTCGGAATCCTGATTTCATATTCTGAGAAGTGATTGATTCCTCGTATACAGCTTTAAAAGCTATAAAGAATTCAATCTTCGAAATATGATTGATATGTGCCTTGATAAATCCATCAATTTGACCACCATATGAACGTTTTAGATTGCTAAAACAGCCAACATCAAGTGGTTGAGTTAAATGACTTGAATGCGGTGGTAAACGTAAACATATAATATCGTTCTCTTTGCAGTATGCTTGAAAAGCTACTGATTCGTGGCTTTCATGCCCATCCAGTACCAACATTCGATATTTGCCCTTTCTTCGATTCTTAGTATGCTTGTCGAAGTGTTTCAACCATTCTAAACCCGTCTCATTATTCGTCCACCCATTAGATGTAGGTTTAATAGCCCATTCCGCAGGAAGATTCGTTTCGGTGTACCAATTGGAGAGATGAACTTGTCCTTGAACTACTAGAAATGGGGGAATAGTTTCACCCTCTCCATTTCCGCATATTATTGCTGTAGCCCATTCTCGATTGCCTGGCTGTACTGTCTTGCTTCTGCCATTTCGTTCAGCACTAGTTACTACCATTGCTGCACATATAATCCCCATCATAAAGCCTGTTTCGTCGAAATTGTAGAAATCTCCGTCCAAAATGCCGTATTTCGCTCGCATATTCGCAACTAGTCGAAACCACTCTTCAAGAAGCTTAGGATCCTCACAGAGAGCTCTTTGAAAGTCATAAACACGACTAAAACGCGTCTTTAATTCGATTCGACGCTTTACGAATCGATGCGCCCAGAGCTTCCCAACGCGTTTCGCACCCCTCGATTCGAGAATATCATTCGCCATATCTTCCACATTCTTTAGTTTAGGTGGAAATCCTCTTAAATCCATATCGAGTATATATTGAACAATCACCTCTTCTTCTAATTCTGTAATCTTATGACGATTCGCTCGAGTTTCTGTACGAAGAGGTAAACCTTCCATTCTATGTCGAAGAGTCGTACGAGGAATATTATAGAGCATAGCAGCCTTTCGAATGCTTAATTTTTTATCTTTATGAATAACTTCGATAGCAAGGAGTATACGAGCTTCTTGATTATTCGAATTCATTATAGGTTGTTGATAAAACGCGTGTTGAAAGAGACAGGTGTAAATTGAGGTGAAAGTGGGCCACTCGATGATATGGGCCACTCGATGATAAACCACGTTAATGCAAGTAGAATTTAGAAGGTAATCGGTAAATTTGAAAGTACTGGTAGAGTCGGTGGTCGGAAATGGGAAACTTAAAATATTGATTACCTAACCAGTATAATGAATGTACTGAGTACCCACTCAATACACTTAAATGATCTTCAAAATTATATTAACAAAAGGTATCATCGTAAATCACATATTCCCAATTGAGGGGGTAGGCGTATTATAAATAGTATCTTTAATATATAATTATCTCGAAGCGTTCATTCTCACTCACTCACTCACAAATATAATCCCAATCGCAAGATCTACCCAGATGATGCACTTAATTCCCGAAGATATCTCGTACGAGTATCTCCTACAAACTATTTCCCACAAGTATTTCCGTATTTCGCATCACAAATCCCCAATGATTGCTTTTTCCTAATAATGAGGCTTGACAAGGCTTAATAACACATCAAATACACAGAGCATGTATTTAAGAATGTCATTCCGACATATGCATAGTCACACACACAAACCATGTAAAAAAAAATAAAAAAATAAAATAAAATCAATACTCATAATAAAAGCACTCGCTTCTCCATCTCCATCACCACTCCATGCTCCTTCATCACAGCTTTAATATTACTAGGTACCCAGCCCTCTAAACTTTTTACTCCACACTCTATACACATACTATCTTTATCCCTCCTTACCCTAAATCACACTCACATCACACACACACACACACACACACATCACATCACGGTATTGCGTCACCACACTCCGTATGCATGCAGCCATGCCGACCAGCCAAGCCAAATGCCAACCAACTAATCAAGCCACCCGCCCTTCAGCCTCACACTATTGTTTATATCTGTATGTAGGGACCCGGTTTGATTTTTCACTACTAGGTATACATCACGAGTTCATTAGTAATAGACTGAGAAGCTTTTTTGGGGGGTTTTTTTCCTTAAAAACTATCTTCATAATTCGTCGTTAACCCTCTTTTTGGATCAACACATCATATCAGAAATCCTTTCTTCTCTCGACTCCCTCATTGTTCATCTGCATCCAGACTTTACTTCCCCATTTAAAACATGAAATGGTCTGAACATTTCCTTTGTTACTTCCCTCCTCAGCAAATAAGAGCTAGCTTCGGTCGCTCCCTGTTTTACTACTATGTCATCCACTCATGAAACTTTGAGAGTGATGCTGATGACTAGCCAAATCCGAACCACCCGCTAGCCCAACAATCCCAAAGATAACCCCGAAAATATACGTGCTCATGTGGTATCATTCTATCATCAAAACTTTATTTCATATCTTCAACCACCCATATAAGTCGAACATCAACCTCTAGTCGAGGAGAAGATCAACCAAAGTATGCTTGAACCGTTGCTTGAGTTTCAGGGGAAAGTTGCGCCAAAAGATGTGTGGGGTTTAAGTTTGCTGCCGCAAGGAGATTCTTGGTAGCTTCAACCACTCTGTTGGCTGTTTGACCCTGTAGTGTTTCGGCCTCGAGAGCTTGAGCAACGAAAACAAATACCTTGGCTGGTTGAGAAGTAACTGCGGGGTTTTGTCTAGAGTGATGTTAGTGGCAGACAGATTCAATTTCAATAGATAGACCTACTGTTCGATGAGCTGAGCAAGGAAAAGATAAGCGTATGGGGCTGCCTCTTCATCATTTACAATAGGTAAAGTATCAATCCATACTGTGACGACTTCTTGTTGGTTTGCAACACCAGATGCGTTGAAATGCAATATCTTAGCAATGGCAGCACAAGCATTTTCTGTAGCGTAAACCTCATCATCGCCTCTCGCGTTGGGAATTTGAGTAGCCGCGAACAAGATCCCGATTGCTTCGCCGACAAATTGAGTCCATTGTGCACCACCCCTGTGGGCTGCGACACCGATACCATAGGTAGCGGCTTGACGATTGGCAGGTGCAGCATCTTGACATCCAGCAATCAACGGGTTCCTAATAAGAGGTTCCATATATTTGTAACTCATATCACCGCAGAACTCGAGAACATCATCAATGATACACAAACCCCATTGTCTTTGTGTGGGATCATCGCTTGAAAGGAAAGCCGAATAAGTTGTAAGGAGTTTCTCCCACGAGGGCAGGAAATCTACACCATGGTTCTTAAAAATGCAATGGAATGCTTTGTTCATGTCGGAAAGGAGAGTCTGATCGTCCTCGATTGCGTAGAGTGTTTCTTCCGAGTCTTCATCACCTTCTTCTCGATTGGCATCAGCCCGTTCCTCTATTCTAGCCTTGACACGTTCTTTGTAATCATCCAAAGCAGAAATAGCAGAATCCATAAAGAGTTCCATATGCGACTGGTGAAGGCAATCCTTACCCATCACTTCCACCGATTCGTAGAAACATTGATACATCTCGGCGAGTGTATCAATAGCTGGTTCGGCACTCAGGACCTCCAAAATCTTGGGAATTGTAGCAGCCCAAAGAATTCTCAACTCGGCAGACTCGGTACCGAAGGCCTTCTTGTAAGAATTGAGTAGTTGGGGCACACATTTCGCTGATACAACACGAACAGGATCATGGAAGAAGAATGCGAGACCTGGTAAAGCAATTTGCCCCATGACGAGCTCTACGTAAGGGGCAAAATCAGCTTCCAAAACCTGAGCGTAGACCACCAAAAGTTCAATTGCCATGTGCTTGTCATCAAGAGTGCTAGTTTTGATGCCAATGACTTTACCCTTCAGCGGAACAAGCTCCCAGCCCTCTTGCGCCTGAACGGCCTCAACCTCGTCTTCATCATCAAGAAGTTGAATATCTGCTTTGGCACTTGCCAAATCTAGCAGAGGAGGCATGACATATTCCAGATATCCAAGGAAGTCGCGACCCATAACCCTACACATACGTCCCCAGCAGTGCATAAGATATTGAGCTTGTGGATCATCCGCATCCACAATACCTCGTTGAACTGTGGCCAATAACTTGACCAACTCTGTGGCGTCACTGCCTAGTCTCTCTTGTCCGACGGCCAATGCAATAAGAGTAGCACATTCCATTGCCTTTGCGCGTAGCAAACGAAGCTCCTTAGTTGAATCCGCCTTCAAAACATTAAAAAGTATGGGCATCAAGGTGTCGTAGTATTTGGAAAAGGCAGCCTCCGCAGAATCGGCGATAGTGGCGATGGTAGAGAGAGCTTGTTCTTGAACATATCTCTTTGGGCTTTGAAGGAGAGCAAACAAGTTAGTCAATAATTCATCAAGGTATGGCTCGAGAATTTTCTTTTCTGCTTCTTCACAAAAGTTGACAAGAGCAGCTGCTGCATGAGCTTGGACACGAGGCTCCGGGCTCTTAAGGACCGGGATGATGCTGCGTACTACAGTTTCGTGAAACTTCTCCTGCATGGTTCCGGCAAAATCGGTACTCATTTGACCCAGAGCATTGCAACCAGCCCAACGCACACGTGGATGTGGATCGCTCAAGGCAGGTACAACAAGCTCTAGAACCTTGTGCAATTCTCCAAGCATCAAGTCCCTGCAGCCTTCTGAAATCGCAGAAATGGCCATTAATGCGGCATGCCTATCTCTCCATGCCTCTGAGAGCATCATTCTTGGAAGCCAATTAAATGTAGGCGCCAAGATGATTGTTCCTCCGAGTTTGTTTGCTAAGCGGTCCATGCATTGCTCACCAGCAACATGGTTCAAATCGCTCTCCTCCGGATCCATCTATTCAAGTCAGTACATCGTTTTGCAAGATTGAGTGGAGATAATCATACATCATCAGAAGCATTCCACTCGGATGCGTCCTCGTCATCCTCACCAATATCAGTCATGAGACTCAAACATTGAGTGATCATGTCTGTTACAAAGCTTGGATCCTTTTTCACCATAGCTGGAGCATAATCTGCGAAGGTTGCCATAAGTTCGAGGGCATTTTGACGAACTATATCGCTCAATTCCTTGTCCTGGATCGTTTGAATGCAGAATGTGACTAGATTGTGGAATAATGGTTTGAACATCTTTGGGGCGACTTCTGCAAGATTCATGAGTTGAATAAGTGCTGTGCTGAGGCTGTCCGAGTCCTGGGCCTCCTTCAAGGGTGGTAGGATCGACAGAACTTCTGGAATAAGGCCATAATATTTTTGTTGCGACTTTTTAGTGAGGCTAGAGAAAAAAGATGTGAATGCTTCCATGGCTGCCAAGCGGACCTTGTTATATGGTCAGTCATTGTCCTAGAATTCAACAATTAAAAAAACCTACTTCTGTTTCCCCATCTTGAAAGCCATTTTTGAAAGCTGATAATACTGTATCTTCATGTTGCTTTTCAATTATGCCAGGGGTTGTAGAAAATATTCTGTATGCGATCTCTCTCTGTCCCGGGTCCTGTGAAGAGCTTAGAGTAGAGAGAACGCCCAAGATCTCTGGCCATTGTTCACCTGTAGAATGTTAGATAGGCATCCATAGTTTGTATCCTGTGCCCAAGGATCATACCGTTATCGGAATATTCTCTAGCTATTTCAGCAACCGCGTCTCCAATTTTGTTTCTCACCGGATTCGACTTTTCGAGGCCTAATGTATCTATGAGCTTTTGCCGAATAGCATATGCTTCTTGCTTCGGGAGAGTGAGGAATAATTCGATCGAGTTGTTGTCATCTGCCTTGCGCGATTTGGAAGCTATACGACGGAATATAACCGCAGCAAAGGACCGGGTCTAGAAAGGACCTGAAATTAGTGACATAATCCTGTGCCTGGGGTCATAAGAAGGAGTGGTATATCTTACAGATATATCATTGGAACCGTGTATTTGCTCGACCAAGCCCATCAACAACATTTCAGGTTTGGTGGCTACCCAGTTGTTGCCCAAGTGCTCCTCAGCTTGTGAACGGACATTGTTGTCTGTGGATTGCAAAGCAGACAATAGCTGTGCAAGCTCTGCATGTGCATCCGCTGGGAGAACAGACATGGTGGTGGAATGTAGGTGGAAGACTCGAAAGGTTTCGATGAATACGAGGATTCGGAGCGTTGGATATTAGGAAGTTGTGATGAAGCTGGGCGCGAGGCGCATTCGATGCGCCTTAATTCTTACAAGGCCGAAGGTAGATGATATTATTGTAATAAATCGTAAATTCGAAAGGGGATCGATTAAAAGGGAAGGAATGGAACTTTTCTTTATTTAAAATGTCGAAGCTCGATGAAGTTGTGTTGGTAGTGGGGGGGTTCAGATTTTTAGATTTCCCTCCAAATTTTTTTTTTGAGAATGAAATGGTAAATGCCTTGTTCCATACCTAGTAAAGTGAATGTCTGTGTCGCGCTAAAATTTGGGTTCTCATTTTGAAGGTTTATTATAGAGGCTTTGTTATTTAGCTCCGTAATAAGGATTGTAAGACTATTTCCTTAGACATCTGTTAAAGGTCAAACGGATATCATGTCTGTGCTAGATATGAACTCCTTCTCTCAACCCCTTCACTCAATCCTTGAGATATCTTGTATAAAATAATAATTGAGTATATTGTATTATATTATATATTCTATTTTATGGATCACATGGTAATAGTTATTATCCAGTCTTTTGATGAGCGTTATCCTTTCAAAAGTCATTCTTTATCATGGATTTATTTTATCAGTCAGAAGCGATCAATTACTTTTCTTGGAATGATATATATATGCGTGTCTCCCAACTTGCCCCTCCTTTGAGAATCCCTTGCTGATGAAGATCTGATGGACACGCCTACTCTATTCCTAGGTATATGACATAACATGGTCATTCATCGCAAATGCCTTTTGTTCCCTCCCTGGTGCTCCCTAACAACTTGGAAGTTCTTTATAACATCCTGTCCTTTGATTATATTTACCCAGAGACTCACCAATAGACATCTGCCATCAAAATATACCTAAACATTATTCCATGAAATATTATTTATAACAAAATAAAAATCATATTCATCGAAAGTCATGCATGCATCAACAAATTTACCCCAAATTTTTAAGCCGTGAGGGACAACTTTAGCGTGCCGCTATTACCCCTCAATCCATGCTCTCCCCATGATCATCAAATTCCATCTATCAACAGTATTCTACAACAACATCATCAAACCCATAAAATTGAAATCATAAGGAATACAAGCTTCGATACAGAGCACGGCGATACAACACGTTTCCTTCGTCTCTGCCATGGCAGATCGTACGGTTTTTGATTCTCCTTCGAGGCAAAGTACCTCTTCTCCTAGCAATAACAATCCCGCGAGCATCAATCATCGTTCTAGCTTCGCGGAAAATCTGCGACACTCACCCAGAGCTCAAAGGCACCCGTCATTCACACAAGCTGCTGTTCAAGAGCTCCTCAACCATCCTCCAGTTCCCAAAATTGGAGATCCAAGATTTGCAGGAAGGGATTGGAGACAAATACATGTTGGAGAACTTGTACAGGAAACTGATATTCACTGGTGTGAACTCGACACAGATGTCGAACGTGCGACAAAGGTTTGCATGTATATTTTCACACTTCAGAACTCGAGCTCTAATGTTTTTTATAGGCGCTTATAGAATCCGGTCCTCCAAATGTTATCCTTATTCGCGAAACTCCAGATGATGTGACTGCTTGCGACAGCTTCGATTACAATGACCTTAATGCATACCTACTGGTTGTCCTCGGACTAGCAAATCCCGATGAAGAGCAAAAAGAAACATATTCTCAATTAGCAAGCAAAGCTCGGGAGCACGTTCCGATCCCACTTCGAGATGTAATAACACTTGCAAAGAAGGAACCTCTTACAACACTTTCAGAGTCAGAAGACCTTTCTAAGGCCGTGGAAATATTTGGTAGTGGTGTTCATCGCATTCTTGTTTGCAAACCGGGAACGACAACAGTCGTGGGGATTTTGAGTCAGTTGAAACTGGTCAAATTCTTGTGGGATAATGGTAGCAGTTTTCCAGCTATCGATCAGTTATATCCAACTATTCTGCGAGATTTGAATATTGGAGCACAACAAGCTATTGCAATAAAGTGAGTTTTCATTATCTTCACCAAAAATGGCTTCTGCTAACGAGGGGACAGTGGCGACAAACCTCTCACGGAAGCTCTTCAGCTCATGAGTAACGAAGGATTAACAAGTATTGCAGTAGTTGACAATGCTGCAAATGTAGTTGGCAATATTTCAACAGCTGATACTAAACTCCTTACACACACAAGTAGTCTACCTCTCCTTCAATCCTCCTGCATACACTTCATCTCTGTAATACTGAGTGAACGAGGAATTGGCGATGGAAAAGATTCCTTCCCAGTCTTCCACGTCAATCCATATTCAACCCTCGCTCATACAGTAGCAAAACTCGTCGCCACCAGATCCCATCGTATGTGGGTCGTCGAGTCCGCATCTCCATCCCCATCAGCACCTGCAACGCCTTCCCTTGGATACGCTTCCGTCGTTCAGCAACCAAGCGGTGGTGGTTCCGTACCACCTTCACCCTCATTTCCTGCCGTATCCGCCGCAGCTTTACCCGGTGCACGTATCTCAGGTCGTTTAACAGGCGTTATCACATTATCAGATATTCTAAACCTCTTCGCTCGCACAACAGGTCTTAATCCCATGGATCCAAACGAATCCCGAGCGAGAAGGAGAAGGAGCTCTAGTGCTTCCGTAAGACCAAGTATGGACTCTTCAAGAGGAGATTATCTAGATACAATACGGGGTGAGCGTGGATCGAGCGTTGATCTTAGGAAATGAAGAATCGTTGCGGTAGGGAGGTGTACGGATATTGATCTCCCAGAATGAACGAAAGCTACAGAAATGAACCAGAATAACTTGAAAAACATATTCCAATATCGAGGACTATCTATGAGAACCAACAATTCATCGGAACTCGAAGTGGAGTACAAAAAAACAAGAGAAATCATGACACGCCCTGGAGCAAAGTTCCAAACACTCTTACAGGACCTTTTGCCTGATGGGGGTAAACAAGGCATGAGAGAATTAAAGTGGGTAAATCAAGATTTCAGTCCACCAAAGTAAGGAAGTCTAGACCAAAGGTGCGTTCGATCTTTATAGTGAGCAAAGCGTCGTTTATAATAGGTTGCAATTCTCTTTACGGACTACATGTGTGGTCTTTATTTTCTTGCTTGCTTTCTTGCTTGGTTTCCTTCGAGTTGAATACATCACATCAATTCATGCCTTGTGATATGAGATGCAAGATGCGGATGGTGATGTGGTTCCTGCTTAGATACCTACCTACCATTCATAGCATAACATAGCATAGTATGTAATATGACTGGTCTGAGAAATTATACGTTCACTTCATGGTATTTTTATGTGTGTGAATTCTTTTATATGTATATGCTTGTGCTTGTACTTGTGCTTGTACTTGTATAGTGGCATGTGTCATTCTATCTAGGTAATATCCTTGATGGAAAACTTGTTCAATATTGTTTTTTTAAAGGAAGGGGGAGGGAGGGGGAATGTGAATACTTACTTACATGTATGCAAATATAAATAAATAAATAAATACACATAATTATAAAATCTCTAATCCCTATTCAAACTCCAACTCCAACCCCAACTTCAGCTTATATATCGTTGTATACCTATCCCTATCCCTATCCTATCCTTTCACTAATAATCCTACTTAAAACAAGTTTTCCATTTATTTAACTAATCCTCCTCGATCCTGTGATATATATACAATCTATCTCTTTAGTCCTCTGGGTGAAAAGTCTAATGTGGATTAATATCTGAATCTTAAACCTTTATTTGATTTTTCCTTGAGTGGATGGATTTAGCTCTTTATTCCTCGTTCGTTCATTTCGTATCGATACCGCCTATCTTGTAATTTTCTCCTTTGTATTTGATAATTTTGTCGTAGCCCTCCATTGATATTTTTTTTCTTCATATTTCTCCTGCCTTTGCGCTTTTCTGAACCTGTCCCCTCTTCCATTCCCCATTCCCCATCCCATACTCCTCTCCCCCACTATCGCAAACCAAACAATACATCGTGCATTTCCCGCCAAACTAGCTCAGACCTGCACTGTATATTGTTCCTCTGAATTCCCATCCTGGAGTTCTTCTGTAAAGGTTTTATATCATACCCCGGGCAAACCAAATCTCTTAGTCGCGTGGCGTCCAGCATTTGCGAAATTTCCTGGGGATTCTGAAGGGAGCGGGGAGTGAGAAGTACACTCTGAACTAATCGTGCGCTGGCAGACGGCAGATGGCGTGGAAGAATAGGGAGATGGGTACCGATATAGGAAGGAAATTGGCGCGGCGGTAGGGAACTTGTTGAGATTGTTGTCATTGTTTGTAACATCGGAGAGTATACAGATCGGGGAGGCGGATAGTATGGAGAGCTTCCTGGTATTGAAGGAGGAAATTTGGCAGTTGTCGATGTAGTTGTAGTAGTGGTAGCTGTTGTAAATATTGTATAGAATTGAATCCGGTGGTTAATTGCTTGATTAAGGAAATTGACACATTTAACTTTTTTATAGCTCACCTCGGGAATTCGATGAAGATGATAAGATATGATGTGATGTGATAGTATATAGCTACTTCCAGCAGTGATGTGGCTGCTTATATTAGCAACTTTTCAATACTTTAGTGTATTCCATGAAATAGAGTATCCATATAATCCCTCTATGGTAGTGGATCTTCTTTAGACAGAGTAGATTTTAATAAGTGTTAAGTTGCAACTCTTCATCAACAATAACTTGGTTTCTTCCAAAGTATCGATCGGGACGTTATTAATGACACTTTGAAGAAAGAGACGACGTTGATTAAAAGCTTCACTAGTTTGACAAATCTTCTCTCCTCTTATCAAAGGTTTGTGCTAAAAACAGATAAGGTTATAGTGGAGCAATGACCAAATCCATCCGCCATATCCGATAGATCTGATGTCCCTGCCTTGTTCATGTGCATTGGTTGCTGAGGATCCTAGCAATAGCAGTACCATCGCCTTTCTTGTGCCATCGATTCTTTTGAACTCATGATCCCAAGATCCTACAATTAGGTCTAGATTTTCTACTCTAGGGGCGAATTACCGAGGATATCGAATTCATCAATTGATACAATTAATAAATATCATCAAAACGTGGGAACTTTGTAAATTTACTCCTGGAACCAGCTGAAGGTTTTCTTTACAAGCATTTAAAATTTTGGTGAGCGTTTTGTAGGCTTATTCTTCATTTAACAAGGGGCTAACAACAAACATTACAGGATTACATGAGAATTCGGCTGAATTATTATTCTTCTCCGGAGGCGCAAAACTTCATGAAAACGTTTTGACAAAATCATTGATTGTACTCTTCCACCACACATTGATGTGAAGAAAAGAAGATGGATAATCCATTGTTTAAACAACCAACCGAATCGAACCAACAGGCGCCGCCGCAACCTTTTGTGAGGGATAGAGGAGGAGATCAGCAAATCGACCCCAACCTATCCAACCAAGAAGGCCCTGACATCCGACCTGATATCCGACCTGGCCGGCAACGGGTCAAACGTGCATGCCAACCTTGTAAATCAAGAAAGAAGCGTTGTGATGGTTCCGAGCCTTGCGCTACATGCATCCGATATGGTTACGAATGTCATTACGAGCTTGGCCCTAGGAAGCGAAGAAGACATACTTTGAAGGATCACGACACCGACGTCTCTCAAAGTCACAGCTCACCTGATACGAGTACTCATCATCGAGAGGAAAGTGAGAGAGCAAATAGTGAAAGTGCTCATGTACCACAACCTGGTGGTTCCAAAGATACGAATCTTTGGGGAAAGGCATTTGCGACTTCTTTGGCTTTGAAATTGGATGCCGGGAAGTTGAGTAAACCTCATCTGGCTTGGAACTTAGGACTCAAGGATGAACAATCGTATGCGCAACCAGCGATCACCAGGATTATTGATCAAGCTGAGATGCAAAGGCTTTCTGATCACTACTTCGATACCACACATCAAATCTTTGGTGTCTTCAAAAGAGATTTGTTTGATCAGAAGATATCGGAGAGATGGGGAATAAATTTCAATAGCTCAGATCCACATGATCCCATATTGTGTGGCGTTGCAGCATTGGGATCTTTGTTCTCGGGTGGCAGTCCAAGTCCGGCAGAGGCATCGCTGGTAGAGTTGGCAAAGATGGCTTTAGAAACCACAAGTGTGTTGAATTACCCTTCTCGACATCATGTCGTTGCATGGGTATTAAGAACACTCTATCTGAGGTGTACAGCTTGTCCGCATGCTGCATGGATTTCCAGCTGTACGACAATGCACATTATTGAAAGTGTTGGAATGGAAGATGACTCGGATCAAGTTAGTAGCGATATAGACCTCGAACGCGGAATTGGTTGTGGGGTCTTGAATATGCAAAGACTATTTTGGATCGCTCTTTTGATGAATTCATGGGTTGCAAATGATTATGGTCGGTCGAAAGTTACTGTGAAGATACCTACGCCACCTTTTCCCTCACCTGAAAGTGAAATGGATCTCACCATCGATTATCTTACGCTCTTTCAAATATCGGAACGTCTCGATCAAGATGTCACCCATACAGCGATGGAATTTGAAGCAGGAATCGCAGCGGCGTATGCCTTTCATGCTCGATCAGACGGAGCTATTCTCTCACAGACAAATCTCTGCTTAGGATTATATCGTCGTCTACGTCTTTTAGCCCCAACTATATCACCTGAGACTGTTGATCAGGTAATATCCGTCTGCACAAAAGGTTTAAGAGCCGTCATGAGAATGGTAGAGCGTCGTCAACCGTGGTGGCATATCGCCAACATTCCTTTCCAATTTGTCTGCGTCCTTCTCACCATGGATACACCGGACTCACTATCGCATATCGGGGAAGCGCTCGACACTTTAGATGCAGTATCTCGCTGTTTCACAACTCGCTCACTTGCAGAGTCGGCAGCAACAGCTAGAACATTAGTTGAATTATCTCGAAAGAGAAAACAGGAGGAGATTAATATACTATCTCATGGCCTGAAAACCAGGGTCGAACCGATTCCGACTGGTCAATTGCCAATCCCCGGGATGATTGGTAAACAAATGGTTCCATCACCGATGGGGATGGGAAATGCGAATGTGAGTATGAGTAATATGGTGCAGGGAATGCCGAATATTGGTTCTATGGATTTTTCAGGATTTGACTGGGATTTGTTTTTGAGTATGGATATTCCCGTCTTGGATGCTACGGCCATGCTTTGAGGGGATAAGGAGGTTAGCTGTAGCACCACCTAATCTGATGGATCCAGTGACGTAAGAGAATCTGTCATTGGCATATATCAAAAGGAGACATGGAAGGTCATTTATATGATGTTGAAGATGGAGCGCTCGAGACTGGTTTACTGCTTTACGGGTTTTGTGGATAGGTTGAAGAAGAAAATGTAAACTAATTAGAAAGGATTTGATTGAAGCGAAACGCTTAGCATTCTTTGAAAGGGCTCTTTGGGCAGACATGACAAGCTTTGCCAAATATTAGGGGACACAAACCTCAGAAGGATGAGACGAGCTAGAATATATATTTGTCGACTTTGGGTGACGGAGCATAAAACAGATGGCTAGCAGATCTCCCAAATTCAATCCACAATTTCAGTATAGTAAAGATCAGCGAAGCTTTCCAGAAACCACATTTTTGGTCCTTATTTACTTAAGTTTAGACTTGATTTAGTTTAGGTTACTCTTCTTCCTAAACCTTAGCATCCTAATGCGAATCACAACCACCCACCTCACACTTAATTCAGCCCTACGAACAATCCACCCTTTCCCAAACCGTCCATCCCTGTAACCGACATCGGCAAATTTCACACTCGAGCCATCACCATAACCTCGGCCATGAACAACCTTTTTGCGACTTCATCTTATAAGTCAACAACAACAACGAGAGAAAAATTTGCATGAAGATAAGCCGAATTTGTGAATGCCAAGCTGCCGAAAGCATGATAAGATGATCCACTGGGTTAAAATTTTTGTAAAGGATCGGCTGGTTTAGGGTTGGGTTTGGTGAGGGTGGCGTGTAGAGGGTCTGGAATCACGGGCCATGGATGGATGGTGAATGGGATGGTCTGGGAGTGGTATGATGTTGAGAGCGTGTCATTCATGGATGTTGAGGAGAGAGGAGAGAGGAGAGAGGATGATTTGATACCATATCTTGGGGATGCAATCTTCATACCATGGGAATGGTATCTCGGATGCGATGGTATGAGATGAATGGTTGGTACTGTCCCTCCGATTAATTCTCTCCATACAGTTATCTCCGAAATCACATCAAGCGAAGGGGTTAAGACGTGAGGGTAATCTCATCAATCACATCACAGTAGGATTAGCCATATATCTGAATGCCAACAAGCGGGTGAGCGGATGTGCGAGCGGTAAGATTAAGGTTTTGATACCGCTTTGATTTCGATGATAAGGATTTTTGAGACGTTTTTATATCTATATTCGGGATTTAAGACAAGGTTGATGGGCTGGAAGTGGATTTATAGCTGTGGTTAGTGGTCTGGGCGAGAAAAAATCGAGTCGAGATTTGGATAGTGGAGACTTGATTGTCGGGTCTTGAGTAAGACTTCAGATTAGACGGAAGGAATGAATATTGTATGGAAATGTATAAAAGGGTTGGGTACCTTTTTGATGTATTTCGCTTTGCTTGTTGTATTGTGTTTCATATCTTTCTGTATTGCTTTCTAATTTATACTTCGCTCTATCTCTTCTTGTGCGAGTCATCTATATCACATCACATTCGATTACATGGTCAACATTCACCTCCATCAAAATGTCAGACTCAGAGAGTAATCACTCGAATCCAAAGGATATCGTATATGAATCCATCCTAAATATCAACACAAAAGATACTCAAACACCCGTCACCCGCATCCCTACCAACAAATCAACACATTCTCGCCGTGGAAGTAACACCCTCCATAACACTTTAACACGTCTCTCCACAAAAGAAACTCGAGATCCAGCACTCGACATCAATCTTCCCTATCGAACACTCAGTCCCAATGCCAATCTCTCAGAATACACTGAAGAGAAACCGGCTGGAGAAATCCCAGCAGGAAAAGGAGATGGGAAAATAGATTACAAACTCGTCACCTTTTATCCAAACGATCCAGAGAACCCGAAAAATTGGTCAAAGGCTTTTAAATGGTATTGTACCATGGTTGTTGCGCTGACTTGTTTCGTGGTTGCACTTGCTTCGTCAATTATTACCGCCGATCTTATTGGAGTAGAGAAGCAATTCAATGTTTCGGAGGAGGTGGCACTTCTTACTATTACGGTTTTCGTAGTAGGCTTTGGTATTGGTATGTTTATTCATACTGTGGATATGTATCTTGAAATGGTAAACATAAACTGACAAAAAACAGGACCAATGATGTTCGCGCCTCTTTCTGAAGTTCTCGGACGTCGCTTGATTTATGGAACTACTTTATTTCTAGCTGTAATCTTCATTATTCCTTGCGCCCTCGCTCAAAACATCGAGACCCTCATCATCTGTCGTGCTCTCGATGGTATCTGGTTTTCAGCTCCAATGACCCTCGTAGGTGGTACCCTTGCCGATCTTTGGCGCAACGAAGAACGTGGTGTCCCAATGGCCGCCTTCTCTGCAGCTCCCTTTATCGGTCCCGCTATCGGTCCTCTAATTGGTGGTTTCCTCTCCGATGCAGCAGGATGGCGCTGGTTGTATTACATCCAAATCATCTTAGCATTCATCGTCTGGATCCTCATAACTTTCACCGTTCCAGAGACATACGCGCCCACAATTCTCGCTCGTCGCGCTAAGAAAATGCGTGAAGAAACAGGCAGCCCAGAACACGTCACAGAACAAGATCTCGACCTACGACCTTTTGCCGAACGCCTCAGAGTCTTCCTCATCCGTCCTTTGCAACTCCTCTTCGGTGAACTCATAGTCTTCCTCATCTCCCTTTACATGAGCGTTCTCTATGGTCTCCTCTACATGTTCTTCGTCGCCTTCCCCATCATCTACCAAGAAGGAAAGGGTTATTCCGCCGGAACAACAGGTCTCATGTTCATCCCGCTCGCACTCGGGGTCATCGCATCAGCCCTCTGCGCCCCCATCGTAAACCGCCACTACATGAGCCAAGTACACAAATACAACGGCAATCCTCCCGCAGAAGTCCGTCTCATCCCCATGATGTGTTCCTGCTGGTTCATCCCCATCGGTCTCTTCATCTTCGCATGGACATCCTACCCACATCTCCACTGGATCGGCCCCGCCATCGGTGGATTCCCCGTAGGCTTCGGATTTATCTTCCTCTACAACGCAGCGAATAATTACCTCGTCGATTCATACCAACATCAAGCAGCCTCAGCACTTGCGGCCAAAACTTTCCTCAGATCGTTCTGGGGTGCTGCTGTCGTGCTTTTTACAGAACAAATGTACGCCCGGCTAGGGTATCAATGGGCGAGTTCTGTGTTGGGTTTTATTGCTCTAATGTGCTGTGCTATTCCGTTTGTGTTTTGGACGTGGGGAGCGAGGATTAGGAGGGGGAGTAAATTTGCTTTTGCGGGAGAGGATGAAGAAAGTGTGGGGATGAAGAAGGGGGTGGAGAGGGAGGCGCTAGGGGAGGAATTGCAGAGGCAGATGAGTTATGTTAGTACGCCTTAGATGCTGGTGGGTGTTGGGAGTAAGTGAGTGCGAGTGGTGGAAATAGAGAGGTTGGGAATAGGGAATAGATGGGTTATGATATAATGGTAATGAATTTGCAGATGGGGTAATAAAATCGGGCTGTTAGGGGTTTATTGGGGGTGGTGGGGAGGGTGTGGTATCTTCTCTTTGTAAGTAGAAGGGCGTTGGGGAGTTGAGCGTCATTTTGAGATTCCCCTATTAAAATGTATTTTTATTTTTCCTTTTCCTTTTTCTTTTTTTATTCTTCAATCTTCCCCTCAAATAAACAGAAATAGAAAATAGAAACATATTTCTGTTTTCACTATCTATTATTGTTGACCTCCTGGGATCTTGGCAGCATATGCATATATATTGCATGATACATATAAGGAGCAAACAAAACTTAACTTTTAATTCATTCTTTCCTTTTTGGTATACTGTTTGTTTGCTTTCAATATTTTGATTTCAAAGCACTTTAATTCCGAAGGCTGAATACCTAAACTTATTCCTTCATTTTTTGAATATATACTCGCAGCTTAACTTCTTAGCTAGAGAATCAATCAATTCAATCTGATGCTCTTTCTGGTCTCAATAAACCCAATAATTATCCATTATCTAGTATACAATACTCAAGTAATTTAAAGTGTTTATAAAATATAAATAATCCTTAAGAATTTGAAAATAAAATAGAATATTGATCTGCATTTCTCTTTTGTTTTGTTTTATTTTGTTTTGTTTTGTTTTATTTTGTTTTGTTTTGTTTTGTTTTATTTTGTTTTGTTTTGTTTTATTTTATTTTGTTTTGTTTTATTTTGTTTTGCTTCGTTTATTTATATCTCAAAATATAACCAAATTCTCCTATTCTCCTCGTAAATTTTCTAGCTATTGACATATTGAATGATTGTTGGGATGATTTCCGGTAGTTCAATTTTATTTTTTTATTTTTAGTTGATATTGGGATGGTGATGGTGATACAAATCTGTAAATAAATCTATTTTACAGTTCCATAGAAGTTATTTAAACTCCCCCCTTTTCCCTTTCATTTTCCTCCTTATTCAGACAAAAAATTCCCCAGAATCCCCCGTCCTACTTAACTAGCTTTTATATTTATAGTTAGGATTGATTGATTTTCTGATAATAGGTAGTTAGTAAATATAAAATAATTAGATACCCTCGAATTTCCTAGAGCTTTAGGGAGAAAAAAAAAGTGATAACTAATTCCCTTCTTGTAAGAGATTCTTTTGTGGCTTTTTTTGTTTAGTCTTGGGGAAGTGGAAAGTGGAAAGTGGAAAGGGGGGAGATATCTGATAGAGGATACGGTTAAAATACCACCGTAAGATGTTGCAGGGGGAAATTGGTGATGCTGCGCATTGGTTGTTTGAGGGGAGAGGGAGGAGTTGATGGAAAAGAGGGAAAATGAGCGGGTTTGAGTTTTGGATTGTTAAGGTTGTGATGATGGTATTTCATTCTCTCTCCCAGATCCGTCTTCTATCTTCGCCTTGACTTTACCAATAACATCGCTACATCTCATCCCATCCCATCCCGGCACGAGATAACGAGTGTCCTTCTAGACTTTGTAGTCAACCTACGCTTACATACGGATTTTCTTCGACAAAAATCATGTAATCTTGCCATAGGGGAAATTTCGCTTAGTTTCTAGAACTTAGACTTGATGTTGTCAATATATCCAGATTTGTAAACGAGTTTGTATTCTTGGTACTTCTGTCAAGGCTGAGGAGAAATTGGGCTCAGAGGCTGATTAGATTATTTCCTTTTTCTCTCTTTCGAGCTTGATAATTATTGATGTGAAGTATATAAGTTTCCAGTGAACGATCCTTGTGTTATGATGTCTTAGTGACAGGGTTAGTGAGTAGTAACTCTGGAAGGTAGGTGGCGGGGGGGAGTGATATTATTTATCTTGGGCTTCTGAGTTTATTTCTTTGGTTTTATTGTTATAGTTGGAGGGCATGACAATACTCTGGATTTTGTAATTGGAGGGAATACGAATATCTTTGGGTTGCGTGCAAACGAATATTTCAGAAGCACAGTTTTGTTCTGAAGATATTGGGTCGAAGCACACTCTAAGGCATTGAATGGAATTAATGCCCTTTAGTTCAAAGATTCTCCGGCTAGCCAGTGGTCTTAAGTTCTAATCGATACTCAATGACCAGAAATTTTTGGGTTCTTCACCAACACTTGAGCGTGTTGTGATTGGAGCTATTCTGTTCTTCGTGACTTTCTTTCTGATTTATACAGACTTTGTTAGCCAATCTCTCAGATAGTAGTATGGTCAATTTTTCTCGTCGATAGGAATTTTCGTTGCTCATTCCCGTCTTAAATATTAAATCTGCGAGTATCTCTTCTTCTCATCACTTCTTTCTCATCATCTCTTTCCTATCATTTCTTTCCTGCCTCCCCTCTCTTGCTCCCTTCTTTTCTCACTCTCTTCCCCATCCTCAAGAAAAAAATTCAACAAATAGTCTATCTATAACTAGCGCGTGATGAAAAGCGTGTTTTGGAACCAAGAGATCCATCATCATTCTCCTCATCCTCTGAATCAGCAGCTCTTCTAGTATAAGCTGAATTACTATTGCGGCGACGGCCATAAGTAAAATAAAACTAGCTTGACTCAAAATAGTCTAGGCCCATATAAAACGACATGACGACCTTTCAAACGTTTAGTTTTATGATGAAGTTTATCCTCGCCCTGCGCTGTCTTGAAATTCTCCCCTCCAATTAAAGTCAGAATTCCTGACGACTTTAGAAAATTCGATCATGTAACAACTACCATGATTATAAAATGGGTTTTGTTTTATTGATTTCAAAACTAGATGCTCCTATGCAGCCAGTTTCATGAGTATGTTTTCCTGATTCCATATTTCTTCTGAGTATTCATAGCAAAGGTTCTTAAGGTCAGACTTTAGGGCACAGTGGAAAATGAAGGCTGTTTCGTCGAATGTTTGTTTTATGAAATCAAAACTTGGGTGTAAAATTGAAGATCTCAACAGTGGATTCAGGAGTAACTTGGTATTGAAACTTTGAGAGCCGGCTAAACTCCGTTTGTGATGTTGATAAACTGCAAATGAATGCCACATACTAGGCGAACCTAATTCTTCTAAAAAAAATCTTGCCAATGTTTTAATAACATTTAACTTGAATTTGAGTTTGAGGTCTTTGGGCGTGGATCCGTTGGTGGGGAAAATTTGATAACGAAGCGCGCAATTTTTCTGTGCACCTGGTCCCATTCACGTCAAACCCATGGTAGAAGTTATTAAGTACAGCAACACTTGTCACTCTTCAAGCAAACATACGGAATGAAGAAGAGGTACAAGCTTACCATTGTGGGGGCTCCCCAATCTTAAATCAGAGACCGGAGCTCCACCTTCCAAAAAAAAGCATTAACACCATTAACAGATCGTAGATTAGAGTGGCCAGTAGGATTTTTCTAAAGACTCCTGTTGCACGCCTCTAGGTCTAATATAACATACTTGATGCTTGCAGGTTTCTGTATAGAGTAAAGTGTCTTGCGGTAGGTGACTCTGGCCAGAAGCACATACCATGGACTCAAATGGATGCTCTTTCATCTAAAGACCAATATAAAGCTGCGAAAGCTTTTGTTGCACATCTCTGGTCTCAAAATAACATCCTAGATGCCTGCGATTAAGTGTCTATGCGAAATACGATAGTGTGTATTCTGCTTCCCTCAGCTTCAAGTATGATAGTCAGCTCTTCTTACGTCTTCTACACCCACTTTTATCAATTATCATACTTCAAAGAGGCTTTTGAGAGATTCGATAGAATTTATGAATGCAAATTGTACTGAACACTGCCCCAATTCAAAAAGCCAATGATACATTAGTACAACATCATCTCAGGATTGTTAAAAGATTACGGCCGTTTTACCGTCAGTGATGTATTTTGGAAAAACTCATTCGGTGGGATATTGGTAAAGCTTTCTATCATTTCAGAGGCCGAGATCTGTTGTTGAAACTTTAATTTTCTAGACCAAGTATATCCCGAGTCTACCTCATCATGACGACTCGAACAACTACTTTGGACTGACCAATCAGCCTGCTCTTATCCCCTACATCACACTTGTTGCATATCTTTAGGCTGTAAATTACATCCAGGATGCTTACAAAATATTGACTCGGAGACTAGACTGGGGAGGTCGAGTAAGTTTGATCTCCAAAAAATCCCACGAACGCTTTTCAAGCCAGATAAGTCTTCTGACTTCACACAAGCGGTATTTATTCTTGTATTAGCTCGAGCTTTAGACTTTCCCATATTGTTATAGTCATGCTTCAATCTTTTGTATAGCAGGGTTTTCGAAGGTTTAATAATATTATTGTTATGTAACTTGGAGATCAATTGAATAATTGCTGTATCCGAACAAGAAGGAAAGGAAAAGGGTTTGCAGATTCTTTTCTTTTATACTAGCTAAGGTTTGAGCAACTGGTTCGCTCCTGACGGCTGTTACTATATCAGATCAGTTTTCCCTCATCTATTCTCGCTTAGATTTAGTGACCTGGTGGATCCACTTTTTATCCAATCATCGGTCTTCGCTAATCATCACTTATGAACATCGGATGTTAGCTCCAAATCAGACAAGAGAAGTAAAAATTTAACGTTAAAAATTAAGCAGTGCTAGTGTCTAACTAAACTTCTAGCCAGCTTAGCTCCTGGGCCAATACCCAGAAATGTTTCAATATACAGATAATTTGAAAGCTATTATTGATGTTAAACTGAATATGGAAAGTACGATTGATCGTGTGTCTATATAATCGGGAATCTTAGCTTTAAAAATTGTGACCAAAAGGGTGTTTATAGACCAGCAATTTTATTTAACTTAGAATCTACAGGTGAAGAGCACCTGTAGATGGGGATAGCTACTCTATATATACACAAATGAATGACCTAGCCGCAATGGCTAGGCAAAAAGAAGTCATATTTATCCCTCCAATGATCTTACTTTACCGATAACCATTGATACCTAGTACTTGTCCGGATCTGATCCTCAGGCCACCTAAATCGTATACTAATCCCGAGTAATCGTATCATGTGTGGACATGGTTAATGTACCTGAGGTTTCTTATATAATAAGGGTGGGAGGAAAGCAGGTGTCACGATTCACCATTAGAATTGATGGTGTTACGATGGTAGCAAACTGATTAATTAGGAGAGCTTAGGCCTTGTGCAAACACGATCAGATTTCATCGAATTAGTATGTGATCTTGGTCACCTGAAGATCGTATGCGCACGCACCATCAGAAATCACGTGATAAGGAGCCCTAGGAGCCCTGAGGAGCCAGAAAGCTCCTAGGGGCTCCCTTTATCGTTCATTATATATTCAGAGTAGTTTCATAGTTTAGGAGCTTCGTGCTCAACTTAGTTATCAATTAGTTTACCTACATTCTACTTGATCTAGTAACGAATTCACTTTCAAGTGAATACCAGTGATAAAGCCTTAACCCATAACTACCAACCGACGAACCTTAGGCAGCCGCTGCCTGTAGTACAGTATCCTTACAGCAGGGGTTTCCGTCACAATAATCATAAGAATTCTGGACTCTACTCATTGTACAGTATAATGCTTTTCATTTAAAATCTTGATTTACTCATTTTTTCAAATCCTTAATAAATCTTTATGTAAAATAAATTTTTTTTTTTCAAAAAATTTAAAAATGATCAATTGAAATTTATAAAAAAAATTAATTAATTAATTTTTAACAATTTTCATTAAAGAATTATATAAAATTGAAAACAAAAATTATGAAATTTTCAAAATTTGTTTATTTTATATAGAAAATGTTGAAATTAAGGTCATTATGGGCCTAGAATTGAGGTCATATGACCATTATGGTGCACGGACCATAATTGGGAATATCTTCAATTCTACCATTACTGTAACTTAGATCCTTAGTTTAACCTACATCTAATAATACTACTACTTCCAAACAACTCAGTTTCAACAGAAAAAGTATTTGTTACGTGACGGTTGTTACCCACTAGTGGCTCACGTGCACTAGCCCTGTATATAAAGACCTTCTTACTTAGAATCTTCTTAGTTCTTTAGTTTTAGATTATAAGTGATTGAATTGACTCCGTTTACGACTTTTCCGTCACAGTATTATATAATCAAAATTTTGAAATTTTATAATTTCAAATACTTATAACTTTTGAACAAAAATAATTAAAAATAAATTATGAAATTTCTTAGAATCTTTTTTTATTTAATTATTATATTGAAAGATTTCAATTGATTTTATTTAATATTTAGAAAGTTATTCAATATTTCATTTTATATAAGAGATTATAGTTTTTGTAAAGATTTTATTACAAAACGTTACGGTTTACAATGAGTAGATTCCAGAATTCTTACAACCCTCTTCATGCCTACAATTAGAATCCTTTCATCCATCACATCGTCGATCGCTCAGTGGCATTACCGCCACCCACAAGTTCGAATTCACTTTATTGTATCTTATGTCTGTCATCTCCATGCTTCGTAAAACCTCAATCATATACTTCAATCAAAATCAAATTTCATCGATAACCATTCGTCAAAGAAACCCCTGCCAACTTCAAAATACCGGAACGACTTACGAGCCATACTTTCAAAGAATCAAATCCAACCGCGATTTCACCACCAGACAAGAGAATCCATTACCATACCATTCCTATCATCATCTGATTACCACTCAAATAAAACATCGGAATGAAAGTAACAAGCACGCCCATAAAAGAGATCTTTTCCCTTTCCCAGCTAGAAAATGATCCAGAAATTGTGGTAACCTGGCGATTCTGGCTCGATATCTTCGTTTACAAATTTCATTACATAGCTATTCCTCTCTTCGTGCTTTCAATACTCTATTTACGCAGGAGAGAGGCCGTGGTTTCCGACGCTTTTGCGGCTCAGCTATCTGTAACACGAACCGATGTCGAGAGGCGACTCTTAGTGGAAAGAAATAAACGCTACCGGTTGAGGAATACGTTGTGGGCAATGCAGAATGGTAAATACATGGAGGAGATGAGGAAGAAGCAGGAGCTTGAGAAAGGAAAAATGTCTAGTCGAAAAACGGGATCTTGAGAGGACGTCAAGTGTGGTGAAGATCTTATTTCGCAACGCAGTTTATTTAGAAATGAGCTAAGTTCATTCAGGAATTTCAAAATTGCGCGATGCCCCGGGACATATAGACCGAAAAAGATGCTAAAATATCCACAACCGTCCTACGTATACATGCCCATGATACCACAGTCCGACTTATTCATCTACCGCATAGGAAGTGTTACAGTCGATCTTATTCCCCACTGCGTACTCATTCCGACTTCTCAATACCCTCCACCACATTCATAGCTTCCAAATTATCAGCGACCGAAATCTCACTCTTCTCCACCAACTGGTATTCAGGAGGTTGGTCCCGCTCGCTGAGCTGTACTATCCTCGTCAACCCCTCATCAGATATACTCGCGTATATGACGATGGAATTGAATGCTTTCTTGAAGAATTTGTATATGCCATACAGACACATGAGCTCGAAGCCGAATAAAAGGACGTTGCCAAATTCGGGCAACTCGACACCATAGATGTTATCGCAGGGAAGGCAAACTTTGTAGGTTTGGTGATTCATTCTGATGATTTTTCGAGAATTGTTGTGGTTAATTTGTGTTCTTTTATTTGGCTGAATGAGGATTTTGTGTGGGAGATAATGAAGAATGGAGAAATAGAAATCATGGGAGAAGGCGACATTTATATAGGATGTAATTAGTGAGACTAGACCAAGCTTTTTAGGTTTATAATCTTAAACTAACCTGATTATCTTGGTGACATAGACCAAGCTTGGAGCTAACGACTCCGGTGACAATTGTCTTGATAGAAGTGGTCTAGTGTGATCATAAAATAACGAAAATTTATGAAATAAAACTACCCTTGTTCAAAGTAATCCTTATCTTCAAGTAGTTTAGGAATTGGCGTCTACAAAGGCAGGCTAAGGGCCTATAGCAGATATGACTGAGTAATGTAACTTTTTTTGGCGCTGCAAAATCTCAGACTATGACGATGTCAAATAGGTTCGAAGTAGTTGGGGCCATACGCTAAACATCTACTGTTAAAATCGTCGGAAAACTGAATATTTTCATCTTTGTCTTGAAGGCTAAGCTACGTGAATGTTTTCATCACTCACGAGATTGTAAAGATTACCAAAAAATGCCAAATACTTTTGAAAATCACCGCGTTTATGTAATTAATCTTATGCTAGAACTAAGGCTTCATTTGATACCAGATTGATCTTGGCCATCCATTTCCTGGAAGAAGATTGTGAAACGACTCTTGTGTGCATTCCCGCAAAATCTTTAGGGTACTTGTTGATTAGGAGGGCACAAGTGATAGAGAGACACGGTGGTAGTCTTGTTTTAGGGGACAAGAGACTGAGGAAGGATGCTGGATCATGACCTATACAGTATGGACCTTACTTGTTGTAGTCCCTCCTTTCCTAACCATCAATGACACCCCAATATTTTACATTTTAAATGTGAAAGGTAAATTACAGGTATTCTGTGTCTTATATTATTAGCTGAAGAAAAAGCTTTAAATATTTTAACGTAATGATTGAACAGGATATAGTTAAATATCTCAAACCCACAATCAAATCCTTCAGCACAAAATTCAACTATCCTCATCTTGCCCACCCCTCGTCCAATGCAGAAACTCAACTCCCCATCTATCTGTTAATATTAGTTTTCTCTAACCAAATATGCCGATTATTTCCCTCAGTCTCATTTGATAAGACCCCGCTAACTTTCCAAAACATCTAAAAAGCAAAAAATTAGCTTGACATTCTTGTAAAAACCCGCCGCCAGTATGAAGCGAAGTACATTCGGAATAGAGCTTATAAGAGCTTATAGGTACCGTAAGTCTCCCATCCTGTAGCAGATATGCAACAAATTTCGACTTCCTGCCGGGTGGTTGGTGCGGTGATGTGATAGTGCATATAATTTACAAATAAAGAGATTATAACATGAGGAGAGGGCTTTGAATACACACCCGAGGAGACATTTTTGTATTATTCTTTATTTAAATGGTACTAAGCATTCAAAGTGGAAGGAAATGGTGAACTTTTACAGTATGATTTCGTTTCATGATGAAAGGTTTTAGAGGACAGTCAAAAATGACATGAGCTGACGCCAGCACGAAAAGTTTGACTTCACTTAACCCTGATTTTTTACGACGGCCCGGTGCTGGATGTGTGGAATGTATTCATTTATTTTTCTGAGATTGCCGAGCTGATAATCTCAGGCTAAGATTTACTTCATTACGTTGATTAATAGTTTTCCAACAAGAATATTCAAAAAAGTAATGAATTAATCTTCCTCACGATAATCTTTTCTAATTGTTACGTGACGGTTGTTACCCACTAGTGGCTCACGTGCACTAGCCCTTTATATAAAGACCTTCTTACTTAGAATCTTCTTAGTTCTTTAGTTTTAGATTCTAAGTGATTGAATTGACTCCGTTTACGACTTTTCCGTCACACTAATATAGTTTTCAAATGATTACTCAATATATTTAAGTGTAATAAGCGTATTGATATGATCAGACTTTTTAAAAAGAAAATGGATTTAATTCTTTCTATCCATATTAATAATTGTTTACAAATAGCAGATAAAAGAAACAGAATAATTCTAATATTATAAAAGTTTTTGAAATTTGAAATTGATTATCTCTAATTCAGAAGTCATTGATTTCAAAAAGCGTAAATCATACTCAATAACTATAAGTACAGATATATTCTATTGGGGCAAAAGATAGTCCATTTCCCAATTAAATACCTCGTACGATAGTAAAAACATCGAATATTCATTTTGAGTTTGTGGCCCCTAAATCGTTAAAGTTAAGCGAGCCATCCATCGACTCCACACGAATTTCGCATCGTGGCATCATAATTAATATAGCAAGTGGAAATTCTAATTACATTTAAATCACCCGATATCCAATTTCTGAGATTGAGGTTTAAGAATATCAGATAGCTAGTCCCTACTACTGACGAAAAAAATTATACAGGTTCAACAGGTGAGGTGGGGTTTTGTGTGTGAACTTCATTGTCTGTTATTTCTATGTTCCTGTTTTTAGTCGGATTAGTCACATTATTCGATATATTTTGAAAACTGTACTTCTTGGAGAGATGCTGACTCAATCCTGTTACTTTGGGTTTGTGTCCTTTTAATGCTCTTGCAAATGTTGCGAAGTAAGCCCTCGGATGGATGGTCACATGATTAAACTCTATTGGGAATAACACACGTCGATAGAACTTTTCACTCTATGTGGCTTTCTAGCTGATTTGATCGAATTGGAAGAACGGATTTCATATTGCAGCTGGCGAGTGCGTGGTTAACTCGGCGTGGTTATGGTTGTGCTTCTCAGTTGATTATGCTATGACCAGATCGGAACACACTTTTGAGCAGAAGTACACTTATATCGGGAACATTTCTAGTTGAAATAAATCATTGAACGCACTAAATTCATTCAAATCTCGCTCAATTGCGTTCATAAACCTGTTCCATTTTCATTTTGCAATTCTCGCAACTCTCAAAAATCGCAAACTAGCTACTCATCTGGCATCGCGCTAATAGGTCAACCTCGCTCTTCCTGTGTATCCCACCACTTATACATCACCTCCGAGCTTCCCCTTTCACCAAAGGTACCTTGAAATGAAAGTCGCTAATCCCATCCACCGTATTCAATTTCACAGTCCTGAAATGTAAACCGTTCTCCCGTTCATGGACTTCGAAGTTCACATTCTTTTCCTTGTCAATATCTCCTACACTCTTTAGCAATTGGCCAAATGTTCCCATAAGTACTCTTGGTTCATTATACATTTCGAAGAACGGGTATCCGTAATCTGCGTATGTTTTGGCGGAAATTGGAGTTTGTGGAGGTGGCATGCCAGTGACTAGCTGGAAGGTTTTTGGACCTAGAAGCTGCACGTTAAACATGACTGCATGTTTTTCGTCATATCTATTTTTGTGTAAATTGTCTTTGCGGATTGCTTGATGAATGGACCCTCCAGGCGCTAATGCCAATTCGTATCTTTGTTCTTTCAAACTTTCTTCCGTTTCTTCCATCTGTTTTACATCCTCTAGCTGTCCATGGCCGCCTCCGCGGAGCTTGAGTACCATATGAATCGTCGCTCCCTATAGATTTCATTAGTAAAAGAGAGTCTTAATAGCCCTAGTATATGACCCACTTCTGCTATATTGCAGTCCCATAAAGTGTCTGCGTGCCATGTGTCAGCCAGACCACGTTTGGTGATTCGTAATCGAATTAAACTAACCCTGGTCTTCAAGTTGCTTTCCACCAAATATCAATCGCTGTTGATTTGCTGGTATGCCTTCAATTATAAAGACACTATCCTTGAGCAATTCAATGGTCTCACGAGAGCCCACAGATGTATATATTGTTTTTCCCGTCAAAGTTTTGAAAAATACTTGGAGATTAAGTTCAGGCTCTGCACGGAGGGGAATAATCTCGAATTGAAGGCCAGCAATCTTTTCATAACCTGTGATCTGTGCTTCGACCGAGTATCCTGAGCCAGTAGGAACCGCTACAAATTGCTTGACCGTTCCGTCGGATTTTACAATTCCATCTAGCCATTCTTGTCCTGGAACCCTAAGATAGTTTTGATACGACCCCTTTCCGGTGGCAGCTCCTTCGGATCCTGTAGGCTCGTATTTGTTTTCTCCTGAGATAACATTGATCCCGCCAGCGTAGACTTTAACTGCAAATTGATCAAATCTGTCGGGGGAAAAGAATCGAATCCAAAGTGCCTCTCATTCTGTTTCATTTGTTAGAGATTCGACTTTTCCGTGTGATTAGTAGTTCATGAAGTGAGGAAAATAATTATCGAACTCACGCCAGATTGGAATAAATACACCTCCTTTCCTAACAAGCTCAATAGGCAGCTTCTCCGTGAACTCGTCAATGTCATAGATTCGGAATTTCCCAAGATCCGGCGGAAGCTGATAGTTGTTACCATCATCCGGAACCCGAATTGTTCGACGAAAGGATATCTTCATGGAGCCCCCTCGACCATTTTCAATTTTTATATGGTTGAAACCGCCTGGGGCATGCTTGATGGCATCTTGCAAGCTAACCTTAAGAATTGAAGGATCCATGGTGAAAGTTTTCGCAGCGTCAAATTTCAAGCCAGATATGAGATGCGATATGGAAAGGAAGAAACAGTTCATTCACTTTCGCGGAGCTACCGTTTGTTACACCCGGTTTCATAACGTGTGTTCAAAAACGTGATTTTGATTGCCTTGTTAAAATACTTAATTATTATATTTTTATATTTCAATTTAATATAACTTTATTAATTGTTTTTTTTATTTTAATAAAAATAATATTAATTGATAATAAATTGTTTATTTTATAATTGATTTAAAGTTTAATCATTTTAAATTATTATTAACAGATTTTAGAATTTGAAATCAAAAATTTAAATCAAATATTCGAAAATAGTTTTATTTTCAATCTTGTAAATCTAAAAATATTACATTTTAAATTATTTATTTTTAATTCAATAATGTTACGAGGTTTGCCGTCTAGATCACGTGGAAGTGCTCTAGGCTCTCGAGGTGGTTTATAACTAGGCGTCAAGCAGGGACTTAAGTAATGACAATAGTGATATGCAGTTCATAACTAATAGTAGAGTATACTAAATGATTGATCTTGAGCACGAAGCTCTATACAAAGGAAATCCATCTAGATTATATAGACCTTCGTGTGACGCCTCACACCTTCGGGTCACGTGGCATGCCCCGTTTGTATTTAATCACAGGAAAACTCGCTACTCTTGTTTTCCTTCTTCTTTTCTCCTTAGCTTAGTATTTCCTAATACAAGATACTTTACCCAGTATTCTTGAGTGTGACATTCGTGCCTATGGCTAGTCAGGACCGCCAGCGCTCCTCAGCGGTCCATAACGTGACTTAAGGTCACGTTACCATAAGTCAATCATTGTTACGAGGTTTGCCGTCTAGATCACGTGGAAGTGCTCTAGGCTCTCGAGGTGGTTTATAACTAGGCGTCAAGCAGGGACTTAAGTAATGACAATAATGAAATGCAATTCGTAACTAATAGTAGGATATACTAAATGATTGATCTTGAGCACGAAGCTCTATACAAAGGAAATCCATCTTGATTATATAGTCCTTCATGCTTCCATGATTACTAGTGATCCTTCATGATCATTAGTGATCATCTATATCGTGATCCTTAGTGATCCTTAATGATCACTATTGATCATTTGTGATCACGTGTCTTGGTAGTTGTGTAGCCCGTCGTAACAATCATGTGGCGCGGCGTTGATGATAGCCGTCGTAACAAATAACAAAATTAATAGTATATTTAAATTTTAAATATATTACTTAAATTGAAATGAACAACAGGTAGCTGAATTCAATAATTGAATAACATTTTACAAAATCAAAAAATCACAAATTTTAGATATATGTCATGAAATCGGGTATAAGTAATCCCGCCCTTTGCCCCACAAAAGAATATTCCACACAGCCAAAAAGATCAAAAGGGGACATTTCTGGAATCACATCTCAACATGATTTGAAGCAATCTTTGTAAATCTGCGACTCTGTTGTCCCAGGACCCTTCCAGTCAGACGACGCATCTCCTAGATTTTCTTAAGCTAGCTTCCAATTTCGCCCGCGGATTACTGTCAGCCTGAGTCCCGATAGGGTAAAGTATTGTGCCGATGAAACAAATAGGGAGTAGAAACCTGAAAGGTAGCGGGTATTATAGGATAAACAGATGGATTCAAGTGTGTTCTGGAAGTTGTTTGTTTTCCCAATTACTCTTCAAATCTTAGCTAGTATGATTGTATGTAGGGACTGACTTTTGAAGAGCCAGGGGTATGTGAAATATTTGTCTGTCTCAATTAAGCGCTAGCCCGTATTTTCGACACATCTAATGAATCATACCTATTTACAAGATCTGATCACTATCGGTGTTGGAAATTCTCAAGTCATATTTCTAGCATGAAGAGTGATTCCATCCCCTAATGCGGAGCGTCATGTCATTGTCTTCGTTTCCAAGTCCTCAAACCACAATTTTCACCAAAAAGCTCCCGAGTCTAGTTCATTCCTAACTTTTATAGCGCTTCTAGATATACCCGGGCAACAAATTTACTCTGTCTATCCACCTCATTCAACTCCACAGCTCCATGTTCAATCTTCGCTTCACTCCTATTCTCAATTGTCTTGACCAACTGGAATTCATTCAAGCCGTCATATCCCTTTGCCACAATAGAATCAAATATTCGTTCCCAAATTCCACCTTGCTCTCCATAAAATTGAGAGAAAGGGGATTTGAGTGCATAGATGTCGGCTATAGGTGGGTTAGATGGTTCTTCCTCCTCTGTGATCTTGCTGAATGTCTTAGGGTCAAAAAGCTGTACGTTGACGATGCCTTGATTTCCTCTATCGTATCGTTGAGGGGCAAGTATGTCTTTGTGAATAGGCTGGTGGAGGAGCCCTTCCGGGAGTATTGTCTTTTCTTCGGTTAGCCGCTCCTGGTACATATACGGTACTAGATATAATTTAGACTCCTATCATATATGTAAGCAACAATACTGAACCGTCTAAGGACACTTGGATCTAACAACCTTTTGTATATTGAATTGAGACAAGGTCACTGGGAGAATCATTAGGAAAACTCAATTTGTAGATCTTTGGATAATACATAATAGCTTACAGTGATTTGGTCGAAGCGTCCGTCCGGCATGGATCAATATCTGTAGGTACGGCGGTATACCCTCGAGGTCGTGTATCCTATTCTTGATGTCCCAAAGGGTCATTGAGGAGTTTACCTGAAGTGTGTGGCTTTTCTTAAACTTCAAAAATATTTGGAAAATGCGCTCTGGCTTGTTAGCAGTCCCTAGAAATGTTGGAATAATTTCAAATTGAATCCCAGCGGAACTGTCTGAGCAACTTATTTGAGCCACGTTTGAGCCTGAATTGTTTCTAGGAGGGATGACTGAGTATACAGGCGCGGTAGGAAATTGCGTCACTTTACCGTCTGCGTTGGGGATACCATCGAACCAATGTTGACCGGGAACAACGATATAGTCCTGTTTGCAATTGTTGACCTTGTAGTTTTGCTGAGTAGCAGATTTAGTCTCTCCCGAAATGATGTTAATTCCATCAACATAGATCTTGATAGCAAAGGGATGTTCACTGTGTGAGTGAAAATTGAGCCAGAATGCTTCGCTTCCTGAGTAACTCATTAGAATAAAAAGTTAACCGGGCCATGCCATGTGGAAGGAATAACGAACGACGAATGGGAATGAATGCACCACCCTTTACAACTATATCACTCGACAATTTTGAAGCATACTTCCTGATAGAGTATAAAGGTATCTTCCCAAGATCAGGAAGTTGAGGGTACTCAATTCCATTATCGGGGACCCGTACTGTACGTCCAAACGAGACGTATACAGCATTTGCTGCACCATCACTGGTGCGCAAATCGTATCCAGCAATTTCGGCCTTGATCTTTGTTTCTATGGGTCTCGATGATGCCATTCTGTTCGGCCGAATTGAGGTTTTCGGTGTTTTCATAGCTGGGATTTCCATTCTTTAAGTATTTGCAATTGCACAGTCCTGCTTCCAAAAGGATGGATAACAGTTCCATGATCCACGACTTATAGAATTCATTAGAAGTATAAGTTGTTTATATTTTGCTCCGTGATTGGCCACGGCGAAACATATATCGATGTGGGTGGCTTGAAATAACGAGATATTTCCTAGAACCTCGTGAAACACCGGCAACGTTCAAACCGCCGAACAAAGAATGAGCCGACCAGACTTCAAACCACCATCCCGATATTTCTTCACGATTCCAGAAATATGAGAGTTAGAAAATGTAGGTGGTCTGAAAACAATAATGAGAGAAAATATTCCGAGAAAAGGGAAGGAAGGAATAGAGAAGAACTCTTCTTCAACTTACACCAAACTAACGGTATGAGACTGACCTGCCATGACTTTCCATACTAGACCATCAGTGACATCAAGCTTCCGTGATTTCAAGTAAAACTTCAATAAGACTAAGAGTTATTGTCTCCAGCCCCTAAAACGAAACCAGACAATCCAATTTTGAACATATGCATAGCCCCGAGAATCCTGTCCTCAATATCCGTCACTTGCACCAAACATTGAAGTGGAGTATTTCATCCACCACAGTTCGGCTAGAAATTACTAGAACTTTCCACTGATAATCACTGAGCTTCTTAACTTGGGGTTTCTTCCGAAAGTAGGAATGAACCTATCCATCGTACTTGATGATTGAACATCACCTGTTCCCCTGCCCTTGTCCTCGTCACCATCACTTAGATAAGCCATAAATCTTCTGCAGACAACAACGATTTTCTCTTCTATGCATAGCCGTGCGTAGCCAAAGACCATAGTCTATAAAATCTTCACCCCAACCGTGTCTGTAACCACATATTCACCGGTATCTCCAAACACATCTCCAAACACAACCAACGACCTTCGAATCCACTAACCAACCACCTTTCAAATTTATCAATTTCAAATCAAAACAAACTAATCACCAAGCTATTACATCCCACATCCCATTTTTTCTCTCCTTCCTCCTATCTTCTTCCTCGGAAAGAAAAAATCTTCACGATAGTCTAATAATCAATAACCCACTCAATGAATACTACCTAGTTACCCCAACATGTATCATACAGCTATACGTCTATCTCCCTCCCTACCTCTCTCTAACCCATATCTCCCCCCCAGCACTGTAACTCGCTTAAATTATGTTACATTTATATCGCCGTGTATTTGATATATATCTGATATATCTACCCAATATCCTCGAGCTCCAGTATTCGAGCTAAATTAAACCAACTAGGCTCTTCCCTAATACAAAAATAGAAACAAAAACAAAACTTGAAAGCCAAATAATCTTAGCACAAGTTCCTAAAAATAAATAAATTAGTTTCCACCATGAAAAATATCATAATCAGAACCAAAAAGTACATTTAGCAATTTCAAGTCTTCAAACTCCCTCTTCAAATCCGTCACTGACTTAAACTCTCACATTTCCCCCGAAGTCGAAAAAGAATCTTACACCCGTAACCTCATGGAAACGAACCCTCTCATCATTAATATCTTCATCATCATCATCATCATCTTCTTCTTCTTCTTCTTCTTCTTCTTCAAAGCATCTAGTTACACCACACTCTTAAGTCCCGGCAGAAAAACCTCCCCATACGCCAGAAAGCCCTTCATACAAGCTGCAGAATTTATATCCGAAATCTGCATAAGTTAATTAACTTAACTAACCATTTCGCGGTAATAGGCATATGTTTCCAGTTCCAGTATCTCGACACCAACCAACTAAATTCTCCACACCCTCGAAAACCCCAACATCGAGCAGCTGAATATCTCAAATAATATATCTATCCCCCTTATCCTTATTCTTATCCTTATCCTTATCCCAATAAATAACTAAAAATAACCAGTATAAATTCTTCAACAACAATAATAACAATAATAATAGATTATTTAATAAAACCATATATATTGCGATAATCATGCCTGTTATTCTGGCACATGGTTCTTCCACTACCAAGACAAGGTAAAGAAAGACATGATTCCTTACATAGAGACAAAGCAGTATTTATCAGTCAAAATCCCTTTCCTAGAAACTGATTGTTGAAATGGTATACAGTACTAGACAAAAAATAAGGGCCGTTTTATGTATTTGTACCAAAAAAGTCCAATTTTTAATTTTTCCATTTTTAATTAATTTTGTAATTACATGTAAAAAACTTATACAAAATCATAATTTTATATTAAGATTTATAAAAATATTTATGAATTATATATGGATTATTTTTACAAATTTTTATTATTTCAAATTATATAATTGAAATTGAGAAAACTTAAAAATCTAAAAAATCATAAAATCTGTGAGTAAAATCATTCAAAATCTAAATTTTCAAATCATCTTAATTGTTAAAAGGAATGACCTCACACAGGGAATAGTGGGAAGCTGATAGGGCAGAACTGAGGTAATATTGGCCTAGTAGGTTAATCTCTCTTCTAAGTTCTACGGAAGTGCGAAGCTCTCTGTAAGAGAGCTTCTCAATCTAGTCCTAACAGGACTAGTGCCCTGTGCACGTGCTACGCAGGAACCATTCACTTTAACATTAATTTCAATTCAAATAATTAAGATCAAAAAAATCTTAATGAATATTTTATTTATTTTTTATTATATTTTAAATGGAAATCAACAATTCATCTCAAAATTTATATAAGATATTTGTGAATTTGTATAAATATTATAAATTTAAAAGTATGAAAAATGACCTTTTTTGGTATATTTTCGTGTTCCGGCCCTTATTTTTTTGTCGGTCACTGTAGATAGAATAGGGGATTATGATATAAATATGGGTTTTATTCTGTAATAGGCCTGAGCCCTGGATATATATATTAATGACAAGTTTCATGGCATTTTCGAATGGTAGTACCTACCATGAGGAATTTTTTTTTAGCTTTTGGGTCTGAAAAGAAAGGATTCGGATATTGGATACCTTGGTTACCTATGTATTACAGGATTAACTTTATGATATTGGATACGAATTAATAGCAAAAGTGAATAAATGACTTATTCTTTGATGTACACTGAATATAAAACCAAAATATGAACTAAATCACAATATCCAGAAGACAGATACTAGTGTCTTATTGAAATAGATGATAATAAATGTTTCCCTTGAAATTGATATTATTACTTAAAACTTTCATATGCCTCCCTTCCACCCAAACCTCCTCATCATCTCATCACCTCATTCCAAACCCCTTTCTTATTCTCATTCTCATAACTAAATAAAACAATAAATCAAAAATTACATATGAACAACGCCTAAAAAATGGATAGATGAACAACCCGTAACCCAACCCAAAAAATGTCCTCAATCCTGTACCTATTCAACACCATCCGATTTTGTCCGATTCCAGAATTCCACGCATCCTTATAATGTACATTTTTTAATCCAAACGAGTGGGTAGAAGAATTCAAAAAATCACTCTCCTGGACTGCCAAAAAATACATCCTCTTCATTTCTGAACATTGTGGAATTATCAGCTGTGACGCTGAACATGCTGTCGAATTTCCCTATCAGAAGATCAGGATCACGCTCGAGTTGTGTAATACCAGTGCTAGCTGTAGCAGCAAATGCCTCCAAAAACATATCATCTTGCTCAGTGATGTTTGGTAGATTACTAAGTTCACCACTATTTGAGACAGCGTCTAGATCATAGTAATTGGCGCTCGCTGTGGGCGAAGAAGACGATGGGCACAAACCTGGCGGGGAGTAGTTGCTCTGCGCAGATTTGGTGGGTGACGCAGGATTTGATGGAAGATGCTCAGAGAGGTTGGGACGACTGCGGAATACTGATGCTGCGTGTATTGACTGTATCACGTTTGGCTCTACGCATTCTGCAATTGATGTCATTGAAGAGATTGAGGATATTGATGCCGCAACTGATGAGGATCTTTCCCTAGAGAGTTCATAGCTGTCATGTGTGGCGAGGGAGCTTTGAGAATAGCCATAATCTCCAAAGGGCTTATCGTCAAGGACATCCAGATCACTGCGAGGTGATTGGGCGCATGCACTTTCCGAGTACTCTGATGATGTTTCTGATGGACTCATCTTGTTCTTGCTTCGAGTCCGGGATGCTTTTCCAAGTCGTTCTTCATCGTCAGGTCGATTCTTCCTTGGTCTACCTCTCTTGACTGTCTTCTTGACCACACCTTCAAAAGCACCAATGCACATGCCACGCTGTCTGTGACGAGTCAAAGCATCGTGTCTAGCAAAACTGTTTCCACATTGGCATGGATAAGGCTTTACACCACTATGGATCTTTGCATGTCGCTTGAGGTCATGCTGGCGCACAAAACACTTGTGGCAGTGTGGACATTGAAATTGCCTGTCGCCAAGATGGGTCTGGACATGTGACTTGATGTTCTCCTTGCGACCGAATCGCTTACCACATTCTGGATACAGGCAAAGCCATTTCGTATCACCAGGTTCCGGTGCTTGGATGTAGGTAGCAATATCATCAATCGTGATTCCAGTATCCGTAATTGATTCTTCGAGGTTGATACTCGATACTGACTCGGATCGTCGGTAAGATTGAGCTGGAGAACTACAAGCTGGCTCTGAAGCTGGAAGACCGTGAGGATAATTGGACATGGGGTAAGGCGATACGTCTGGTGCTTCTAAGATAGGTCTGTTGGTAAAAGGATCTCTGAAGACATTCCTCCGAGATTGTTCTGGAGATGAGGGATATGATAGATCTTGTGAAACATTTGAAGAAGTCGGTGAGTATTGGGCCGTTTGAAATTGTGGATCATTTTTCATAAAATCGAGGTTAATAGTTGACATGTTCATGAAATTCGATGTTGGCATTGGTGCGGAGTCATATGTGCTGGCAGTGGGTACGGGTCCAGATCCTGGTGGGGTGGATACGGCTTTCATCTCAGCTTCTCGTCTCATGTCGTCGAAAACATTCTTAGCTCTCTGATTACTTTTAGGCTTAATCGTCTCCTCCATGGATGTATCATAGTCATCACGAAATCTTTGTGGGATGTGCTCCTGCTTGATTGTTCGGTTGAATGGGCTATCCAAAGGAGCTGGAGGAAAGTAATCTAGAGCCATCAGAACATGTCTGTTAGATTAGAATGACGACTTACTGGTAGAGTTTGCATTTGGAGGTGTAAGAGGTCTTTGTGGCGATTTCAAAGCTAGATTCTCGAATTGGGCAACCCGATCTAAGATTGCACCACTAATCCTTCTCGATGATCTTCTGCTGTGGTTTGCAGAACTTGGCTGTGAATTGACACTGTGTATCTCGGATTCATTAAAGAATTCCATGAATGTTGGTGTCATTGCTGTGTTTGTAGCGAAAAAGTCAAAGTCATTGTTCCCGTTGAAGTTTGGATCGACTGATATTATCGGATTCATGGGACCGGAATATGAATATGAGTGTTGATGTTGTTGTACCTCATATGGGTTCGAGCATCCGGAATCAAATGATTGTCTGTGTGGGGTGACGAGTGGTGAAACAAATTGATTCTCGTCATTGTCGTAAATGGAAAATGGCTGCTGGCCCGGGCGAACCAGTCTCTGCTGCTGCGTCTCTCGCAAAATATGCTGTGGTGTCGTCTGATATCCTACGTTAGTATTACTTACCGCTTGTGCCTGCTGTTGAATTGGTCGTGGTCGCGTATCTAGGCTCATCCCACGTCTGTGGGCATGCCTTTGGACCGGTGGCAGGTTATTTGCCTTCACTGCATCGAACGCGGTCGGGGTCGAATTTTGTCGTCTGTGTTGCCGATGTCGATTTTGCAGGTTGTTGGATGGATTAGACAGCATTATGAATGCTAGAAGAGTTCGGAAATGTCGTCGATTGAAAGTATTGCAATTAAGCAAACCTATATGTTCCGAGCCTATGTAATGCATTAATTAGCGCGATGATGGATATATGAAGATAGAGCGGTCTAGATATCCATATGCATACATACCTCACGCAGCGCAAGCCGTTAGGCCGGGCAAACTTTTTTTTTTTATCTTAGGACTGCTCAGCAGCAATTGACTCTTTTTTTGAGTCTTCTTTTAATGATGGAGGACTTTCTCAGCCCTGTTGAAGTCAAACGAAGGAAAAGCTAAAACTCCTAATGAGAGCCTTCACCGGTAGAGGAAGTGTTTTTTTGTGGTTTGATAGTTTGTTAAAAGTATTTCTTCTTATTGGAAGAATGAGGGTTTTTGGGAATTCGGATTCGGTTTTGTGGAGATGTGTGGAGAGATAGATATTTGGATGTATGTATGATAAAGAGGGGATGGAAGTGAAGGATTGAAGGTTTAGATGCTTCAGCGCGTCCTCTTCTGGATCTGATGTTATCTCAGGCGCCAAAATCAACAAGGCTCGGTTGGGATAGCAACAAATTGGCAGGATCATCCAATCACAAATAGGGAAACTGGATTTCACATGATCCATGTAAGCAAAAGTTCGGATAAACCAATACATCCGAGTAACCAGTAAACCCAATTCGTTGCTTGAATTGCCTAGCTAGGTAGGTACGGAGTAACTTCTTCGAGGATGTCCAATCATTAATTTAAATGTCCTATGGGTTAATCAATAACTCTTACCTGGCTAGGTAGTAATGGGATTAGGCAGGTACTAGGTCGGTAGGGATAAATACGATCAAACATTATTTTATGCTCTATTGTATCTACCTATGCACAGCCTGCACAACTTGCACAAATCGTACAAATCGTACAACTTGCACAATTCTCACACGTTACCTAATTACACTTGGGCAACCAATGAGTGTATTTTTACTCTATTTCGATGATTTTCTTGATGAAATTATTTTGAGTCTGATTTGAATCCTGTTTCAAAAGAAATGTTCATTTTTAGCCAATCATGAGGGTTAAATCCATTTGATTTTCCTTTCCTGGAGATCCAAAGAATTATCGTACTCAATTCAATCTCCCGGGTGAAATCGTTTACCAAAAATTTGACCTGAATTTCGGTGTTTCCCTATCAACAAGCACCGTTCCTAATTTCTTTTCCCATACTACCATTATTCTCGATCCAATGTACCAAATGGCGAAAGGGCGAAAAGGAGACAACCAGAAACAAATCCGTGGAATTGAGTTCATTCATACATAGTTCATCTGAACCTTCTTCAAAACTTCCAATCTGACATTTCCAACGTTACGCTCGCATGAATTGAGTTCTCAAATTATTATTTTATAGATGCACGATTGACTTTCCTAACGACCCAATAACATCATCCATACTCCGTACCCTGTTCATAAAGTTGTGAGCGCATAATTAATCATGGCATCCACTACTGGAACAATGCGTGGGACACCAAGTCGCAGCGGTCAAGCCCGTGGTCAACTGCCTGTCTTTAGCAATAGTCCTGCGTCGAATATCCCTCGACCCGCTCAAGATTCTCATGCGACGCATGCAACGACTTCAACTACACAAAGTGAAGTTGGCGGATCCAGTATGAGTGCAAGCAGAGCAAAACAATCCAAGAGGGATGAGGTATGTTATATATCTTCTTATTTTCATTTTATCTGCTTCCCCTTTCCGCATTCTGGAACCCCTTTGAAATAAAAAAAAAGTCCGGTGGTTCTGGTGCAAACTATCCCACCATGCCACAAATTAGACGTCACAAAAGCAAGACGAGGTTAACAGTTCCACAGGCCATCCGGCGGAAGATCGAGACTGATCTCAGTAAGAAGAGTAAGACGACAGGTCGTGCTCGACAGACAAGAAAAGCCCCGCCAGGAACGGTTCTCGCTCTTCGACCAAGTCAAGCACTCCAGATAAAACCCAATACCACTGTGGCAGAGGCTGCACAGTTGATGGCAGCAAAGAGAGAAGATTGTGTCTTAGTTACCGACGATGACGACCGCATTGCAGGCATTTTCACTGCCAAAGATTTGGCTTTCCGAGTTGTTGGAGCAGGAATCAAGGCCGCCAATATCACAATAGCTGAGATTATGACCAAGAACCCGCTCTGCGCCAGGACCGATACAAGCGCTACCGATGCCTTGGACTTGATGGTTAGAAAGGGATTTCGTCATTTGCCAGTCATGGACGAGAACCAAGATATTTCGGGTATTCTTGATATCACAAAGTGCTTTTACGATGCTATGGAAAAGTTGGAGCGGGCTTATAGTTCTTCGAGAAAACTTTACGATGCTTTAGAAGGTGTTCAGTCGGAATTGGGGTCCAGTCAACCGCAACAAATTATTCAATATGTGGAGGCACTCCGATCCAAGATGTCCGGGCCTACTTTAGAATCCGTCCTTACTGGAATTCCACCTACAACCGTCACTGTACGAACATCCGTTAAGGAGGCCGCTGCTTTGATGAAGGAAAATCATACCACGGCTGTTCTTGTTCAAGATGGAGGATCAATTACTGGTATTTTTACAAGTAAAGATGTTGTTTTACGTGTTATCGCACCAGGATTGGACCCCTCCAACTGCTCTGTTGTACGTGTCATGACCCCGCACCCGGATTTTGCTCCTATGGATATGAGTATTCAAGCAGCGCTGAGAAAGATGCATGGTAAGATTCCTATTATTTTGTGATGTACTTTGGCTTACTTAACCAGATGGTCACTACTTGAATTTGCCAGTCATGAACGATCAAGGCGAAATCGTTGGAATGGTTGATGTTCTCAAACTTACATACGCCACATTGGAGCAAATCAACACCATGCAGACAGGTGAAAGCGATAGCGGTCCAGCATGGAATAAGTTTTGGATGTCTCTTGAGCATGAAACTGAATCAATGGTGTCTGGCGAGGGAAGTCATCATCACACCACTGGTGGCCGATCTTTAATGTCCCCAGATATGTCACGAGGTCATGAACGTCAAGTTGATGCTAGCGTTGCCCCTAATGATTCCGCTTCTCACGTTGGTCTAGATTCTCCACGCTCGCAATTGAGTCGTCATAATGATATCCCCCCCGAGGATGTTCCATTTGCATTCAAATTCAAGGCTCCAAGCGGCCGCGTGCATAGAATTCAAGTCACAGCCAGTCATGGCCTAGCTGAACTTATTTCTGCTGTCGCAAACAAATTGGGAGCGGAAGTTGATGCTGTCGGAGGTGTAGCAATAGTAGAGGACGGTAAACTTGGCTCGTCCGGATTCGCTCTCAGTTATCTTGACGATGAGGGTGATTCTATATCAATCACAACCGACGAAGATCTCCTGGAAGCAATTGTTATCGCCAGAAATGGTCACCGGGATAAAGTCGACTTGTTCGTTCATGATCCTGAGAAGCCACCAATGGCTGCAACCTTAGAACCTCAGCCACCTGTCATCCAAGTAACTACTCCACCAGGATCAGCTACTATCCGAAGACGTCGTGTGGTTGCCGATGATGAGGAAGAGAGTGATGACGAACCTCGAGTCAAGTCGAAATCACGAAAGGCAGCAGCTCCACAACCAGCTCCAGAGGTTATTCAAGGGGTGCCAAATGAGCTCTTATTACCTGGAGCGATTGTAACTCTTGCAGTTGTTATTGTCGGAGTATTTGCATTGACTCGAATCACGAGCCGTTAATATAATGTTTTAGAGCTTGCGTTCATATTGTTAAGACTTCAATTGTCTGTTAGATCTCCATGTCTAGAAGGAGTCGTACAAGCATTATGATGCCTTTTGATAACCATTTGATAGTTTTACGCGAATTCAAGTCTATACCCCTTTTTGAAAACAACTGTATAGAAATGATGAATGTGAAATATTGACACCTAATGATCCTAAAATCATCATCCAACAAATTCTCAGATTCTACTCAAGATTGTTGTCAAGATTGAAATGACGATGTTCCTAAACGGGATTAGCGTGTCTTCCCCACTAGCGCGATATCGATGTCCGAGATCTCAAAAAAGTCTCGATAACATCAAAATAGCTATAAACATCCCCAAAATGATACTAAGAAATATCGCGATACGGCATGGTAAGCTAATCTTCCCAATGTCTCTCCTGGCCGTTGACTGAAGTTCAAAATAGGCCGAAAAGCACTTGCTGCACCCCTCCGCCTCTCCCAAATCCGTACCCTCTCAACAGAGACCTCGACCCTCGAAGCCTCAATAGACAACCACAACAAACAAACCAATTCTATTGAAAGCACACTCAATTCCCTCCACCTCACCCGCAACTTTTCTCCTCCACAGAAAAAGAAACCACATAATCCAAATGTCCCCAACGTCGCAGAAGAATACCAAAGGTTCAACCATATCAAGAAAAGAACGGCGAAATTAGGTTCCGTCGTACCACAACATTATGAACCCCATCAACTCATCGTCAATCCACCGGCACCGAAAGATATCACGCTGGAGCTTTTGATGGCTAGTCAGAGTCATTTGGGCCATGCGACTCAACTTTGGAATCCGGCGAATCAGAGATATATTTATGGTATTAGACAGGGGGTACATATAATTAGTTTGGAGGAAACAGCTGCTCATTTACGTCGTTGTGCGAAGGTTGTAGAAGGTGTGGCTTATCATGGTGGTCTCATTCTCTTTGTCGGTACTCGTGCTGGTCAAGATTCCGCAGTGGTGAAAGCTGCTTCTCTCGCGAAAGGATGTCATCTTTTCAATCGTTGGGTCGCGGGTAGTATTACCAATGGTGATCAAATTCTCGCCAAGTGTGCTATTAAGGCTATAGATGCCAATGATGAAGTTGTAGCGGGGTTCGAGGACAAAGTTATGAAGTGGAAGGCGTTGAAACCCGATTTGGTGGTTTGTTTGAATCCGTTGGAGAATTATATTTTGTTGCATGAGTGTGGTTTGCATAATATTCCAACGATTGGGGTTATTGATACGGATGCGGATCCTACTTGGGTTACGTATCCTATACCGGCCAATGATGACAGGTAAGTTACCTTTTCCGTGTATTTTACTTGGGGATAAGCTAACAATTCTACAGTCTGAGATGTATTCAACTCATAGCAGGAGTATTAGGTCGTGCGGGAGAGGAAGGTCAAAGAAAACGTCTACAAGCTGCAAAAGAGGGCACAGTTACTTGGTTACCACCACCAGGTCTTGGTGAACCTGTAACTGCAGAAAGTAAAGCGAGGGAAGCTGCTGAAAAGGCAGCAGCTAAGAAAAGAGGTGGTTCAAGTAGTTAAATGTGTATGATTATATAGATAAAAAATGAACAAATGGGTAAATAGTATGTATGTTATATATATGTCATACTTGGATGAAAATAACATTCTCTTATGAACTTCAATTCTGGGATCTCTAGTGAGGAGGTACTTTATTCCATCTCATCTGAATCAGTATATTATAACATTATACTTCTTCAGTATGATTATAAGATCTTATATAATTCTAATTCCCTATCTATCCATTGCGAATAATCCACTCAATCTATTCCTCACAACGATATCTCTCTCGCTGTGTTATCACATTTCTTCAATTCAATTCCATTCCGTTCTGTTCTGTTCTAAGATCTTACTTCAAATACAGGAATTCCTCTCTTTGTATGTAATTTGTAACATGGATGTAAAATAATCCAAATTTATATTATCATTATTATAAGTTCTCGAAAATGCTTAATTATCGTAGAATAGAATAGAATGGAACGTCTATTGGATTGTTTGGGATGGGAACGGGGATGAGGGATGGGGGATGGGGATGAGAATGATTTATATATTTTCGAGGTGATCTATGGCGTGCGTTCTCGGGGGTTAGTGTTGGTGTTAGGAGGTGTATTGATGAGTTCATTTTGATGGTGTTGTGTGGAGATCTAGTTTTAGGGTATAAGGAAGAGGAGTGGGAATGAGGAGTTAATTCTGGTTGAAAATCATCAGTTCCTCGTATTAGGTAGATTTGCACATTCTATGTATAAGACTTACCTAGTAATCGGCTGCATCTAAATTAATAGTGCATCGCTCCGCTCTGTACGTATATTTTGTTTTGAGGTTTCTAGGTAGGTAGTTAAGGGTGTTAATCTTCTAAACATAGAAAGGAAATAGAAAGGGTAGAGGAGAAGCTTTAGTCTTTGAAAATATCTGGGAAGGAAAGGGAAGGGAAGGGAAAGGAAGGATGTGGGATGTAGTTATATTTATGTTTGTATGCTGGAATTTTTTGGTGGTGGTTATGGTGTTGATGATGATGGTGAGTAGTTTTGTTGTCGCTGCTGGCTTGGAGTTTGGTGAATTGTTACTTGAAAAATAGTTGCGCATAATCGTGCTTGTTGTTTATGTACTACTAGTTGGTTGTCAAGCTAGTGACTTATTTACATCTGTATGTTTAATAAGTTAGCGAGTGCTCTAGACTATTCAAGCTCAGCTTTCACGGAATCAACTGAGTATATTCTTCACTTAGGAAAAATTTTCCAAATCAAATGGCCCATTTTCCAGTCCTCCGGAGCTGAGATTCATTTTAAAGACTCCATGCTTTGAGCTTTTTCAAGAGACAAAAATGATATATTTATTCGTAGTACACTAATCACCTATCACTACCCATATCTACCGCATGAAGATAAAGCTAATATATTATATATACCCCTGAGAAAAACATATATTGTGTAACATAATACGTCTTAAATACTCAGTCTGCATTTTCCTTGGAAGGGGCTCTAATTAGATGAGTACTTTGTAATTCATGAGGAGCTTGCTCCGTTGTTATGTTAGTGAATGGGAATCGACATATATATACTATGAAAAATTTCATTCTGAGATTCGAAGAGGTGGACAATTCTAAGGTGGTGCTAGTGAATCGATGATATGCTCTTTGTGGTGACTGGCGAAGAGGTATATATAGTTATGGAACCACCACGTTTTGTTGGATGTATACAAGACATATGATTCACGAAAAAGACAGGTCATGGCGTCTGTGTATATATTCCTCTCAAACATTGAGAACAAAGATACAGGAATTTCTGTTGCGATGAAAGAATAGATTGAGATTGGTAGATAAATTTTCTCGGTAATAAATAGGAGGTGATGATAAAGGTTCAGTAGCAATGACAAGGCTTGCTGACAATCAAACTTGATGATTCTAGATGGTGTAGATGAGATAGAACCTTTTTAGTTTTTCTCAGTAGGATCAAAACTGTAGTTGCATGTCAAGACTATACAAGACTGTGTCTCAGTGTAACAGCCACTGTCTGTTGAATGATATTGTAGCATTCAACTAAAATCTAACTTTAAAATATCGTCACGAGTGTGCCTTTTATGGACAAATAAATTACTCAGAGTCTCTTCTTCACCTCCTGGAGAGTTTTTTGAACTCGTTCTAGTCTATTTACATTTTTGAAGTAATATTCACTGTGTGCATTTGGAATCAGCTTAACTCCCCGTACTCCGTACTATTTTGGTATAAATAACCCCGAGAATTTATTGTAGAATTCCCATATATCCTTTTAATACTAGAAATGGCACCATTTCATGGGGATATGCTGGATTTCGGAGCTCCCTAATAACTTGTGTTAGCGAAGTTGGACTTAGTTCGTTACTGCAAACATTTTTAATCCAAGAGGCCCATGGGGGAAAAAAACGAAGATGCAGTGACGAGAATTCATATTACAGTATCTATTACGAGTAATGCACTACCATTGTCGATTCTTCCACTGTTACCAATATTTGGGTAGTAAATTTAATTATAGGCACTTGTCACAATATCTTCTTGAGCTGTACGAAATCAATGTCATATACTTGCTACATTCACCCTCGTTCAATGGTTTTGATGCAGGTTTTAGATTTCACATTGCCCTCGCAACATTGGAGGTTTATCTTTACTAGTTACCAATGCTCTTAGTGTTCCTGTTCTTTGTGACCTTTTATCCTACCAGTGTTTTAGATAAGCCTTAAACCTTTACGAATCCAATTGAATGAGGATCTATTTCTTACCAATATGTCATCCTCATGCACCTATCAACCAACTCCTTGAACGCTACTTCCTTGCCATCAATTTATTCACCCTATATACAAATTGCTCTTTTCTATACTCCGCCTCGGCCCAACCTCCTCCCCTCGTTAATCACCGTCTGTATCTATTTCAGATATAGAAGTTTCCTTGTATCCTATTTCCATATCAAACTCTCTTGAACAGCCTGTCTTTTATACAATGGTAGCTTGATCAGGCGTTCGTCGTTAATTTCTTGCTTTTCCTTTTTAGAATTTTGCGAAATATAGGACTCTGTTGAAAAGATGGTCCTTGTGGTGCTAGAACGCAGGGGGAGCTAGCCCCAATTAGTACTAGTAGAACTCTATATATATAGAGTTCTCTTATTGTAATTAGTAACCTCTTTAGTCAATGCGATTTACTCCGAATGCCTTCTTATTCTAGGCCTTATGCTTCCCGTCATTCCTGTAAAAGGTCGTTATTTTTAACAAACTCTTGTGTTTAGATCTTAAGGTATTGCTTTTATCAACTTTTCCCGCTTGGCTGTCTATGTTAAGAAACTTATTAAAGCAGGGATGGGACGAGAGTCTAGAAGAATATAGAGGTAGAAGTAGATAGTGGCTGAGGATGAGAGTAGGCTGGGATTCACTGTAGATTTCTTACCAGATTTCTTGTATAGGTCATCAGACAATATAAGAGTAAAATCTGGTTCTCAATGTCAATGATATAGTATTATTTGATGGGATTATATTATTGTGAACTACATATTTTTTACTTCAATCCAAAAAAGAGTGAAATATGAAGAGACGATGTCCGATAATAATAAGAAGAACAAAAGAAGTAACAACAAATTTATAGATATTCAACTTCCAGGGTCGAGTTCTGGAAAGATTTCTTATCAAAGTATTGATGCCTGCATTATTCAAGCTTACCAAATAGATACATATCTTCAGCCGCAGCGATGACTTTAAAACACCCAAGCCATAAAATACTTTTCCATGCTTCCTTTTGTAGCCCTTAAAGAGTTAGAAGCTGTGAGGGCCTTATTGATATAGCCATGGAAAGAACTTTTACCGAAGGACTTGCTGCTTTGGATATATTTACTGGCTACTGTAGTGAATAATCATTTCTGAATCTCATAATAGTGATTCCACGCAACTTTCTCTCACTAGGTAGCTATAATCCCTCTGATGGCCCTATAATTTATCGGATACTATCTCGAATGTAATCAACTCCACCATGGCTCAAATTCAAGTCTCAATTCGGTATCTATTTAAAGGACTCCTTACCGTTCTCTTTGTCTAGAACAACTAGCTCACGACTTACTCACAACGCAAACAAGACTGGATAGCACAAGATGCTTCGGGCCTGTTCGGTGTCGTTGGCAATTGAAACCATGATGGGCTAAAGAGATTCAGATGAATTAGACTCCCATCTCTGTAATTGAGACGATGTGGCATTCATTTTGTCAATGTTCGATTTTACTGTCATTGTTTCAAGTGGACTATGAGATCAGAAAACAGTGAAATCTAATATCCCGCAAAGAATACTGGCCCAGAAGAAAGACCTAGAACTTCCAATAATTAGATGCATGACTCTCACCACATAACAGTCCTTCGCAGTATGGTTACTTGCATAACGAATATAGCTGATGTTCTAGGTATATATATAAACATAGAACAGCTAAGTCTAATAACCCCTTTTTTTGAGCTACTCTTTTATATCAAAAATTATTGTTTTTTATTAAAAGATTGGGTGGAAGAGGCCTCTATATTGACTATATTACTACGTGTGTAGGCATATTAAGATCTCCTCTTGGTATCCTCGGAGGGGACCAATATGCCTGCTTATGGTTCGTCTAATCTAGCCTGTTTAGGTAACCGTATTACTAATCACGACACGTGATTAGTACCGGTAACTTCTATTCCTTTTAACATTTTTATCTATTAATGATTTCTTGAAATTTTAATTACAGTACTAGCGCACTGCTACTAGCCGAATGGCCTTCTTACACCAAAAATCAACAATTTTAAAAGATTGTAACAATTTTGATTATTATAAAAATATAATTGAAATTGAGAAATTAAGTTATTTCGAATCGATTATATAGTAAAAATTTGATAGATTATTTTTTGAAATTTTTAAATTAGTGTGATTAAATTTGAAAATGATTATATGAAATTTTGATTCAATTTTTGCAGTAAAATAAGGAAAATTTAAAAATTTAAAATTCAGACTTATGCTAAAAGGAATGACCTCACACAGGGAATAGTGGGAAGCTGATAGGGCAGAACTGAGGTAATATTGGTCTGGTAGGTTAATCTCTCTTCTAAGTTCTACGGAGGTGCGAAGCTCTCTTACAGAGAGCTTCTCAATCTAGTCCTAACAGGACTAGTGCCCTGTGCACGTGCTACGCAGGAACCATTCACTTTAACAACTTATAAAATTCCATGAATTAATAATTAGAATTTATAAAAATTATAAATATAAAATATTTAAATGAATCTTTTTAATTTTATATAAAAAAATAAAAGGAGTAAGTTTTGGTGTAAAAAGAGTCTACATGTTACACCTGTTGCGATAGAATGTCACATGACCATAAAATATGTGATGGAACGGTGAGGAACGAACGTTCCTAGGAACAACCAGGAACGACGATTCCTAGTTAACCATAGGCACAAGGACTATATGATCAAGATGGATTTCCTTTGTATAGAGCTTCGTGCTCAAGATCAATCATTTAGTATACTCTACTATTAGTTACGAATAGCATACCATTATTGTCATTACCTAAGTCCCTGTTTGACGCCTAGTTATAAACGACCTCGAGAGCCTAGAGCACTTCCACGTGATCTAGACGGCTAACCTCGTAACACCTCGGCTAATTATCAGTGCCCGGTCACTGTATATTACCCGAATGTTCGTAACAACAATGATGAAAACCTCCGCACTATTAATTTGAGCATCATTATGGTTTCTCTTGTATGGTTAAGCACAGGATCATCAATCAGTCATCTATGGCAACCTCACTGTTTTACTTTTTTTTTGGGCTAGATCCTCTAAAAACTGATCAGGCTATACCTTCTAGTCTTAGATGTGACAAGCTGATTTCATCTTTTAAGTTTTCAAGGTAACCAAGCGACATGAAAGCTTTCAGAAAGTCGAAAACAGTCCAATTTCTGCAATGGAAAAACCACTAGTGCCGCATGTCGAGATAACAACTTAAGTAAAATGATAGCAATGATGATCCACTGATAGCAAAATAATCTGGTCTGGTATTATTGGGTTTCTTGAGACCAGAAAGAGCATCAGATTGAATTGATTCTCTAGCTAAGCAGTCAAGCTGCGAGTATATATTCAAAAAATGAAGGAATAAGGTTAGGTATTCAGCCTTCGGAATTAAAGTGCTTTGAAATCAAAATATTGAAAGCAAACAAACAGTATACCAAAAAGGAAAGAATGAATTAAAAGTTGAGTTTTGTTTGCTCCTTATATGCATCATGCAGTATATATGCATATGCTGCCAAGATCCCAGGAGGTCAACAGGTATGCATATCGTAGAACCAAATATCAAGCTTTTGCACGCGAATAAAGCAAAAAGCGAATGATTTGCAACATAAATAATGTCATCTGGGTACATTCAGCGATATTTAGAGGAATTGGTGGCTCAGAGGGCAAGAGGTTTGTTTTCTTATATAGTCTCGGAGGCTGGAACTTATGAGTATACTTCAGTGTTCTCTTGTAATAAAAATAGTGAATGATTGAAAATTGAATTGTGCCATCCAAGTATTCAATATGTCCAGTTCTAAACTGTAATGTTTCCAAAGACTCGAGGAGGTCTGAAGATGGGATGAAAATATGAAGAAATATTTTATATTAATAGGGCAATATCAGTTGCTTTGTATGAACAGACTATACGATAAAGAAATATGACGAGTATTAATACTGAGCACTGAGCAAGGACTATTGCAGTTGGTGAATTTTTTGAAAGTGGAAAGTAATTCGGTGGGAGTATACTATCACTAGCGCCTCATCATCAGCGTGATCCTCCTCTCATACTAGATTCAAACTAATAATTATGCGGCATATCTGCTCAATCTCAAAATTGACATCATGATTTCAACAGAACCAGTAAAATTACAAGCGCAAAAGGATTCCCTAGATAATCTTCCTGTAAGAAGCAATCGAGTATTGATGACAGAGGTTAATAACGATGATAGTATGTGCACCAGTTTAGTAGATTATGAATGACTAAATTAGTTAGGGCTCGACGCGGTCCAGACATGGTGCTAGAGCTAGAACTTAATCTCGAGCTTGTTGCATATCTGCTCAATCTCGAAATTGACGTCATGATTTTAATATAGCCAATAAGATTACGAGCGCGAAAGAATTCTCTTGTCCATCTCTTTAGACCATTGTGGTCGGTCGAACGAAGCTAAACAGAAATAGTATTTATTCACGCGCATCTAGTGGATCTATAATAGCTAGGCTAGTTAAAATTTATGTGGTTAGTCGAATAGCCCTAAAACTAGCTTTTCACCCCTTATTTGTTGCATATCTATCAAAATCATCTTTTGCGATCGCAATACTATTGGTCGCTTAAGCGTGACTAGGCCGGTTTTGAGATTCCTCGTGTTTTAGTCAGGCTCACCATTCATTGTGACTAGTATATACATGAAGGTTAGAATTGGGAACTAAGAGCTGTCTAGAAGCTCAAAGTTCCAACTTCAATCATGAAATGGTTAGTTTATTACGTATAATCGGCACGTACAGACTGGTGGCATACATAACCATGACTCTACCGCACATGCTGATGCCAAAGGTCACTGCACTCGAAGTCACAGTGTTCAAAGGCTCATAGACTAGCTTTTAGGGCCTTATTTCTAACCTAAAAATGTTTCAAGGAATCGTGCATTGCCCAATTTGGTCTTGAAAGATTATAGAAAGTGGCTATGAAAGTACAGATGACAGTAGTACATTAGGATTATAAAATTACTACCAAAACCTTAAACCACGAATTCCCAACGTCTGCACTTCAACTTGACTTTATCTTATAACTCAAAGATACAGGGTGCTAAAAGCATAACATTGTTAAATAAACCGCTATCCCAGAGTATCTTCTATGCGAGTGAGCGCCCAAATATCCAGCGAATATACAGCAAACATCCACTTTACCAAGGAAAATATTCATCTTCCCATACTTAAAACTTCCCATTCATTACTAAAATCATTATGATAAATAAAAACTTCCAGTTTTATAGTATTCCATAACATAGTTATTCCAGCAGATAGTAATCATTCCAAGCGAAAAATCAAACCCATTTCCTCGATCCCCCATTTCCCTCCCCCAAAAATCCTACTTTCAAAACCTAGATACTATTAGCTGTAGGTGTCAAAAGAAGTATTATCTGTGATAACAGTAATAAATAGTTAATTAAAATGACAGTGAAGTTAGGTTAGATTGCATCCCATTATAAAACGACAATTATGTATTTTCTGTATTTGAACAAGTTTATTGCTATCCTAGAAACCTCTCTCTAATTCCAATTTTGAGACCAAAACCCTGCAGCTAAAGAAGAGAAGAAGTGTCAATGAAAAACGTGTCTCTGCTCGAATGCATGATAATCTTAGGAATTTACAGATCTTAAGATGTATTTTTGCTCATCCAAAAGGATCTCGAGAATCAATGTGAATAGGACAAGTGGTCAAAGGTTATAAATACATTCACTGAATCAATCATCTCTACAGTTCCGTGTAGTAAAATAATTCCTCTCTTCTCGTGAATGAAATATTCATTATTATAAACAGACACATTCCATTCCCAATTTTCGAGCCTCAAGACATATGGGAATAGAGATCGTTATAAGCAGTATGGTGTATAAATACCATACAGCCTTTCCAAATCGCACAGAGTTACAAGGTTGTATATTGCTGAAAACAAGATTACCATCGATATTTTTGATAAAGGTATTTATTGTTTATGGTGCTTGTTGAATGTTGAAAGTGACATATTCTACTCATTTTGATGGATGGTAATGAATATAATGAAAAGTTATGAGAAATAGTAGATGGCGGAGACTTGGATAATCTGTGTGGAAAGGTGCTAATGATTCATATACTTGACTTGATGGTCTCTTCATGCTCTGGAACTTGTGGTTAACTCACTAGTGTGCTGTTGTGACCCCTGTAGGCCTTCACAAGACATGATGTCAAGATTCTTTCAAGTTCCTTCTAAAACTCTCATTCAAGAGGGAATTGATACAGGCACCAGTGGGGAATGCGGGGTAAAGGGGAAATAGAAACGTTTCTCGCTTGAAGAAAATTCCTGACCATTCACCCCCAAAAACTTGCATAAACAATTAGTGAATCAACAATGAATCATCCGATCGAAAACCTCAAGAACTAAACTATATTAAATATTTGAGAGAACTCTTCGGTCCCTGAAAGCGGGGTCGCGCACTTCTTACCTATATAAACACCGCTCCCCAACATGAACGAAACTCAATAATGAATATTACATCAGTAAGATGTCTTACAGGTTTTCTGCACTGTTGTGGAATTTTCTACCTGCTATTTTTTGGTGATGAACTCCATGATGCTACCAAAGAGGTATTTTAGTTTTTTCCGTCCATCTCGTCTTATGTTGTGATAAAATTAGCTATGGGTATGGTAAGTCGACAATAATGGAAGATTAGTAGATAGATAACAGTAAAAAATGTTGATTATTAAAATAACCAAGTTTTCCATACCTAGGTATTTGAAACTTATCTGAGTAAGGGTCTGAGAGAATTCACATTACCTAGGTAGTTGAGAAGTCAGGCGTAGGTATTGTGGTAAAGTTGTGGACTTGATTGCAATACCCCTACTAAACAGATCGAAAATAATGATTTTATACTGTTGAAGATACATTCCTATCTGTCCAGATGAAAGATAATTCCATGAGTCTCTATATCGTACACGAGAATCTGGATACTGAAGTTCAATTAAATGAAATCCATGGACTACTATAAAATAATTCAGCCAAATCACTTTCTGAGAAACCCTGGAAAAGTTGCTCACGGACGAAGAAATAGCAATCCATGCATAGGCTGTGCTATGAAATTTTTAATCAAAATGCTCAACTTTATTTTACTCTCGTGCGGAAGGTCTGTAGAGAGTTTGGGATGGAGCTATTGCTGTTGGTTGGGAGGTCTCAGTATCGTCAATCATTCAAAGAATCTAGACGCTGCTGGAACACTAAATAGCAACAACTCGCTGCAAGTCGGAAACCAAATTTTTGTACCCACGCGGCGACGCTTAGTTTGATTGTGCAAGATCAGTTTTGAAAACGGGCCGGTGATCAAAATAAATTGAGACGGATGGAACTTGCGACCCGCTGAATAGTGAAGCGCTTGAACCAAAGTTGTGAGATTCCTGCGTGCCCTCAATCAGTCTCCAAATTAGTTTGCAAGTCCAATTATTCCTCAAAGTTGTAAATTATCAAGGAAGCTAAATGAGGACGGCCGGAGGCAGTGTTGTTCAAATAAAGGGGTTTTACCAACATTTCTCCAGCGCCAGATGACGGTTCCTGTACTTCCCTAAATATAACGATTAAGACTGGTTAACATTGTGCGTCAGCATACCAACATAGGTCACCAACAATTAACCGGAACGAAATGTCTGCAAGACTTACGATCCCGAGAGTTGACAATTATAAAAGGCACCTGATACTAGGCCAGGTATATACTGACTGTGCCTATTGACTTACTAAAACTAGCCGTTCCGCTACTATTGCATAATCTGACGGAAAGTGCAACTCGTTGGGGGGCAAGTCAGTTCTTGTACTAAGTAGGCGGTACCTTTGTTTGGGCTCACCCAGTGTCTATGAAAAATGTGGGTACTGAGACAAAAGTTATAGCTATTTTGATGTCTTTTCATTCATTGGTGGGGAGGATTATCTCAATATTGAGTAGTTCTGTGGGTGTGGAGAGAATAGTTTAGAGGACTATCTAGTAGGAAGATCCGAATTAAACGTAAGGTCTTACTAAAAATAGAGAAGAATATATCCTCCATCTGACATTGAGTCAGCAATGTTCTTAGCGCATTTATTACCTAGTGAGTGGTAATCATGGCCTTGATCAAAAACTAATATGCTCTGTCACCACAATCCAAATCTCTAGTTTATAAAGCTTTCACTAATCCTGCCAAGATCCAACGACCTGGTTTCGAAGCATAGCAACAACAGCGCAAATCATCATTAAGGAAGTTTACATCACCTAATATACAAAATGCATCTTAATTACACTAGAAAAGACATAAAGATGACCATAGCAAATGCAAGTGTGAAAGCAACATTCCAGCAGAGACCTCGCTCATCATCCTCTCTAGGCGACAAACTACACAGCCTCGGTCATATCCAACGGTTCTAGCTGGCCGCTACTTCACCACCACCGTTGCGCTAATAATCACATTGGTTCTAAGCATCGATCGTAGAAGGGAGAAGCGGGAAAAGGAGCCAATCATACAACTTCAGAAGAACTGTTGGAAAAGTTGATAAGACTAAATGGAACACAAGTTGCGATGATAAACAGTCAATATGGGGATTATTATGGTGATGGTGGTATCCAAAGCTTTGTGGCAGAAATGTCTTGGCTGTGATGTGAGGTAGGAATGAGGATGTAGAGAAGAATGTACGGGGACTCAGTCTGGACCGAGAAGACGAAGCAGGAAGAAGTCTGGACGAAGGATTAGAAAACCATTGTATCACATAAGTATGCTTTAATCCATCCATTTGCTGAAATGTAGGCGATGGTCCAGAGAATAGAATATGTTTATATTTGTATGTGCAATTGGAACGTTGAAAAGTGTATCATCTTCCTCAAAGTAATTAATGCCCTATTTTGCCTCAATAATAAGAACATTATGTTGGTGGGGGATTTTTGAATGGCCAATGTTGGCTTATTTATTGTTAGAACAGGTGAACCTGCCTTAGCGCTTGTAGTTCTGTGGCTGAACCCCGCACCAATGGTGACACTGCCTTCTTTGATCCTACGACCTGACACACTTCCAACTTAATTCCACCTCCCCTTCACTTCTTTATAACAATCGTCACTACCAACTTGTCAATTGTCCTCAACAACAAAACGACCCATTGCTTCTAGCTTCGAGAATTTAATATACAATAAATCCACATGATGCAATCATGATACCATCTTTCATGGATTCTCCAAAACGAAAACGAAATAATCTCCAGGCTCCAACCCCTCCGGATTCCTCGCCTATGCGTCTAGAGACCTCAATGAATTTTCCTACCTTAACTCCTGATGAAGCTGGCCAAGGCAGTCCACGCACAAAGGTCGCATACCATTTTCAGGGACTTGCTCTTGATGGACCTAGTGATATAAAGAAACTGGATCTAAAAAAGAAGGCACAAGAAACAACAAATGCTGAATCTACTGCGCGCAAAAGGGTCAAGATGTTTGCTAGCAAAGATGTAGATATGACTGGGAATGCAATAATGGAAATTCCAGAGACACCACAAACAAAAGCCTTTAGGCCTGCAATTGGAGATGAAAGAAAAGTTGATCCAATTATTCGAGAGATGGGCAACAATGTTAGGTTACATAATGAGCTTGATCCTACAATATTTCGAGCTGGATTAAATGGCAGAGAAGGGAGAGACGATTTGGGAAGGCCATATCCATCAATCAATCGATTGGCTGATTCCAAGTCTCGCAAGAAGAGGATGGGTACACCGCCATTATCTAGACCTGATGATGCCATGGAAGAGGAAAGGGAAATTTTGGATCCGGATCGAGCATCATTTACATGGCATGATGATGAGATTACTGGGCACAAACCAGATGATCCAGATGATGATGGAGAGGGAATTAATGGAATTGGATTTCGACCAACACCTGCCATTGCTTATGCAAGGACAGAAAGAAGGAAGCAGCAAATGGCAGATTACAGGAGTCGGGAAGCAAGGGAGGCTAGAGCTCGAAGGAGTGAGAGAAGAAGAGGGACGGAAGCTGCTGCTAGAGAGGAGACCGATAATGCTGCTAGAAGAGTAAGGTTCTTGGAGTCTGATACCCAAACTATCATTTCAACATCTTAAGGATATGATGTTGGATTTTCTTTGGGGGTTTTATGGGAATTATGGATACAATATTTGGTTTATCGGAATGATTTCAGGGCGCGGATTGGGAGATGTTATTGATATACAGATGGGCGTTAGGGACAACTCGCGCAAAGGATAGGGGGCTAAACTACAAGTATGAAAATATGGAAGCGGACCCATTGGTCATTATAGCGCAGTATGGAGCTGCTAATACATTGTTCGGGAATTTTACTATATTACCAAAACTTCCAATTTGATTTCTTGGCTGCTTCTTCAGCCTTTTTATCTGCTTCTTCCTTCAGCCTCCTCCTTTCTTTCCTCCTCTCTTCTGCCTGTGCCTCCTTTTCAGCTTTCTTCCTATCAATAATCTCTACAGCACGCTTCATATGTGCTCTTTCCAACCGTCTTCTATACAAACAAAATTCATACGCTCCAAAAGCAGAGAACACAAAAGTCCCCACAGCCCAATTCGCAGCTTTAGGTATCGGCGCTTTAATAAGACATCAGTATCTCACCCTCCTACTTGAAGACCCAAACCCGATCGCATCATCAACATACCTCCAAAAATAGCCCTAATCCCACCCATCGCAAACCCGCCACCAATTCCCGTAAGAAAACTCTCCCTAGCACATGGATACATATGCACCTGAGCGAAATCCTGCCATCGTACCGTCTTGATCGCAGCTCCTAAACTCGGTGTTTCCTTATTTCCTGCACCGGCGGTATTTTGTCCCGAACCTGCGGGTAAGGCATTGGCGTTTGCTGGTGGCGTCGTGTGGAATACTTCGTATATTTTATTGGGGGTTTGGACGTGCTCTGGGGGGGAGGTTGCGCCTGGTGGTGGACCTCGGGGGGTGGGATTGGGGTTTGCTGTTTCTTGTGCCATTTTTTGGGTGGTGGTGGTGAGTTTTGGTTTCTGGTGGTGTGCGGGATGGAGGGGTGCGCTGAGCTTGGGGTGTTGATATCGACGGGGTGGGGGGTTGTTGGGTACCGTAGGTGTGGCGTTTGCGCGGTTTTACCGATAATATAGCGTTATGTTTTATTTTATATTTAAGTTATAGATAGTATGTTCGTTTGTAGATTATTATAAAGATGCGATTTAAACCTTAAAAGTAATGTATGTATTAAGACTGTCCTAAAAGGTCACTATAAGTATCTGAATTTATTCATTAGTATTTAAATTCACGCATTAGTATTCAAATTCATGCTTTAGTATTCAAATTCATGCTTTAGTATTCAAATTCATGCTTTAGTATTCAAATTCATGCTTTAGTATTCAAATTCATACTTTAAATCTTAAAAATCACGCATATGTCAAAAATTGTCCTAAAAAGACACTATACATAAGGCTGAATTGAACTTTACACGACCCTAACGCGCTATGTATATTTTTCGCGACCAGACGCGTTACCCAATTTATGCATCGCCCGCCAAAAAATAGTCAACACCTCAATTTCATACCACCCATGCCAATTAACCTCTATTTCTCAATCAAGTTTGAATAAACTAAAGACTTTCCTTAATTATTAACAATTCTTTCACTAGATTTGTCGATTCCCCTCTTTAGAAGTAAACAACCTTGAACATACCTCATCCCTTTCTCTTCGCCATTGTGGCATTTCATATTCACAACAATAATGCCACCACGAAAACCACAGCATGGCTTTCGCCGTGGAGGAAAACAAGCATATCATGGACCTCGAAAAGCAAAAACCTTCGAAAAGTCGTCCGGCCGAAACGAGGGTACATCTCTGGAGGAAAAGTTGGAGGCTGTTAAACTCGGTCATTCAGTAGATGAAGCTATGGGGTTTCCGCGGCATGAATCTGGCAAGAAGAAAATTGGATGGTTGGTTAATATAAAAGCTACAACAATTGAGGATGAGAAACATTTGGAAGGTCGAGCTGGAGTCGATTGCTACTTTATTGAGGATGATGGAGGAACTTTCAAAGCGACAGTCGAATATGAACCTTATTTTCTGGTTGCGGTTAAGTGGGGATATGAGCCAGAGGCTGAGGAATGGCTGAAAAGGGCTCCCGGTGGTGGAGTTGTGAAGAGTATAAAAAGAGTGGAAAAAGAGGATTTGTCAATGCCAAATCATTTACTGGGCTACAGAAGGACTTTCTTTGAGTGCAGGTTTAGGAATGTGTCGGATCTGTTGGCGGCTAGGAAGGATATTATGCCGGTGGCGGAGAAGAATAAAAAGAATATGAATGCGATGGATACTTATGCGGAGGTTGCCAGGTAGTTTTTGAAAGTATTGGAAGATTTCAAGGAGAAGACTAACCTAGAAATAGTGCAAATGCTGGATTCGACCTTTTTGACGACTCACGAGATGATGATAAACGACTTAATGTTTCTGTTGCAGAGGGTAGTGATTTTATTGTAGATATTAGGGAATGGGATGTACCGTACCATGTACGGGTAATGATAGATCAAGGTAATGGAGAGTATGCAGCTCATTAGTAGTCGAACTGACGAAACGCAGATATAAGGACGGGAAAATGGTATTCGGTGGAGGCAAAACACGGCACGACAAAATTAAAATGTCTCGAAGACCGTTTAGCAAGAGCCGATCCAGTAGTTATGGCATACGATATTGAAACGACGAAGCTCCCTCTCAAATTTCCAGATGCGACAATCGATCAGATTATGATGATATCATACATGATAGATGGGCAAGGATTTTTGATCACGAACCGAGAGATCGTTTCTGAAGACATCGAGGATTTCGAATATACACCAAAACCTGAATACGATGGACCTTTTATGATTTTTAATGAACCAGACGAGAAGGCTGTTATCGAACGTTTCTTCCTCCATATTAAGGAGGCACGACCTACAGTAATAGCCACATATAACGGTGATTTCTTCGATTGGCCTTTTGTGGACGCGCGAGCAAGTGTTAATGGTATCGATATGTACCGGGAGATTGGATGGCGCAGGAGTCAAAGCGAGGATCAGTACATATGTGACTATAGTGCACACATGGATTGTTTCCATTGGGTCAACCGTGATAGTTACCTGCCTCAAGGAAGTCGAGGTCTGAAAGCTGTAACAACAGCAAAGCTCGGTTACGATCCCGATGAAATTGATCCGGAATTGATGTTGAGATATGCCAGCGAGAAACCTCAGACACTCGCAGAATATTCCGTCTCCGATGCTGTAGCAACATACTATTTGTACATGAAATATGTACATCCCTTCATTTTCTCTTTATGTACTATTATTCCTCTAGGACCAGATGCAGTTTTGCGAAAAGGGACAGGAACCCTTTGCGAGATGTTACTCATGGTACAGGCTTACCAAAAAGAAATTGTTCTGCCTAATAAGCATGTATCACCAAAAGAATCATTCTGGGAAGGTCATTTACTAGAATCAGAAACCTATGTCGGTGGACATGTCGAAAGTATTGAGGCAGGTGTTTTTAGGGCTGATATACCAGTTAATTTTGCGGTTGATACAACCGCTATCGATGAACTTCTTGAGGACTTGGATGCTGCACTAAAATTCAGTATCACGGTAGAAGAGAAGAAATCGCTGGATGATATCGACAATTACGAGGAAGTTAAGCAACAAATCACAGACCGTCTAACTAGTCTTAAGAAAACCGCAAATCGAAGCGAGAAACCCCTGATTTATCATTTGGATGTCGCTTCCATGTATCCGAACATTATGACGACAAACCGACTGCAACCAGATTCTATGATTCAAGAATCTGATTGCGCGGCATGCGATTTCAATCGGCCTGGTAAAACATGTGATCGGAGAATGCCTTGGGCATGGAGAGGCGAATATCTTCCGGCGAAGAGGGACGAATATCTTATGATCAGGCATTCGCTTGAGAATGAACGATTTCCAGGAAAATATCCTAACCAACCAAGCAGGACTTTCCAGGATCTTTCATATGAAGAGCAAGCTGGGCTGATTCGGAAGCGCTTGCAAACGTACAGTCAAAAGATCTATCACAAGATTCACGACCAGACCACGATTGAACGAGAAGCAATCATTTGTCAACGAGAAAATCCCTTTTACATCGATACTGTGAAGGACTTCAGAGATCGTCGATATGATTACAAGGGCAAACAGAAAGTCTGGAAAGGCAAGACTGATGCTCTCAAATCAGCAGGTGCCCCGGCAGCTGAGGTCGAAGATGCGAAGAAAATGATTGTTTTGTTCGACTCTCTACAGTTGGCTCACAAGGTCATTCTGAACTCCTTTTACGGTTATGTGATGAGAAAAGGTTCGCGATGGTACTCTATGGAGATGGCTGGTGTCACGTGTTTGACTGGAGCTCACATTATTCAAATGGCTCGACAGCTAGTTGAACGAATTGGACGTCCTCTAGAACTGGATACAGATGGTATTTGGTGTATGCTTCCAGCCACTTTTCCAGAGAATTATGCCTTCAAAATGAAGAGCGGCAAGAAACTCGCCATCTCGTACCCTTGCGTCATGTTGAATCATCTTGTCCACGACAAATTCACGAATCATCAATACCAAACTCTCACTGATCCGAAAACTTTCAAGTACGAAACGCATAGCGATAATTCCATTTTCTTCGAAGTCGACGGTCCTTATCGTGCTATGATCTTGCCTACTTCCAAGGAAGAAGACAAGAATTTGAAGAAACGTTATGCTGTGTTCAACGACGATGGTAGTCTGGCGGAATTGAAAGGTTTCGAGGTGAAGCGAAGAGGAGAGTTGAAACTCATTAAGATTTTCCAACAGCAAATCTTCAAATTCTTCTTAGAGGGTACAACTCTTGAAGAGACGTATCAAGCAGTGGCGAAAGTTGCGAATCAATGGCTTGATGTCCTCGACTCTAAAGGGAAAACTCTCGCCGATGCGGAACTTATCGATCTCATTTGCGAAAACAGAAGTATGTCGAAGAGTTTAGAGGAATATGGCTCACAAAAATCAACTTCCATTACTACTGCAAAGCGTTTGGCCGAGTTCTTGGGAGAACAAATGGTGAAAGATAAGGGTTTGAATTGCAAGTATATCATATGCGCCAAACCAAGACATGCACCGGTGACAGAACGAGCTGTTCCGGTTGCTATCTTCTCATCGGATATATCGGTAAAGCGACACTTTTTGCGCAAATGGTTGAAGGAGGATCCGACAGATATGGATCCGAGAGCTCTTTTGGATTGGGATTATTATTCTGAACGTCTTGGTTCCGTCATCCAGAAGCTAATTACCATCCCTGCGGCTCTTCAGAAATGTTCAAATCCCGTGCCGAGAGTAGCACATCCAGATTGGCTACAAAGAAGAATTCGAATCAAGGATGATAAGATGAAGCAAAAGAAAATGACTGATATGTTTGCCAAGACACCTCTTGAAGACATATCAAACTTGCAGGACCCAAGAATGGCCGATATGGAGGATTTTGGAACACAACTTTTGAAGCCGAAGACACTAGGTTCACAGCTCAATGCGGCGTCGCAGAAGCCCATGAAGAGGAAATCTCCTGAACCTGCGGTAGCAGTATCTATAAATCCCTTTGCCGCGCTTCCCGAGAAAATGCCGTCACCGAGTGAAGATTATGAAGGATTTTTAGAGTACCAAAAACAGAAATGGAAGATCCAGAAACAGGCGAGGATACGTCGTCGACATCTCTTTGGTGAAAATCGTGGGGCTCAAAGCAATATTGCGACGACTTTCCAGAATCAAGCTGAACAGTTGTTCAAGAGCACGTGGCAAGTCTTACAATTGAGAGGCACTGAAAGTCCGGGTGTTGTTCTTGCGTTCGTCCTTATTGACTCGAAGGTACATACATTGAAAGTTAAGGTTCCGAGAACAGTGTTCCTCAATTTGAAAGGCAGGGAATTGCCAGATATTGAAATTGATGGCTGTGAAGCTGAGAAGGTTAGCCATACGCTGCCGAACGGACATCCATCTGTTCATTTGTTCAAACTCACAATGTCTGAAGACGTATATGTCAACGAAGCACAGAAGATATCTTTACTTTTCAACCACCCTAGTGTGGAAGGTGTTTATGAAAAACAAGTTCCACTTAATATCCGTGCAGTACTTCAACTAGGCAGTTTGTGTACATTTGATGAGACTCAGCCTGGAGTTCTCGGAAAAGGTCTTGAGCAAGGTTTCGATCTATCTGGACTTCGTCGCGCTTCGCCAAAGAATCCATATCTCTCTCATTCACCAATGGCATACCTCTACCTCTATCATGTTATTGCTGGAGATAGACAAATATTTGCACTATTCTCGACTTCGAAGGAGCAGGCACATGTTGTCATCCTTCAGAAGACTAAGGTTGCTGAGCAGGACTTGCCCAATATTTCGAAAACATACGCGGATTGTATCGCCAAACGTCATCAAGATGCCAATGGAGGAGTGTGGCAAAATTGTTTTGGTTATCAAGAAAAGATCCAGTTTAAAATCAGCCAGGTCACAACAAGGAGGAAAACGTTACTGGAGGTTGGTGACTTGGTAAAGAAAATGAAGAATGATGAATCGAAGCCACTCATGCTTGTCGTACAATCTCCGCAAAGAAGCTTACTGGTGCATGATGTACCTATTCTTGGAGATTTGCCAATACTTCCTCTGAAGTCCGACATTCAGGATAGCAAGCTTCCTCCTCTCAATTGGCAATCCGTTATTGCAAAGCGTTTGGTAAACCACTACTTGAGTCTCGGGGAATGGGTTGTTCATCTAACTGAGCTTGCAAGATATGGGGATGTACCACTTTGTAATCTCGAAAGAGATGATCCTCGATTTTTGATCGATGTGGCCTATGCAAGAAGATTGCAAAAGAATAATGTTGTTTTGTGGTGGTCTGCTGGTCCCAAGCCAGATCATGCCGGGTATGAACTCGATGATGTACTCGGGGGTCTTGATACTGTGCAAATGCCATCCGTCAATAACCCTGGTACTTATCCTTCTGTTTGTATTGAGCTCGATGTCAGGAACTTGGCTATCAATACTATCCTAACTTCATCTTTGATCAATGAGCTTGAGGGCAGCGACTCGATATCTTTCAATCCTGCTGCACCATCTGATGATGCACCCAGCGATGGTACTAATGTTCTCTATGCTGAGAATGCCTTTGCTACTGCCGGTGTTACAGTTCTGCGAGAGATGGTGAAGGCTTGGTGGACTGAAGCCTGCAAAGGTAGTAGCATGGCAGATATCATGGTCCAGCATCTTGTACGCTGGGTTGAAAATCCAGACTCATTCCTATACGACCGATCGTTAAATTATTATGTCCAGATGATGTCTCGAAAAGCATTTCAGCAGCTCATGACCGATTTCAGACGTGTCGGATCTCATGTTGTATTTGCCAACTCAAATCGACTGCTATTACAAACAACCAAAGCCGAAGTTGGAAACGCATATGCATATAGTCAATATATCCTCAAGTCTATCAAAGCAAAACCACTATTCCATTTTCTTGACCTTGAAATCAAAGAGTATTGGGATTATCTGGTTTGGTACGACGAATTCAATTATGGTGGCAAGGGTTGCTCGGAAGTCGTTGAAGCCGAAAACCAAAAGTTGGATAACATTATGCATTGGCAACTGAGTAATTTCCTCCCTGAGAAATTACAACAAATCTTCAACGATTGGGTTCTAGAATTTATCGATATAATGCACGGTCTTAAGAAACCTCGTCTCGGCATTGATTCTACACCTCGAGCCACGCAACTTCCAGTCCGAAATCTAGGCGAGGACAAGGAAGATAAGGTTATACTTGGGAAGAGTTTCGAAAAGCCCCTGAAGAAACAAATCGCTGGTATCATCCGCCGACAAAAAGACGAAATGCTCCATCCCGAACTCGCCGAAGATTACAAATTCCCCATCCTTCCCGGTTCCCACCTCAAACCCACAAACCCCGCCCTAGAACTTGTGAAAAGTCTCATGCAAGTTCTATCCCTCGACAAAAACATCACACTCGAAGCGCGCCTCCTCCGCAAAGAACTCCTCGAAATGTTTGAAATCCGGGAATTTTCCCACGCCGCCAAATTTCAAAATCCTTCCATCTCAGCTAAACTCTACAGCGTCGTCTGCGACTCCTGTACCACGTCGCGCGATATGGATTTCTGTCGCGACGAGGATTTACTTCCGAATAGCGAGGGAAGCTGGACTTGGAAATGTGCGTTTTGTAATTCAGAGTTTGAGCATTTGGGTATAGAGGAGAGGATTATTGCGGAGGTTATGAGCATCCTGGCGGAGTGGGTCGCTCAGGATTTAAAATGTAAGAGGTGTGCGGGTCTTAAGGTTAATGATTTGAGGCAGGGGTGTGGGTGTGGGGGGGAGTGGGGGGAGAGTGTGGATCGTGTGATTGTGAGGAGGAGGGTGGAGGGGTGGGGGGGTGTCGCGAAGGCTTATGGGTTGAGGATGCTTGGGGCGGTGGTGGAGGAGGTTTTGAGTGGTTTGTAAGGGTTGCTTTGTTGCTTGGTTTTGGGATGGGGATGGGGCTGGAGCTAGGGATGGGATTGGTTCGAACTTTAGTTTATTTTTGCGTGTCGCTAGGGACTTTGTGGATGTAGGGATATAGATGTGTTTGTTGAATGGCATGGCGTTTTCGTGTTTACCGAGTAAATATGTTCCGGATTCCGAAGTCGATAAAGTAAGATCTTACCTATACTTCGAAATGAGCTTAGTTGATTTAGGAATATCAAAATTGTGATAATGATGTTAAAAATTTAAATATCAGTTCGTTGTAAAATTATTAATAGGTAAAAATGATGATTTTTGGTGTAAAAGAGTGGTCTAAAGGGGGGTGGTCTGAAAGTAGGGAGTACTACTAGATTTAACCGAAGACTTTTCTAATTTTATTGTATGCTGCATCTCACTTATTCATCACTGTACAAAAGAAAAGATAATTGTTAAGAATTCACTGAACTCATGCAATGGACATAAATTTTGTACCATAAAATCAAATTCTAGCACTCAAAACTAAACCCGCTAACTGTGCACCAATCACCTAAAACTTCCCTTTCTTCACCATCTAAGCCAATTCTGCCTTCAACCCCTGCAGCCCCAAACTTCTCGTTTCAAGTTACATGTTCTTGATTGACGTCGACATCGTTTCAAAGATTGCTCGTCTCGCAGTCATAACATTCAAGATAGGTTCACCGGTTTGCTCATCTCCGACGTATACGCTGTCTTCGCCGCTGCATAGACCGGCGTATGCTTTCTCTGTGAATTCGTCGAGAGGCATGCCCAATGGTTTACCGTCGGGGCCAACAAAGCCGTGGATTGCGGCTGGGTGGATGTTAGTTTTGGAGGGGAGGATGGGAGAGGGGAATTGGAGAGGAGAATTGGAGAGGAGAATTGGAAGTGGAGGGGAGGATGAATTAGGTGAGATTTGGGAGATGAGAGATGAATGATGGAAAACGGGAGACGGGAGAGAAAACTCACTCTGAACAAGAGGAGGCAACACCTCGACAATATTGACATTAGAATTGCCAAGGTCGTTTCGCAAGCAGAGGATGAATGCGTTGAGAGCTGCTTTGGAAGCAGAGTAAGATGTCATAATTACGGCGGGGACAATTGCGAGGTTGGAAGTTGTGCTAAGGACTTTTTAACGATATTCAATGTAACAATGAGAGTAAAGGGGGGTGACAAACTATATGATACTCGTCTTCTCCTTTTTCGCCGTAAGATATGGAAGGAAGGCCTTGGTTAATATCGCAAAACTGATGAAATTAACATCTATTGTCGCTCTGAATCCTGTGATATCAACAGTTTCAGGCTTGTTCCAATCCTCGAATTGTTGGAACGCTGCATTGAGGAAGATGCAATCGATGTCAGGATTGGCCTTTACGATATCGGCAGCAAATTGTGGAGCTTTGTCAAGTTCAGCGAGATCGAAAGTGACCGCTTGGGCGTTGCTGCCATGCTTGGCTACAAACTCGTCGAGAAGCGCCTTGCGACGACCAACGACGGTGACTTTGCACTCTTGAATGAGACGTTCGGCCATTGCAAGACCGATTCCGGAGCTGGCTCCGACTAGAAGGACGTGTTTGTATGGGAAAGGCATTTTGATGGATTGGAAAGAAGTGTGAAAGTGTGAAAATGGTTTGATAGAATGGTAATGATGTGTTTATTAACTGTTGTTGAGATGTTGTGATGAAGTGAGGTCTTTGGGGACCTTTATATCAATCATGATGGACTTTGAAGGACTTTGAAGGACTTAATTGTCTACTATTCTCCGATTACCATGGGTCGGACTTCAGATTGAAGAAACACTGAATACCTCCAACGCATTTCTCTTGGACTTAATGGAAATAAGTTCATCCCGATAATCCGTCTTTGAAGACGATGGAGTGAGGGTGTGTTTACAACTTACACTTCTGATGGTTTCTATTGGTCGAGACGCTAGCGTCGAAATGTATCCCAGAAGAGGAAAAGCTTCTGAATATAAGTGGGTAAGTGACTAAGATTTCTCGTAATATTACTCGTGCGGCGACAACCCACAAAATAACTCAAAGACGATGCATCGGATGCACGTACCAGAAGAAAGTAGGAGAGTACTAAGGTAATAAGGTAACAAGAACCTAAAAATAAAAGAGGTTCAAGAAGCTTTCTCTAGCGTCAATGCTGCATAATTCTCTGCAACATGAAAGTATTGGCGTCTGACTAATAGTTGGCTCTCTCAAACGGCCGATGACTTTATCCTCCGGAAAAAAAATTGTCCCTTACACCGAGTTCGATGTCCAATGTTGAATGAAGATCTAAATGTATTACAAATGATTCTTATACCGGTACTATAGCCAGCAAGACACCAGGACATTCGGTTTCCTAGAACACTTCCTTTCACCGACTCAAAACCAATCAATCGGCTGTTTGATCCACCTGGACCGCCTTATTAATGCTACTCTTTCTAAACTCGCCCTCCTACATCATATGACTACGGACGAAAAGAGCACCGAACTGACATTCACTCTTTGTACACGTACACACCTTCCATCGAGTAGCTGACTTCTCTTCACCACTCTCTCGGTACCGAAAATCTCCAAGCCTTCGCCGCTTAAGTCGATAGGACTACCCTGTCGTATTAAAATTGGTACTCGTTTATCATCATGTCCTTTCGTGGAAAGCCATCGAAGGCTTGCGAAAGATGCAGATTCCGTAGGCTCAAGGTAGTATCAAGCCGCCCCTTTTTGCTTCACATCAAGAATAACGTGTATTACAGTGTGATCTTGCACCTGTGACTTGTGGTTCATGCACCAGAGCTGGTGTTATCTGTACTGGATATAGGAACACTGAACAACTGCGTTTCAAAGATGAAACCAGTAATTTACATCGAAAAGCCAGCGCCATGCGCAGGAGCGCCAATGAAGCAGGAAATGGACGACAGCCGCTAATAGTGATAGTAAGAACTGTCGATGAACCACGTTATCTTCCAATAGCACTCGATGTTCAGGCCAGGAAATTATTCTTCGATCATTATATTCTTGCCGGTCAAATTAATGGTTTGGGAGCTTGGGATTTCCTTAAACCATACCATCAGTCGAGCAAAGCACCAGTGCATTTACAGTTGACAATTGATGCTGCCAGTTTAGCATATCTTTCACATCAAATGGGTTCCGAAAAAGCACGTTTGCTTGCTTTGGAACGATATACAGCCGCTCTTGGACTGATGGGTAAAGTGCTCGAGTCGCCAGAAATTTTCCAAAAGATGACAACACTCTTCTCGTCACTACTTCTAGATTTGTTCGAAAAGCTCTCGACAACTCAGAATCTTTCAGATAAAGCATGGACTAGCCATTTACGTGGAGCTCTTGCTATAGCCGAAAGTTGTGAAAATCGTACTATGACATCCAGGACTATAATGCGTGCTTTCACACGATTAAACACAAATCTGCTCATCAGCTCACTCGCAGCGGGCGTGCCTCTTCCTAATAGCTTTTTCCGCCTCCGGGAATACTTGGAGGCGAGTTTCTCCGACGAAGTTACAGAAGATCCTAAATGGCATTTATCCGAGATCATGGCACGATATGTTACTTTGCAGAACGATTTTCGAGTCGAAAAAGGTGCTAGAAAAAGTTCTCTTCAAGAAGCAAGAGAAATGGATTGTATACTTAAGACGTTCTCTAAACGCGACGCGGCTATAAAACGAGGCTTTGAGAGTCAGCCATCGAGGATGGTGTATGGTAATATGTACTATGCATACCCTGATAGGTATTCAACTCATACATGGAATGTTGTGGGAATTTCCCGTATTCTAGTGATTAACTTCCTTAATCGCAATTCCAGCAGTGAGATGGAGCGCCTCGAGCTTGTTCTCAAAGGAAATGAGATTGCGTCCGAAATTTTTGCCTCTGTTCCACAGTATGTTGACTGTATGGGTGCGGTAAAATCTATCGGGCAAATAGAGTTACTAGAACCAGCTGTCCCCTCGCAAAATTCTTGTACGTCGCATACATCTTCACATAAATTGGCTTGCTATACACTTATATTTCCCCTATATGTCGCTGGATCTGTTAGAGGCTCGGATCCTAGACTATGGAAATGGGCTATTGAAAAGTTGCGGTACATCGGCAGCCATTTTGGTATTCGAAACGCTGAAGTTGTTGCCCAAATCCTCGAGGAAAGAAGTGAGAAGGATCCGTGGAGAATATATGCCCTGCTAGGAAGCTATGCATTTGGGGCTTGATATTTTTAAGGCCTAGTTTACATGTAAATGAGACATTCTTACTAATTTCTGCGTCAGATTCCTCTTTCTTACAAACCAGGCGCTAGGCGCCCAATTCAAGCTTTTTGAAGCAATTCCTGCCCAATTCGAATTAGTCATCCTACCCCAGACGGAGACTTATCTCTAAGAGGGTATTGATGCGATACATTTCTCCGCTAGAGATGTCATCATTGCAATGAAGTTAGTCGTCCAGGTTTTAATGTTACTTCTCGCCTACTCATGACGCGTAAGGACCTGCGGATTGAAGGCACATCATCAACCTTGAGGGCCACGTGCTAGATCCTTGTCTGAAGAAACACGGCCCGTCTGAACAGTCCGAAGAGCGAAAGGTTCACATCTTCCTCGCACCCCTTTGTCATTCGTTAACACCTCCAACAAATCTAATCCCGCCCTCTTCAGTGATTTTGGAGACTTTCCCCAATATACCCAAAAAAAGAATTCCTCCTTAACTTACCATGCCACCCATCACACAACGATAGAGTAAGGTCTGCCATTTGACCACGATAGACTTTTGTTAGGAGTTCAGTCAGCCCTTTTCCACGCCATGGCCGTGTCTTCATCTCATTTAAAGTTGATTTCGCCACAGAAAAATGCCTCGGGAATCTGACTAGATTGAGCAATCCTGATTGGCGAATTCTTCAACGCTAATTACCCCATAGTTTCGATTGGGGTAAGCTCCCGTGGGGCTTACAAAAACTGTAAATAACGCGAATGCTAAGTCGACGGGAACGAATGCTGCTACTGTGCCGTGTCGCCACTTTCAAAATCATGAAAGAGTATAAATTTGCCATTTCCAATTTCAAGATTATAAAATTGTCAAAACCTTCATCCTGAACGACTTCTTTCGCCGGTATTTTGACAGAAGAGATTAGGCGACGGATCACGATGGTTCCCATTAGCCTTCTATTGAGCCTAATCTGCTCCGTTGCGGCTCTCAGTCCCGTCGCCATTATTTCTCAAGGGGTTGTCAGTGGTACCTCCATTTCTGTTCCAGAAGTTGCTTTGCCTGTGTCTAAGTTCCTCGGCATACCTTTTGCTAGACCACCTCAGCGTTTCAGTCCACCGGTCAAATCAGGATTGTTCACAAGCAATCCATACAATGCAACGCAGCTTAAAGCATCATGCATCCAGCAGTTCAACTGTATGACACATCGACTTTCTCTGTGCCCAAAGCCTAACTGACTTTCCGTAGATCCGGATACTGCTCGCGCTTTCACTATGGAGCTCTTTAACAATCCCCCTCCTGCATCAGAAAGTGAAGATTGCTTATATCTCAATGTATATACTCCATCTGGAACGACTCCTGCTTCGCTACTACCCGTGATGGTCTGGATATACGGTGGTGCTTTGCAATTTGGCTCAGCATCGTCTGTATACTATGATGGTAGCAATCTAGCTGGGAAGCAGAACGTGGTTGTTGTGACTTTCAACTACCGAACTAATGGTAATTATATGATCGTAACTCTTAGTCTTTAATTTAATGTCTGACCAAGCTCAGTTTTCGGCTTCCCAAACTCCCCCGAATTACCAAACGTAGATCAAAATCTAGGACTTCTAGATCAAAGACTAGCACTAGCTTGGATCAAAAACAATATTCTGGCATTTGGTGGTGATCCTCTCAAGGTAACCATATTCGGAGAATCTGCGGGCGCACTATCTGTAGACGCTCTCGTCACCAGTCACCCCACCTTTCCACCATTCCGAGCAGCAATTATGGAATCTGGGCAAGACAGCATTCGAACCCTTACGGCTAGACCAGGACTTGGCACTGTCTCCGGTCCTCTATCCTGGAATGCTCTCGCCTCTGGTCTCGGCTGCTCCAATACCAGTAGCGCACTTGCTTGCCTACGTGCTGTAGATGCCCTTGTCATAAAATCGTACATTGAACATGCAGCATTATCGTTTCAACCGGTTGTCGATAATGTAACCCGTGTTTCAAATCCGCAAGTTAGGAGAGCAAACCATCTAATTGCTAATGTGCCGGTACTTATCGGCACCAATGCTCAAGAGGGCACACCTTTCGTATATGGAAAAAATAACATCACAGCAGCTTTGCCATCGCTTATCCCAGGCAACAAAAGCCTTCAATCTGAAGTTTTTGCGACATATCCTGTTGGTGAAGATGGATTGAACACACCTGCTGATGTTGTGGCAAAAATTTACACCGACATGATATTTCAATGCGTAAGTTTCCTGTTTTCCTCAACCAGAGAACTTTCATCTTTTCTTTTGAAAAACATCTTTAACTGACCCCCGTGTAACAGCCTAGCGGCATTGTCGCCAATTCAAGTTCCGCCGCTGGCTACCCTACCTACCGCTACTACTTCAATGCAACGTTCGCCAACATCCAACCACTCCCCGGTCTTGGCGCCTACCACTCCTCGGAAATCCCATTCGTTTTCGGTAATTTACCGGCAAACTCCACTCGTGCGGAGATAAGCCTAAGTGCGTTGATGCAAAAATCATGGGCTGATTTTGCGAAAAATCCTCAATTCGGTCCGGGCTGGACTAAATTAAATGTCAATGCAGGTGAGAATGATGTTGCAGTATTCAACGTGAATGGAATTGGAAGTGTAAATGCAGAGAAATTGGATAAACGGTGTGCTGTTTTTAGAGATGCTTTGCGTGCTTTGGGAGGCTTGTAAGCAGATACATGTAACGTATTAAGGTTACATCAATCTATCGATTTTTGATTTTTTTTTGGGCAAACCCGAACTTGGTTTTCGTTACGACCCTGTACGAGTACTATGTCGTAACAATATGATATGCATTGAAGAAAGAGACTCACAACTTAAAGCATACATTTATACATATAATATAAGCACATGTAATACAAGAAAGAAACTATTGAATTCCCAACGCGAGCGCATATTCATCCATCGCTCTTCGGATCTCTCTCTAGAGTTAATTAGGTAGCTTAGATTAACCTTATCCACTCATTCAGTATTTATAGACCCGATTTGTATTTGTAAGTCTTATGAGAAAAAACCAAATATTTATATTGCATATTGTATGTTTCTGCGACTTTAGGTTGATAATAATTACTAGAAGGTTGTTGATATTGTAAGATTAGATGTATTGTATTGGTTTTATTGGTGTTAAAGATGTGTTTATTTGATTAGTATATTTATAGGTAGTTAATATTTAGGTAATGTAAGATTTGAGATATATATATATATTTGTAATATAATATAAAATTATATTAGATATATATATATCTAGATTAAAAGTGTATTCAGGTTGATTTTCTAAAAGAGTAAAAAGAGTAACAACAGTAAAAATAGTAAATTAAATTTTGATATATATTGAAGTATGTTTAAATTAGATTAATATATTTAAATATATTTCTAAAAATATTCAAAATATTCAAAATATTCAAAATACTAAAAATACTGTTAAAGTGAATGGTTCCTGCGTAGCACGTGCACAGGGCACTAGTCCTATTAGGACTAGATTGAGAAGCTCTCTGTAAGAGAGCTTCGCACTTCCGTAGAACTTAGAAGTGAGATTAACCTACTAGACCAATATTACCTCAGTTCTGCCCTATCAGCTTCCCACTATTCCCTGTGTGAGGTCATTCCTTTTAACAAATACTAAAAATACTCAAAATACTAAAAATACTAAAAATACTAAAAATACTAAAAATACTAAAAATACTAAAAATACTAAAAATACTAAAAATACTAAAAATACTAAAAATATGTTACGAGGTTTGCCGTCTAGATCACGTGGAAGTGCTCTAGGCTCTCGAGGTGGTTTATAACTAGGCGTCAAGCAGGGACTTTGTGACGCCTCACACCTCCGGGTCACGTGGCATGCCCCGTTTGTATTTAATCATAGGAAAACTCTCTACTCTTGTTTTCCTTCTTCTTTTCTCCTTAGCTTAGTATTTTCTAATACAAGATACTTTACCCAGTATTCTTGAGTGTGACAGACTTAAGTAATGACAATAATGAAATGCAATTCGTAACTAATAGTAGGATATACTAAATGATTGATCTTGAGCACGAAGCTCTATACAAAGGAAATCCATCTTGATTATATAGACCTTCGTGCCTATGGCTAGTCAGGACCGCCAGCGCTCCTCAGCGGTCCGTAGCGTGACTTAAGGTCATGTTACCCTAAGTTAGTCATGTGACGCGGCGTTTGATGATAACCGTCGCAACAATATTAAAGAAAGATTTTAATAAATAATAACAATATTAATAATTTATAATCAATAAAAAAATTATATTAAATATTTGATTTTGATTATAAAGTTTTATAATAAAAAACCTTATTTTATTTATATAAATCTTCATACTTTAATAGATTTTTTGAATTTAATAAATTTAGAATCTGAACTTCTAACTCCCCTAGATCCTATGTGCCCATCACGTGATATGATGGTCAGGTGATACGGTGCTTGTGAAGTCCGATGTAATATATATTTGACAAAAATATAATATTTAACCCGATATATATATTAATCAATATATTATATTTGACTCGATTATATATATTAGGTCTTATATATTGAGGTATTAAATGTAATCAAATATAAAATAAAATAAATAAATCAATTCGAATACATTCAATTTATACAACCATGCACCCATCCATCTAGTACTACTGTACCTCGCGTGAAACCAAGAAAAAAAAACCGAGCGAAATCAATACATGAATACTACTAGGTAATTGGACTGGGGAAATCCGGTTCCTGTTTGCTTTATGTAGTATTGTAAGACTTTATATTATTTATATATTATTTATATTGATCTCACTATGTCTCATATTGTTTGTTCCACCCCAGAAATATATACTATCGGTATGTGGAATGCATAGTTCCCGATGCTGATGGCTATGCTTTGCTTGCTGACCGTGATGTGATACGTGTAACCTTAATTCTACTTCTTCTTCAAAGTGCACTCACAGGATCAAATCTATTTATTTAAGCTTATTACCGAATGCTTACCTAGGTACCTACCTAGTAATTCCATTTCCATTTCCACAAATGTATATTGCAAGTCCTCTCAACGTACCTACCTATATTACATTATGGTAAATAATACGTATATATGTCTGCACAGCCCGTATACATACATAGAACGCAGCTTGTATAACAAAACAGAAGTGAGGGAAATAATCGAATAATCGCGCAAGTGTCAGATCTAGATATGGATTCAAGAGAATTTACAAGATTAGCTACAAGCTTAGGCTTCGCAAACTTACTAGACTCGGCATTTCGAATTCAGCAGCTTAGCTCTATTTATTTTCTTGACATCCGGTAGGCATATGTTCTTGATTTGATCTGATTTATTTCTCATTTATTTCTGGTTTTATCACGAGCTCGAGCTGGGTACCCTATGTGAGTCAAAATGAAACATGGTGTTGCGGCTTGGACTTGGACTGGCGATGTCAGATTGGAGTTCTGATATACGTATTATACTTAGGTATTGAGTACTGTATTGTAAGGTTATTTTTGTAGGTACATATGTTCTATGTACGACTTGGTGTTCGGACTAAGAGCTCCGAGGGCATTTTCTGTGGTTGCTTTTATTGGGCTTTTGTGGTTTTGTGGTAGTTTTTTTTTTGGACAGAGACAAAGGGGTTAGATGGATGTACATTGTAATCTCATGATGATTAGTGGATATTGATATTGATTGCTGATTGCTCGTTTTCTTTCGTAATTGTGTAACCTTATATAAATATTGTGGAGTGAGGCCAGATGAGAAGATTGTAACAGCACATATATACATACATGTATATATACCTGTATGAGTGAGATAAAGTGCTTACTCATATCTTCTCACTCGGATACACATAACTTACAATCTTACAAGTCAGAATTAACCTACTCTTGTATCTCGGTCGGCAAACAGGCAAAAGCGAAAACCCGAAAGCCAAAGCCACAGCGGGATAATAGAAAGAGTGCAGAAGCAGAAGAACAAGTAGAAGCGCCAAGCTGGAACCAAAGGCGTGGATATGGGCTTGCATTCGAATTCTGCACGATCCATGGGAAGAGATATTAGTATAAGTACGTATGTAACAGTAAGAGCACTTTAGTTACAGCTTTCTATTTTGGGGACGCGGTTTTATGGATTTAATGGTGATAATCATGATCATGTTCATACGTTTCGGTACTCGCATCTCGGCAGTTTTTGATATTGAAAAATTGATACGCGAGAGCAGATGACTTTAAATCTCGAGGGCCGTAAGACTGACCATTTACTGGTACTCAAGTAAAGTTAAGCTTATGGTAGTCTCGGCTTTTGAGCAACAGGCCCATTTTCCGAGCGAGATGTCCCGCTAGATGCATGGGAGGATTCGGATCTCGGTGGGGAAAGTAGGGTTTTTGCCGTACTGGAAGGTGTAGAATAGCGCTGCTACTTGGATGTTCTAAGTGCATATTCTTGGTACATATTCTAGGTGCATATACTGTATGGGATATTCAAGCATATATATGGTTAAGCTTCGTGGCGTCGCGATGCGATCGAAATATTTTTGCAGGGAAATTTATGTGTGATGCGATTGGTGTTTACTTGTAGACTAATATCCTGTTTCCAGAATTTTATAAATTTCTAGGGGCCAATAACCATACATTAAAGCCTGTGAGAAATGTTGAGAAATAACACCTGCAGTCGCTTCTGGAATTCTTGGTCTATGCCGGTATTGAAGCTGCCACACACAGAATAGGAAATATCATGAGGTCATAAGGTTACATGCAATACCTGCGGATACTTCTCCCTCGGGAGTCCGGTATGATATGCGGGTAAATGCTTTGCATAGAATATGCGAGATGCAATTATAAGATTACATACATATACGGGAACCTTTACCCGAATACTACTTCTCGAACGTTGAACACGAGGGAACTCTTCAACACTTGATTCAATTTCATTGATGATGTATAGTAATAACTCCGAGAGTAAGACTAAAAGCAAAATGACGAACTGCCCAGCCCGCCTAGTACAATGACCAAAATATACCTCTATCGATAGCGAAATGTGCTTGTCAAATCAGCTGGCAACCCTGTAATTTCAGATGCGGAACTCCAGAAGCGGAAAATGAGAATAGAGTAGGAAAAAATGTAGGAAAATCTGATAGATGATGTTGGAAAGAAAAAGTGCATCAATATCATGCAGGAAATCAAATGATTACACCACCCTTCGAGGTACAGGATGCAATTACTGAAGAAGGTGTTGCAGTCTTTGTAATCGTGACACTAGATGGAAGATTTGTTAGCAAAATTGTTTTTAAAATGGGATGATTCTCAAGTATTAGAGTTCACGCAATGAAACATACGCATACTTGTAAGTAATTGTCGATGTGACCACTGTGATCGTGAAAGTCGGGATGATTTTTGTTTTTGTAGGTGTTGGCGCTGTTATAGTTGCCGTGGTTACTCCGCTACGAACTGTCACTGGTGATGGAGTACTATAGTTTTGTTAGATTTAGATATTTTGAGAGGGGTGTTTTCTCTTACATAGTGGTAGATGTGGTTGTAGTGGCTAAATAGGTGAAATCCGTTAGTAAGTGCCAACATATACTAGACAAATCTTGAGGATATGTATCTTACCTGTGCTATAGAAAGTTGTGGTATCAGTAGTGGTGGTAATAGTGGAAGTCTCCCAGTCAGCTGTGTTTGTATCAATGATTGTCAAAGTTGGCACATCCGGAGCACGCTTCTTGAGCTTTTTCTCGAGAAGACGTCCAACAGCACGACGTCCAAGAACACTAGCAATGTCAACTGGAACGTCGCGGTTGTTGAAATTGGCTCTTGGAGCTGAGGTGATGGCAGCAGGTATTGGTGCTGGTCCAGCAGTACGTCTATAGGCAAGATTGGATTTGATACTTTGGGCAAGAGCAAGGAAATGTTCATTTGCGAATGGATCTCTTGCGGTTGGCTTGATGGGAACTTTACAAGATGCTGTCTTGGTGACGGTAACGATAGGAAAGGTGTATTTTCTAGAAGTAAAAGTCCGCGTGGATGTGGTGATCTTGGTCGTTGTGACTCGTTTAGGTGTAATTGTCACTGTGTTTTTGGCGGTGGCTGAAGGCTCGGTAATTGTAACAGCGGGAAGCGTGGTTGAGTCAACTTCAGTAATGGTCGTGGGTAAAGTTGTTGATGGTGTTACCACACTCGTGATATTTACTAAGAAATGTCAAAATGTGAAGGCTTGGTATGCAAACACCTGGAATCACCTACCTGTTGGGATATATGTGACTGTAGCTTGAGGGCCAAGTACAAGTTCAAATGTTCTTTGGGCAGCGAAAGATGATGAATTTCCATTATTACCCAAAATAACGATAGTCCAACTACCACTATACATCTCGCTTTTCGAGAGAGGACTGACAAAGATTAGTAAGGTTTTGAAGATCGAAGATTTGCGAACGATACCTACCATGTTGAAAGCATATTTGTATTGTCAGGCTGAGTGTTTATGTCGCTACACAACCAGGAATCCTCATCAGGGGCAACAAGAATTACATCGGCTGTGCCAGTACATCCCGTAAACTGCGTGACGGAGGTGAAGTTGGAAGTATCTCCGCTATTGATGAAATAACTAGCTCCATTCTGAAAATCAATGCCGTATGATGAACAGTCTGCTTTAACGTAGGAAAAGACATAAGTCAATAAAACGAATGTATAGGAGATGCGAACAACTGGAGACAACATGATGAAAACAAAAATGATGGTGAATGATGAAACTGATGAAGTTGAGCTACAATTGGGTTCTGTGAGGTCAATATAGGAACTTTGATATCTGGGGTTCCTACTGCGAGCTGGATAAGGTGACTATGAGCTATCCCGCTGATGTCGCCGAGCCTGTCCAAAAAAAGAACGATACCGCAGCTACACGGGTAAAAGCGTAGACACGCGCAATTCTCACAAGATTGTCCAACGCCATCTAAAATATTGACAGATTTCATCTGACAGCATAACAAAAGTCATGATTTAGCAGTCAAAACGGAATGTTTCCAGCTTCTAAGTTACACTAGATGCCAAGAAACAAGCCCCATATGCGGCATAACAAACCGAGCCATCCTTTCTTGAAAAGAACCCTCATTGGCTTAGAGTCACGAATACTCCTTGTCAGGCGTAAAGAGTGGAGTGATGAGTGTGGAGAGACTTTTGGATTGCAACAAAAGGAAGGATCAATACGAAGGATGATGTATGCGCTGAGAGTGACTGGCACGATACTTCAAAGCTACTGTACAGTTATGTAAGATTGCCAGGTACGTATCTCCGTTCTTGATGCAAAAGAAAAGCCACAATGATCATCTTTGCAGCTGTTGTGTTCTCGGTATTGGATGCTGGGGTAGGCAAACCATGTATCTATGACTTCTTGATATCTAAAATCCCGAAATAGCACTATGAACTCCGACACGTCCATGCCGCGGCCCAGCATTGCTTGGGAACTTCAACTGTCGGTGCTGAAGTATGAGCCGCCGGTAAATATATTTCGTCCAATGCTGAGCCCCAAATTCAGTTCCTTCTAGAACATCGCGGCTTGTGGCTCAACAAACATAATCGGAATAAGAAATATTCAAGGTTGGAAGAAGCGGAGCTCTGATATCGATGCATGGTAGACACGTGCATTAGAAGGCTGAAGACTCAAGCCGATATATAAACGAACCGCTGCTATGGCACACTAAGTCTGAGACAAAGATAGGCTACAGATTATAGAGGGTAGTGGGAATAATAGATTTATTGTACTATTGTCAAATCGGATTGTTTAGACACTTTTCGGTGATTATAGATTTCGTATATTTTTCCTGGCTAGATCCGGATTATGGAGTTAAATGTCATTTGGCGTTGAAGGATTGTGATTGATGGACCCTTTAGGCCTAGTTTTAGCCAAGATACGGGTACCCACAGGCTAAATCTACGCTAAAAGACCCGTGAATTGTACCAATTATTCAATGATTTACAGGGCTTGCTGCGGGTCTGAGTAAGCAAAAATACCCACGACATTCGTACTTGCAAGACCTCTCTATGAGTACAAACATTGATCTTGAGTTGTACAACAGGAGAAACCTCGTCGGCTGCTAAAGACCACCGTGGTCAAAGCCAAGCGAGCCAATTCATCTATTCCACGAAGAAGGATCTCACCTGAACATCTCAGCCTCGCATATTGAAAACATAGTTTCAGCACAAGATCATTTATTATATTGGGAATCATCATGCACGGTATCTTCGGGACCTTAAAGCATACGCATGCCAATAAATAGTGTGGGATGTAATTGTTGCTATTGTTAACAACTTTTCCCGAAGAATCTCAGATGTGGGAGAGGGGTGTATCTTGGCGTGCCACCAAAGCAACCACAGTTTTGTCCGAGGGCTGACAGCATATGCACCATGCTGCCGTGCCTGATTCAACTAGCAATATCACAAAGCATGCATAAGTCTTGACACTTTGATTTCTGGAAATTGGCATCATGTAAAGTGGACACACTCTTCAAGCGACCCGGCGCTGGAACCTTGATATTGGTCAACAAATCAGACAACCGGACTTGGACTGTTTTCAGCTCAAACTACAATATTGTTGGTCATTGGATATCCTATTCTGAGATGCATGCAAGCCACGAAGTTTCTGATTTACAGAGCCGTCTGATAGCGCGGTAAGGTTGCATTGTGATGGCTGCTCCACCTGCTTGTCAGTCGAGCCTCACCTCGCGTGAGGGACGGCACCATGATCTCGTGTGCATCAACATGGAAATCTAGAAGAGTCACCTAACACCGGTGACAAATATCCGGGTGGCAATCTGGCAAGATAAATACATTAAGTCTCACTTGATTGCGCTAGATATTACTCTCTTCAGATCAATTGTATTAGGTTTCTTTCTCTAACTTGCTCAAGATGAAGTTCTTGAATATTCTACTTTTGTCTTCCGTTGCTACTGCAGCGATCCTCCCAGCACCAATAAATGAACGTGATGGTCTAGTGAAACGCCAAACAACGTCTTCCACCAGCAAGGCAAGCACATCTTCAAAAGCGTCATCCACAAGTTCTTCAACTTCAAAGTCATCATCAGTCGGCTCGTCATCTTCCAAGGCTTCGACAACTTCTTCGGGGTCCTCGACCTCTGTCGTCTCCACGGCTACCTTAAGCTCAAGTTCCTCTTCTGCTATCTCTAGTTTGGTTGCCGATCCTGCTTGTACAAATTCACCCTTCACCAGAGCTTGTTGGGGAAATGGTTTCAGTATTGCAACCGATTTTGACACCAAGAATCCTAACACTGGTGTTACCCGAAAGTATAATTGGGAAGTGACAAATTCGACTTGCGCGCCAGATGGAGTCACCCGCCAAAACTGCATCTTGATCAATGGCCATTTCCCCGGACCAACCCTCTATGCTGATGTAAGACTCTCGCGATTCCTCCCGTAATGTGTACGATTTTCTGACAAACTTTGAGTGGGGTGATATGATTCAAGTTACCTTGAAAAATTCTATGCCGGATAATGGTACTGGTATCCACTGGCACGGCATTCGTCAATACCACACATGCACCGAAGATGGTGTACCAGGAATCACCGAATGTCCTCTCGCTCCGGGCGACACAAAGACATACACCTTCCAAGCAACCCAATTCGGCACGAGCTGGTATCACAGCCATTTCTCTGCTCAATATGGCGATGGGTTGATTGGTCCTATTGTGATTAATGGTCCGGCTCCTGTTAACTATGACGTTGATCTTGGAGCCTACATGATTCAAGATTGGTACTATACGCCGGTATTTGCACTCGGCGAAAGAGTAGCGCATTCACAAGCTGGACCACCACCAGGGGACAATGGACTTATTAATGGTAGTATGGTGGCACCTGCTGGTCAAACTGGTGGGAAGTATACCACAAACACCATCACCTCAGGTAAAAAGTACCGTCTTCGTCTTATCAACACTTCAGTCGACAATCATTTCATGGTATCATTGGACAATCATGCATTCACTGTAATTACATCTGATTTTGTTCCTATTGAGCCATACACCACAAATTGGATCTTCATCGGAATTGGTCAAAGATATGACGTTGTGTTCCATGCCAATCAGACAGTTGGAAGCTATTGGTTCCGAGCTGAAGTCCAAAACGGCTGCGGGATAAATAATAACAATGGAAATATTAAGAGTATTTTCACTTATTCAGGAGCTGCAAGCACCACTCCATCGTCTACCGCCACACCCTATACTCAAAGATGTACCGACGAAACAGGAATCATTCCATTCTGGGATAGTTTTGTGCCCAGCGGACCCCTGAGTGGTAATGTCGACACACTCAACGTGGCCATAGATATTGGCGTTACCACCAGCGGACCAATCGTCACATGGGGTATCAATCTCACAGCCCTTGATGTCGACTGGAAGAAACCCATTCTCCAATATGTCCTCGATGGCAACAATTCCTGGCCTGCTTCCGAGAATCTCATCTCTTTGAACAATGCTAATCAATGGTATTATTGGATTATTCAAGAAGTACCCGGATCAGTTGCTGGACAACCAGTTTCCATTAACGTTCCTCATCCAATGCATTTACACGGTCATGATTTCTATATTCTCGGCACGGGAGTTGGAAATTACAACAACTCCGTCGATGGACCAAAACTTGATTACAACAATCCAAGCAGAAGAGATGTTGCCATGTTGCCCGCCGGAGGGTGGATTGTTCTAGCGTTCCAAACTGATAACCCTGGTGCTTGGTTGATGCATTGTCATATTGTAAGTCTTCCCATTTTTCCCTATCCATGAATCTTTTCAAAACGTCCTACTAACATACAAACCAGGCATGGCACGTAAGCGAAGGTCTTGCTGTGCAATTCCTGGAATCTCAAAACCAAATCAATGCTGTAAATCCCATCTCGCCAGCCTTGACGAATACCTGCAATAAATGGAATGCGTGGTATCCATCTCAAGCACCTTATTTCAAGACTGATTCTGGTGTCTAATCTCAATTTGGCGCGATTGTATTTTCCGGGAGGGTGGATCTTTTGAAATCTTTAGCCTTCCATTTTGTTTTCGATTCTCATGGTGAGAAAATTTGGTCTTCTCGCGATAACTTGTAGTTATTATATAAGTAACAAATATAGAAACAAGTATTTGTTTTGCTTTCTTCGTCAGAGAGTAGCACGTGTTTTTAGCAAGTTCTTTAAATTTTCTGAATCGAATCTTCGATATTAAAAACATTTCCTCTCTTTTTTTTTTCAGAACAGTGATGTGGTCGTCGAGTGAGGGTCACGTTATTGTGATTTGATGAATTCAGCATACGAAGAAGGAATTATGGCCGGCAATTCATGGTGCACTTAATTTTGATGTTCAAATCGTGGCGAGAAAATGACGCACCTTTCATCGAATCTTAACTTTTACTTGTTCTTATGATGACAGTTTATAAAGTTTGCAATGCCAATATGTGTAACCAAAGGTTATCCAAGGCTTTAGGAGCACAATAGCAGATATGTGATAAATTTTTCGAAATGCAGTAAGCGAGCAATGAAGGGCTGAGATGAACTGACGAAAGCCATTTCCAAAGCGCGTTACCGAACTCTTGGTGTGGGTTTATCTCCAATCACGAGTTGTAAGGCCTATGTATATGGTGCAACAGATCAAAAACGTGGTGAGAGGTTCATGTTGCAGGTGTGGAGAGAGTTTTATTTATCATTATTTGACGAGTGGAACTATTTATATCCCAACTGGAGCCATACGTACGATACTGTGCCCTGACTGCGGAGCGCTGAAACGAATGACCCCCGCAATTTTGGTGATCTGCTGCATGACCCTAGTAGCGAAAAAGCGCGAAAAAATATTCAACACTGTAGAATTGACTTGCAAGCTAAGCTACAAGTATTCTGATCACAGAACCATAGAATAGATGAGAGTTGTAAGCGCTTATCGTAAACACTGTGCTTGTGTTTCGACGTTGAAGCTGAAGTGCACCACCGCACTGGTGAGAAACGAGCTGGGAGGACTCGGTTTTCACGCCGAATGAAAATGGGCCACTTGTGTATGATAAAATACTTGGGAAATCGATTAATACTTGCCCCCAGACTGAAATTCATGATTCTCTGCATCTTAAATTAGACCTCATAACATCCAATCTTTCAAACTCGCGATAATTCTGCCACTGAAAGGGCATTGCCAAAGTACAGTTCGTTTGGTGAATGAAAATAGAAACAATCTTTCCCGCTATCACAACCATCCGGAGCGTAAGGCAATCTTTAGAGACGAGACAGTACACTAGTACGGATGCATTTACGTCTGGTGAGCAATTGGCTCCATAAGAACTTCACAAAACAAAAGACAGGCTCACCGGACGCTCCCCGGACGCTCGCCGAGAATCAATCAAGCAGTGCTCCCAGTGAGCTCGTGACGGATATAGTTCTGCCTGATTGATGTTGGCATCCATTATTTGATCACCGACCCCATACTTGATGGAGCCTGCTAATATGAAGTCTTGGTAAGATTCCAGAGCAAAAAATGAAAGAGGATGGGGATCATCTGGGCCTATTTCTCGAGGTAAATCTCAGACGTCTGATGTAGCCGAAGACGGCTAATACCCGCCCGAGATAGTCAACCACATACCTCGAGGCACAGCACAATCAACTAGGTAGCTCTAGACAGCTTGAGACACTAATGGGTCTCATAACTTAGAGTCTTTGAGATTGAGGCGTCGACAGTTGGGTGCTTATAGCAAAAACAGGGGCTGAGCACTTGTGGTGACAATGAAGAATGTCTTTTGAATTCTTTTTCGAAATGGCGGGGAGAACATGGATATACATAGTAGGTGCATACATGCTGCAGTAGCCTTGTGGCCCGAGCGTCAAGTAAATTTATGCCAGCCTCGTGCCTTCTTCATTCGCGTCGCGTTTCCTAGATAGCATATAGCTTTCCTAAGATGGAGATACATTCAATATGAAAATCTAAAGGTGCAAGAGGGTACAGTGCGCCGAATGAACTTGAGAAAATAATGGCAGAATCTGTGCGTTCATGATATTGTACAAGCTTTCTAAAATATGGCCTCGGTCAATTCTTTAGGTCTACATCAACCTACAGGGCTTCAATATGCTATTAAAGAAGGCTACTTGACTGCGGATGCTGCTAGTAGTTCATACAATTGGTACAATGTTTGCGATGACGATACAAGCTCAGAGGTCGACGATGAATTGCTAGTCACACTGAGATGTGTAATTTGGTCGCGAGGAGGGGTTTTTCGAAAAAGCTACAATTTCGACCTTGAGAAAGAACCAATTACACAGGCATTATTGACCTCGTTTCCCAGTGTTGGGCCATTGCCATCCAAGAATGGAGCACCGAACAAGCAACACACGGGTCCGAATACTAAAGAAAAGGCAATTGTGGTATTCTTAAAGACGCAGGCGCATATTTACTTTCTCTCTGGAACCAGCCATGTCATACATTTGCCGTTCGAAGTCGAGTCTGCCACTGCAGCACCTATTGGCCTCATTATACAACGAAAACTACGCGCGGAAATTAACGTTGCAGCCTCTATCAAGTTTCCACGAGTACCACCCAACTCATTTGTCTCATCCCAGCCTCAACTTTGGTCTGCGGCAAGCTCAATTCAGTCAACCTTCTCTACCGCAGATCTCGGGGCTCCTATGCAGATGCCAACTCAAATCTCTACCTTGAAGGATCTGTGGGAACCTCCTCCTGCTCAAAGTGATGCGAACTGGCCACGATTATTTTCCTTGTCGGATCCATTATCAGAAATGGGTTTAGTGGTGGCTCAGCCAGGCTTGTCTGATGGACGAGGAAAACGAAGAAGCTCCGGAAAAATATCGACATTGGACCCTTCGGAGGAGATTCTTCATGTATCCCGACCGAACGAATTCTCTGCCAAGGACTCAGAAAATCCTCTTGTATTAGCCATCACCTTGAACCGAGAAACTAGCATGTACACAGTGTGGAGGTTAGCTTATATCGGGCAAGACACAATATCAAACGGGAAATCTCGGGTTCCGAGTGGTGCAGCGTCGCGTCGGCGAAGTTCATTCATGCCGAGTGGAACAGGAGCCACGACGCCCGTGGGAAATAGTCAGCAGACGTTCCGGGAAAGTTTTGGTGGAGTTGTTTCTGGTTTCAAGAAGCCCACATGGTCAGAGGATGTGAAAAAAGATAAGAAAATTGATTTTGTATCTACTCTTGATCCAGACTACGAAAGTGGTATTATTCCTAGAAGAAGTTCTCGGCGTGTGAGCTCAATGTTAGCAAGAGCAGATTTATCTGCTTCACACGAACGAAATGCTTTCTCTGAGCTAGCGACTGGTCATCAGCACAACACAGGTCGAGTTCGTGATTCCTTAGGAAGCCAGCACACCCGAGCGAGCATTGGATTGAATGGACAGACTTTCTCTCAAGGCAGTCAGCTGAATCATAGCATTAATAGCCACCTTGAAGCACCTGTTGATGAACTTTTGGATCAACTCCGCGCCGGGGGTGATTTTGGTGGCTTCAATGATATGGGTCTTGATGACGAGGAATTCGACGCTCTTCGGCAAGAAATTATCCTTGCCAAAGTGTGTAGTGTCTCAGCCGAACATAGTAATGTTAGGTATTCAAGCCAACATATTCCGGCAAAGAACCAGTGTAAAATCTTTATACTACCTGCACCATCATCTGCGGCGGATGATCTACAAGGCAACTCGATAGTCATATGCATTTTGGATTCCGATGAGAAAAAGCTTCTTGTAATGACTCTCAACACTAAGGTACATAGAAAGGCCCAGTTCAACAACAATGAGGTGTCCCCAAATTCAGAGAAGGAAATGACCCTGGTCAACTTGAAAGAAGTGATGAGAGCGCCCGGTGTGATCGATGCTTGCAAATTCGACGACGGCAATATATCTCGTATTTTAGTTTTGACTGAAACAGACGATGGCTTTGGAGAACTGAGCTTACAAGCCCCATGGAGCATTCTTATGAAGGTAACTCTGCCTGCAAGTTTTGTCATACATAACACTCGGAACTTAAGCCACAACCAAGACCCTAGTAAGAAGAGGGAGGGGAGTTTCAAGAGAGTACTAAATCAAGGACCTCGTGCCCTAAAAGGTCTGCGTAACCCGCAGCCTCGTGGGCTTGTTGACTTGGTGGATGATGAAGGCAAAATGCATCAGTTGCAAATTCTCATGCAGCCTCGCAGTCCTTATGTGGCTAAAATTCTTGAAGTATGTACAAAGGTTTTACCGGGTGCAAGTGGAGGCGAAGGAATGCTTGTTGCATGGTGGAATTCTATGAGATGGCTTCAACTCGAATCTATTGATACTCCAGATTCGGAGTGGACATCTCTACTTATTGTTCTATTTTCGATGGTCTTCAGTTTCGGTGCTGCCAAACAAACTCAAAAGAAGGCCCATGCTACAAGGAAACCACGCACAGCATTTTTAAGGTCCAGCAGTGGCAGACAGGTAGACATAACCTGCTATGAGACCATGCTCAGTCATTTGGCTCCATATGGAAACCCTATACCGCCTTGGCTTAACAACAGCGCATGGAAATGGCTAGTCAACGAACAGGAAGATTCTGGGCCCTTTTCTTCTGCGACGGACAGTTTTTTGTCAAAAAGCAATGATAAAGAAACGTTTATAAAAAGGCATGCGAATCTTGCACGAACGTTTTTATATTCGAAATTAGGCCAAGAAGCTGTCACAGGGTATTTGCCGTCGGCAACCAATAAGTCTCTTGAGATTCGTCAAGCTGCTTTAATTGAAATTCTTGCAGCTTTACATTTATTGCGCGAGGAAAGGAAACTTAACACAATGACAGCCGAATCGCTTAGTACTGGTGTGCCTGATTTGACACCAATCCTAGCTCAAATATCCCGATGGCTTAAGTGGGACAGCTGGATAGATTTTTATGAAACGGAGGAAGCTTCATTGGTAGATGCAGTTTACGATAATGGTGAGTCCTTCAATCCCCTTGTCTGAATGAAAAGTCGCTTAGTAGCTTCGTAGATTTTGTTCTCGCCTCTAAGATTGCTGAACCATTCGAATGTCCATCAATTTACACATGGATTCAAAATTGTTTACTCGCTCGAAGGTTGATGCCGTTCTTGACACTTCAAGATCTGGTCACGATTAGATCAGCTATTCCTACCCGGGGTATTCGAGACCTTGAGCGATGGCGTAGCTCAACACCAAGAACTCTACAACTTGCCCAATTCTTTTCGTGCATGCAAGATGGCTGGTCTTCTGTACAAGTTGTGGAAGCCCTATCTGCCGCTGGGGTAGACAACCTCTTCCTTGAGACTTTGCCAGAGGCTATACTTGCCCCGCTTCAAGAAGCAATCGTTGAGTGTCAAAGGGAACCACCAACAACGTGGAATAAGGAGCTCCTTGCACTGGTGGGCCGTGAAGATGTCAGTATGCTACTCACGTCTGGCCGCTCATCGAGGAATTTCCAGCCATCTTTATTAGTAAGTACAAGATCTTTTCATCTTCACAAAAGCTAACGTGTATAGCCACCATCACATGAATCAAATCTGGACGTCCATGCTATCTGCGCATCTACGACAGAAATTGAGGCCACTGGAGCTTTTGATGGCTCCGCTGAAGTAGATCGTCAAGCTATAACACGAGCAATATTCAAGGACGACAGAAGATTTAATGAAGCATCCAACATCCTGAATACTTTCAGATCTACAATTGCTCGTGTCAAATCGGCACCCAACTGGACGGAATCAGAATTGTTAGAAGCACAAAAGGAGCATGCTCAAATGTTGGCTTATCGCACTTTGGCCATTCCTTCTGGTAAAGGACTATTATATTATAGTGCCCGTATACCCCTCCTAACCCAAAGATTTGCTATTGGAGGGTTCAATTTAAGTTGTGTTATGAAGCCGAATAACAATACCATTGGTGTAGACAAGAATGCATTCACCGAGGAAAAGGTGTGTTGGGCGTTCTTTCATGCAGGTGTGTCTGCCGGTCTTAGCATTTCTCGTGATGCAAAAGGAATTGATACGTCATGGATTCTTTACAACAAACCACAACAGGATTTGAGTAATCGTCATGCCGGTTTCTTACTCGCCCTCGGTCTCAATGGCCATCTTAAATCCGTAGCGAAATGGGTCGCATTCAGATACTTGACCCCAAAGCATACAATGACTTCAATTGGACTACTTCTAGGATTGGCTGCATCTTATATAGGAACAATGGACTCATTAATTACTCGACTATTATCAGTCCATGTAACACGAATGCTCCCGCCCGGAGCAGCCGAGTTGAACCTTTCTCCGCTTACCCAAACCACTGGTATTATGGGTATTGGTTTGTTATATTGCAACACTCAACATCGTCGAATGAGTGAGATTATGGTATCTGAAATGGAGCATATTGACCAAGAAGTTGATGAAGAGCCTCTTAGGAATGAAGGCTACCGGCTAGCAGCAGGCTTTGCCCTCGGATTTATTAATCTCGGCAAAGGCTCTGATCTGAAAGGTCTTCACGATATGCGGCTCACAGAGAGACTGATTGCGTTGGCTGCGGGGAGCAAGAAAGTTGACCTTGTTCACATCTTGGACAAGTCCACTGCTGCAGCAATCATTTCCGTTGCTCTCATATATATGAAATCAGAGAATCAGGTCTTGGCACGCAAGGTAGATGTGCCAGATTCCGTTCTTCAATTTGATTATGTTCGGCCAGACGCTTTTCTACTTCGAACGCTTGCTCGGCACTTGATCATGTGGAGTAAGATAGAGCCTTCGCATAAATGGATTAAGAAGAGTCTACCTTCTCCCTATAAGAGTCGAAGTTCGTTACAACAGATCAAAACTTTAACATCTGCAGATCTTCCCTTTTACGATATACTAACTGGACTCTGTTTCAGCATTGCTTTGAGATTCGCCGGTTCCGCAAATCTGACCGCCAGAGACATACTCCTACATTATTTAGATGAATTCAGACGAATTTGTCAAATCGAAGCAGACTCTTTTGATAAAAAGTTGACGAGGAACACTGTTCGGAATTGTCAAGATTTATTGGCACTTGGCGTAGCTACTGTCATGGCAGGCACAGGAGACATTCCCGTTTTTCGTAGACTTCGTTCAATGCATGGTCGTGATGACAGCGAGACACCTTATGGTAGTCATCTCGCCGCTCATTTAGCCATTGGAGCTTTATTCTTAGGTGGTGGGACGTTCACTTTCGGAACTTCAGATAAAGCAATTGCTGCACTGCTTGTGGCATTCTACCCGATATTTCCATCGACTGTTCAAGATAATAAGTCTCACTTACAAGCCTTCCGTCACTTTTGGGTTTTAGCAGCGGAACCTAGATGTCTCATTACAAGAGATATTGATACCGATCAACCTGTTCCAATACCTCTTCAAATTACACTTCGTAATGGAGAGGAGGAAGAACGTCATACACCTTGTCTTATTCCCGAAATTAATCAAATTAAAACAGTTCGAACGTGCAGCCCTGAATTTTGGAATGTCGTTCTAGATTTGGAGAGCAATAAAGCACACGTTGAAGCATTCAAATCAACACAAACATTATACGTTCGTAAACGCCCAGCTCACGATGCAAGCACCAATGCATTCAAAGCAACTCTTCAAGCCTTAGACGAAGCCGACCAGACAGTCAATCAATCTCTTCAATGGCTATTTGAACTCCCTGCTTTCTCAACTCTCACTAAAGCGGAAAGAGCATTGGTACTACCGCCCGATCATGGTGGACCAAGGGATATTCATGCAGGCACGGAACAAACATCAGTTGATTCCAGGTTAGTTCTCGAACATGCGACGCTGGATAGTGGGAATAAGGATAGATTATTGGGATTAAGGTTATTGTTTGAGTGGGCTGATAAGGCAATGGAGGAGGGAAGAGAAATGAGATGGATTAGAAAAGAAGTGGTGCAGAGACTAAGGGCGAGAGTATGGGTTGATGAGATGGGGTAGAAATTGTTTGTTGTTAGGAGGGAATAAACGAATTTATGTGTTATGATGGATGTTGGGATTGACTCACATGATTCTGAAAATGAAAGTCAAAAGTTTGGCGGTATCGTCGGTGTAATTCCATAGATACCTAGGGGGGCATACAAATACCATGTTGTGCTTTTAGAAATCGTTTATATTGAGAATTATGAGATATATTTTTGTTCATTCAAGTACATAACTGGACTTGAATATAGCTAATATGAACTTCCTAGAAAATTGAACGATAAGTAGTGTGGATGTAGAGATACTTTATTTCACTTCACCCTGATGGGTGGTGTTCAACTGCTTGCTAGACCCAAAGTTCTAACAGCAGCGAAAATTCTAATCGAGCTTGAAGAAGATATTTGTTAGGAGATCTGATAATAGGGTTTGCTCTTCGCTACTTTATTAAAATTACTTTTTTAATTTTATATTTTGATAGTTGAATAATTCTACTTTTGGAAAGAAGGTCTAATATATGGTGACTGGTGACTAGATGCGGGCGAGCTTTTCGATTTTTTGTTGCGGGGTTTTCTTTTATTGAGTGTGATGTGGTGTGGTATGATATGATGTTTGGGATATGGGATATGGGATATGGGATATGGGATATGGGATATGGGATATGGGATATGGGATATGGGATATGGGATATGGGATATGGGATATGGGATATGGGATATGGGATATGGGATATGGGATATGGGATATGGGATATGGGATATGGGATATGGGATATGGGATATGGAGATGGAGATAGTGTAGTAGGATTTATGTATGAATTGCGGTAATTGTTAAAAAGGGGGAGGTGGGGGGTTGTATATATAAGTTGTACTACTTATAGTGAAAAGATACCGCAATTATCTTACATCGAAATTAGTTTATTCTTGAATTCTTGAATTTTTTATATAAACCTTCCCTTCCTAACTATCCTAACTCGATTCTCTCCTCACAAATTTAATATTTATATATATCTATCATATTATCTAACAACCATGAGCAATATTGCAATGTTATCCTATTCACTTTCTTAGTATTATTAACTTTGTGTGTTTTCTCAGCCTCAGCACCCATCGAGGAGGATTTTACAGAGGAACAGGTTGGTGTTGAACTCTCGACAGGGAGGTGCCAAGTTTAATGGTAATTTTATTATTTTATATATTGTGAGGAATGATTATATGTTTGTGGGGGATGTTGTTGTTATTTTTTTTAGCGGGGTATGAGGTGGGTGTTGGATTTTGTGAGGTTTATTTACACTATTTATTATAATTTCCTTCATTTTACAATTTTTCATACCTATTCATCCTTTTTCCCTCCCCTTTCCTTTTTCTCTTTTCACCATACTCTATACCCCGCCCCCGCGCAACCGTCCACCCAAACCCAACTAACAAACCCCTTCCCATACTCTTAATCCAACAAACTTTCCCCATAAACAGAAACCCCTACGTAATCGATAATCCCCTAAAGATCTCTTACTTAATAGCGGAAGGAAAGGGGTTTTGTAGGATTTTGTGGGATAAAGGGGTTTGTATGATAAGGTGAGTTTTACGCAGAGGAGGGGTGAGTGTGGTTTGGTGGTAGTTAGTTTGGAAAGTGTGGTGGTTTGGGGTTAGTGTAGTATTAGGATGCCGGTGGGTTGGGGAGGAATTGGGGAAAGGGGAAAGCGGGGAGACTGGGAAGGGGATTGGAAGGAGGGGCTGGAGGGGAGATGGTGAATGGGTAGGTATGGTGCTAAGAGGGTGTATTATGTGCAGAAAGTTGTCGCTTTTGATAGCCGATTTTCTTGAGATCGTTTATAGAATGAGTTATGTTTCCGGGGAAAAGAACTAAATCACAATTTTCTTCAGAGTAGTGATTAACTGTGAAATATGAAAGTCATAATCACATCTCAAAATTATACGAATATCCTAAGGAAACCCAGAATAAATCATTTACTAGTCTCCATCCCAACCTAAACACCACTCCCAATTCCCCTTCATTTAAACGGCTTTTCCCCTCCCTGGTGCATCCGCAAATTTCTGAGCCCATTTATCTTCTTGCTTGAATAATTCTATTGCTCTCATTGCGCTTGGAGAACCATGATCTGGATCAGCGTTGCCTTCGAGTAACGCCTATTAATGATTAGAATGCAGAAATAACTCCTATCGAGGAAGATTAGGAAGTGAGAAAAGCAAAGAGATTTACGTACCTCGACTACTTCAGTCTCTCCTTTGAATACAGCACCTGCTAGAGGAGATTGTCCTCGATCGTTCAATGAATTGGGATCTGCACCATGTTGAAGAAGGAGTCGGACGAGAGGTGCGTGGCCGTGGTAAGCAGCGAGCATTATCTGTTTTATCGTTTTAGAAATTGTGTATAAGATGAAAGATAGCATTGAAACATGTATATGATAGAGTAAAGGAGTGGTAACACGTGATGAGAGGTAAGAATCCAGTGAGCATCGCCATAGCAAAATTGCAATTTCCGCAGTGACTAGAGAAAAATAAAAACAAATAACATACGAGACTATCGCCCTTGTCATTCGTCATATTAGCTGGAAGTCCTGCCGGTAAAGCTTGTTCGAAAATCTCAATATCGCCATTTCGTGCTGCGTCGTACATTCTGGTTGCGAAGGCTATGGCTTCGGGTGGAAGAGAGGCGACTGTTGCGCCGTTTGAGGGGTTTGGGTTTGACATTTTTGGATCTTTTGAATGAAAATAGGAGATTTTTGGGTTGAGAAAAGAATGATAGAGTTGAAGGTCTTGAATATGAGATCTTCTGTTGATACCTATATAGATATGTTTGTTTTGGATACAGTCAGATTCTGGTTGAGGCTGAAGATTATTAATCTTGAAGTTCCAGACAGTTTGATTGATTAGCGATGCGATAGTGATGACATCGTTAATTTCTAGTATATTTATCCCTGTGGAAATAAGCTCAATTAGCTTTAAAAATACCCGTCCGCTAGTATCCGCTAATACCCGCAATATACAAAGCTTCCCGTCCCTCATCATCTCAACCCTCACCTCAATTCCAACTCACCAACCTTCAAAATGCGACCATTACTTCGTCTCCACGTCAAATCGACTCTTCCTAAAATCCTCACACCTCGTCTTTACTCCACCGCCACATCGGGTCGTCCGCAATTCATATCCTCTTTCCAAATCCCGACCCCGCATTCCAATGGTACTATTCGTGTTCTATCGCTTTGTCGTCCCGAAGCTCGTAATGCTATTAGTATACAATTATTACAGGAATTGCGTGCCCATGTAGATGATATTGCGGCGGAATATGATGCGGATGGGAATGAGATTCGAAAGGTTAGACCGCAGGGGGAGGATGGACCGACTAGGGCTTTGATTATTACTAGTGAGGTTGATGGGGTATTCTGTGCGGGAGCAGATTTAAAAGAGAGGGCTACTTTTACACCTGAGATGTAAGTCCCCTCGTATATACATCCGGTGGTGCAGATATAGTGTAGAGAAGAAGAGAGGGCTAATAAAGCTAAAACAGGACTCAAACATTCCTTCATAATCTTCGCTCGACATTCACCAAACTTTCCGCCCTTCCAATTCCAACTATCTCTGCCATTTCTTCAGTTGCTCTTGGCGGTGGTCTCGAGTTAGCTCTCTGTACACATATGCGGGTCCTTGCCTCAACAGCCGTAGTAGGATTACCTGAAACTCGTCTTGGTATATTACCTGGTGCAGGCGGTACATATAGACTACCCGCTTTGATAGGAGTTGGCCGAGCGCGAGATTTAATATTGACGGGGAGGAGAGTTAGTGGTCCGGAAGCTTATTTCCTAGGGATTGCGGATAGATTGGTTGAGGTTAAAGAAAATGAGGGGGAGAGTGGGGGTGAAGGAAAGGAAAAGGGAGATTTGATGAAGAGGGCTAAAGAGGCGGTTTTGAAGGAGGCGGTTCTTCTTGCAGGAACGATTTGCGAGGGAGGTCCCGTGGCCGTGAGAAGTGCGTTGAGAGCTGTTGGGTGGGCGAGGGAGGATGTAGAAAATGAAATGTATGGAAGAGTGGTAGGTACTGAAGATAGAGATGAGGCATTGGTTGCTTTTAGGGAAAAGAGGAAGCCTGTTTTCAAGGGAAGATGAGAGATTCATTGGATTTTATAAGCTGAGATTTGATCACGAGAACCACTTTTCGATACTCCTTGAGCGGATTCAGAATAGATGGTAAAGCTAAGACGGAGTGAGAATGAGAATGAGACGGAGGGGGTTAGAGGAAAGCACCTATGGCATGATAAGACGTGAGCTCTGAGCTCTTTGCATATTCAGGCGTTTTAGTCACTAATTGGATTATTAGAAAGGAACATATACTTCATGTGAATACGACTGCATATCACGATATTCAGATATATTCTTTACCTCAGATGAAATTGAGTGGTTATCCTTATTCTTATCCTCCCCAAGAAATTTTCGAGTCGATACTGTGTGTGCTCTCGTCATTCCGAGCTGGAGGACGTTCTTAAAATTTTACTTCTTCAATATGAAATCAAGACCTCTCTTGACCCCTCCCAGATGTGGAAAAGACAAGTGTCGTTTCCATTCATTATCTTGACAATCATCCAATCTCATCCCACGTAAGAGGCTTCCTGGGAAATTGTTTTCGACAGTTCATGTTTTAGGCCTAGTGGACTAATTGATTTTATTTTGTTATTTGACGGCGTTATTTCATTTTCGTTATTTTATTTTGTTATTTCATATTCATATTCATATCCACAAAATATCACGCTTTGCACCATATCCAAAGTATCTGCATATAGTTAAGATTCCCAGGGACAAATTGTAATCGTATTAGTAGAAAGTCATGCTTTTAGCGTTTGGTATTGCGCGAAGGGTAGTGCAGAAATTTTGGATGGCCAGATGGGGAGAAGTGCTTAAGGGATGGATGGAAATTTAAGATTTAGATTATATGTATGCATCGTTTTGTATGGGTTTCATTTGATTTTTTGAATTTAATTGAATTTAATGGAAGAGGTTGGAAGAGGTTGTGATCAATGATCATAAATGTTGTTTTGAGATATATACTAGGGAAAAAAAACTATATACAGTGAAGCGCACGGAGTGTCTTTTCCTAAGACATGATATGTGCAAGATGCACCTCTAGAAGACGGGAAGTATGTACAAAGTTTTTTGGAGATGGTATGTGTAATGTGCCTATTTCTCATTTTGATGGCCTGAGTTCTTTTTCCTTTTTGTGAAAATGAAAGAGAATCAGAGGGAGAAAGAGGGATGAGAGAAATTTAAACAACGGGCCATCCGTTGCTAAATGTAAGATAATTATATCCGAATTGATAACTTCCATCTCCGAGACCGATGGTAGGGTTTGCGTAGTGGTAGTAGAGAATTGGTCCTGAGGATGAGAGATAGACGCCCCTGTTTTAGAAGTTAGTATATATATACATCTCAACGCAATGGAAAAGGTCCCTGTATGGAAAAGAAATCCCCAGGGCAAAACAAAAAGAAAAGAAAAACTCACTGTCCACCAGGTCCATAAACATTCCCATGACTAGCCAATAAAGTCGTCCCCCCACCCGCCGTCAAAGCCTTCCCACTCTGATCTACAAAACTCCCCGTCGCACTCTTACTTCTACCCATAATAATCTTATATTCCGCGCCTTGCGCCGGCTTCGTCTTATCATAATTACAGCAGATTCCGGAGGAGATGAGGAGATAATAGTAGCCTGAATAGTAAAACATGTAGGAACCTTCGAGGGAATGGGTACCGCTAGCGTTGAAGGCGAGTTGGTAGGAGGGGGAACCGCCGGCTTTGCTGGGTGTCGATGCCATGCCTACTTGGTAGATGTCGGACCAGAAGGAGCCGAAGTTTAGGCTGTGAGGGGGAGGAGAGAGAGTTAGTTTTTATGAGTGGTTTTTTTTTGGTAGAAGGGGTTTGAGGGGTAGGGGAGCATGGGTGGAGAGACGTACTAGTAGGCGCTGCCGACCTGGATGAGATTGGGATCAATGGAATTGTATGCGCTGCCAGTTGAGGATGCAACACCAGTAGCACCGTGATCAGTCCATGAACCTACTTCCATGGTCGCGGAGGTTGCAACTCCGATTGCTGAGTTTTGTGTACCAAAGGTAGAAACCGCGTAGTACATGTAGTAAGTTGATCCTACAAGATGAACATCCGGTGCCTACATATTATTAGCATAATGTTTTACATTCTCTACTCTGCAGGAGTTCCCAATCAAGAGACTCGAGATGATAGACTCGAGGAAATCAAAGGGAAAAAAGGTAACACACCCAGAGATCAGTATTCCCAGACAAATTAATACTACTCCCTTTAGTCAAAGCATCACCAACATACGTCCATGGACCAGCTAGAGCAGTAGCCTTCCATATCCCAATACCATTCCCAGTATTGAATTTAAACCACGTGCCGTCACTTGAACGTTGGATCAAGGCAGGATCATGTGCATAACAGTTACCAGAACAGGCGCCTGGATTAGAATATGCAGAGACGAGGCTTAGGAGGAGTCCTAGAAAAGGGAGGAAGAGACGAGAAAACATTGTAAAGGGATGATGATTATGAAGATGAGATGAAGTAGTTTGTGTGGTGGGGATTTTGAGGGCTTATATGCTGTGTTCCTATGAGGTAATCAGGCTACTTGTGACTATGACTCGCTCGAGGATGGTTTCTTAATACGTCTTCCCGTGGGAAGGATTACTAGAGAGAGATCTATCTCCGTGTTCGTAACCTTTACTTGGAACAAATAAGTAAGCTCATTATTCCTAGTTGCTCCCCTCTGTATCCTCATATATTAGAGTACCGGAACTACCGCTGCAATAATCCGTCATTAAGTTCTGCAGCTCTGCAGCAAGAGAAAAAGTAAAAGCAAAAGCAAAATATCCCAGCTACATACGCTAATGTACCCCAGCACAATAACTCTATATGGGAAACCCCACCGAAACACCCCGAGGAGCACTCAAAGCATCCTATTTTGTAACTTGTGGATCCAATGGTATGCATATGTATGCATATGTATGAACGCATACATGTTCCCTCTAAAAAATCCAACTCGTACGCTTATCTAACATCTCCCGGCACTCTCTTATTTTGAAACTTTATTTGCAAGCCGTGACCTAGAGGAGACTTTTATCCGAAAAGCGCACCAATTATTTTAAATGTATTTGGGGGGGGTTTCTTAGTGCATGGCTTTTCTGAGGGTGAGATGGATATTTTCCCGGAAGCTGGGTCTGTTCACGAGGTACTATGTTCCTTGCAGGTAACTTAACTTTCGTTGAATTTACCGTTTCTAGATTTCCTGGTAGTCTTTTTATCCGGTGGTGTTTATTCATAGGTATCCACTGCGTAATACTGCGTATATATGGTTAGACATACGTAATTAGTAAGATCTCACCTATGCCCAAATGACCAACACATACCTACTAACAGTCGAAACCCTTCCTATAACTTATTCCAAAATAATTGGTGGATTCATTCATTCATTCATTCATTCTTTACATCCATCCACAATACAAACCACAAACCCGGCGTCCACTCACAGAGTCACAGTTTCACAAAGCGGGGCTGGGGAAGAAATCCTACGCCATGGTTCTATCCCCCGTAGCGAGCACGGAATACCCAATTGGCCTGCCTGTAATAATAAATACCGACCAAGCACAGCAAGCACAGTGCATGAAACTAAAAATCCTGGGGAGAGCTTTTTTACTAGTTAGGTTAGGTTAGATTAGGTTGTGTATGTACCCCACAAAACCATCAAGAACCGTGCAAATTTCCGCTGTGTGGAGAATATCTTTGTCCGGATTTGGTTTGATGATAGATAGGTACCTAGTATGTATTTGTGGTACGTGACTTTTTTTCTTTTTGGAGGGTATTTTATATCCTGTGAAGGAAATGGTTTCCTTGATTTTCGCGGATGTTTGATACGGGTACAAGGAATTGTATCTACCTAGTATTTGAGATATACGGAGTATTATGGAATTAATAATCGGAGAAAAGGAGAGTTTAACTTTATTGGTTATGTATGTACAGTATTCAGATAGAGTAGATAAACATCTGACAGATTATTAATCTAAGGGTATGTACTCGAGTAGGTACGTATTCTATTTTTCCCGAAAGCAAAAAGTAAAGATCTTAAGACTTAAGAAAGACTTACCATTTAAACTTTCAGGGACTGAGTAAAAAATAAGTTCTAGAATCGAAGTATAAAATTCTAAAATGAGGAGAAAAGAAGGAAAGAAAAGTGGAGATGCGATTGAATCATGCGATATATATAAATCAATGGCGTAGGTATTTAGAGTTCTGTATTCTTTCCGAGTTAGTAATGTCTGATGTCCACGGGTCGGTAAACAAAAAACTACGAGTCTGACTCTGATGTCGGTAAACAAAAACTACGAGACTAATACATACGCTCGGACTCTCGCCCTAACTACCTAGGTATATCTAGTTCACCAGTTTCATTCATCTGATGTTGAATACTAGATATATAAGGTAAAGATCACCTAACTCCATACTAACGTGACGGACCGGCCCAGGCTTCAATGTATACTTTATGTGAGACTAGGGGTACTGGGCCCGGGGTACTAGGTATATATTTAGTGTACAGTATGGAGTTAGTGTGGCGGAAAGTCTGGAGTGGAAGCGCACGAATGGGAGGTGATTATTGGTTATTCGGGTGCATTGAGAGTTGGTATACGTTATACGTGGTTCAAACGTATGATTTGGTAGGATTACTTACCTTTGGTGAGTATAGTATAACATGATATATTTGGGTTCTGTTTTGTTTATTTTGATGGAGGCTGGATGGCTAGAGGGAGGTGGAGAATTACATAGGTACGGGAGGGTGAGGAAGATGTTTCATGATATTCTTTTCTTCTTTTCGTGGAAAGTTTTTGCTGTAAACGCGAATGTTTTCGCCTTTACTGATCATAATAGTTTCCTTTTTATTATTTTCTAATCGCATTCTATTCATAATCTAATAGCGCTGGCCCATTCATTGACTAATAAGCGAGCGGAAACTATCTTTCACCTGCGACGGAGTGGACTGATATTGAGATGACCAGTTACTACACTCCCGGAGTCAAGGACTAGTGATTTATAAAATGACTGTTTAAAGTATTACTTACTATTACTTCACAATAAGGTGATGTTTGAAAGCCGGAAGGGTACTGTGAAGTATATTATATTAATATTATATTGTATTTACGTTGAACTTGGGATGGGGCATCTGTGGATTTGAGCTTCGAATTTTGATAGCTTTTGATAGTATATGTATGTATTATGCTACTGGCGATGGGATTGGTTTAAATGGTCTGTTAGTCATTGTACTTATTGGTGTGTACCTCTTAACTTTGTTCTCCGTGTCTTCTTTTCTTCATGATGTCCATATAAATCTAACAAATTCGTCGATAGGTAGCACCACCGTATGATCTGTACACTTCCGACGGCGTCATTATTCCATAGAAAGGAGGTCGTCTGCTTAACAGTCGGCAGATTTCTCCCACCTATTTCTGTCTATCACCCTTTCTGCGATGTCTTCATCGCTCTCCTCAATGCTTAAACTTCTCGGCACCTCGTTCATTATCATTTGTTCCATTTCATACTGAGAAACTGCCAGAGTTTTCGTCAACAAAGCACCACAGCCGTCTACTGCGGTTGCGAAACCATGACAAAATTCAACAGTAGTTATTATTGAACAACTAATCATCCATCAGGACCCATTCCTGCGAATAAGAGCACCATCCATCGCTGAATCTGAAACCAAGTAAGGAAAAATCCGCCGTTATCGAGTTTGACCTACGGGGACTATAGACCGAGAGCAATAGACATGTTTCCCTCTCGCATCTTGGCTCTTCTCCCTCCTCTCGCTCTCTCTCACCCCATTCTCTCCCATCTCCCATCTACTTCATACTCTCCACAAATCCAGC